ATACGCAATGCAAACTTGCTACTCTCATCAGCATTCAAGATTAGCGAACAATCTCCAGCATTCCATTACCTACGTTTATGTACTGACTTTGCAAGGATCATCTTTCCTTCAATTGCTCTACCGACGAGTTTATCTTCGTTATATACTTTAAACGAAATCGGCCTGCGTCTTGAACCAGAATACCTGGATCACGAGGACTCATTTCAAACGATAACAGAGGAATTAATTCGACCGTTGGAAGAAGAAATGGAGAATCACAAGGATAAACGGGAAGCTTTACAGAAATTTTCAGCTCTGTTTTATGGTCGTTGTATTGACACAAACGTTGATACTTGTGCTGTTCCTCCGATAATCGAACATGTTCTGTCTTTGGAGAGACCGAAGTTGGTAATGATGATGAGTCCTGTGATCTTGCGGCTACTCAAGGTGGAAGAAATGGAGTCACCGGGAATATTTATTAATTTAATCGCCGACCCAAGCGCTATAGTGAACTGTCCTTGTCTTCAGATTATTGACAACGTTTTCAAAGATTTATACTCGAATGATTTGATGCATCATGATTCGTATGCAGCAGTAATGATTTGTGATCTAATCCAATCTCTAATGAATTTTGAGGATAATTTTAGAATCGAAGACATCGACAGCTCTGATTCTGAAGATCTTAGGATTGCTAAGTTAGCAATAGGACTGATATCAAATACCTGTGAAACTAGTGGTCTGATCATACTTTCAGCGGTCGCATTTCTCCGAGGATTCTTCACAATGTTAGCACATTTCGCAGCTGAAAGACCCAGTATTCTGAAGGAACACAGTCTGTATGCTCATATGATGAAAGAAGTCAATTCGATACTCAGAGGTTCAAAAACATCGTTGCAGATGTTTTTCTTAAAGCAACTCCACAGGAAGGCAAGTCTATTTGATATAGAAAAGTGGATAAGTGAAAGTAGCAGTCTTCCAACGTTACAAGAACAATGGCAAAACGAAAGAAGTCAATACAAGACAGTGTTTACAACTGTTTTGAAGTATCCTGAGTATAAAGAAGCGAAGGCGGCATATTGGAAACTGATGTCAAACGATGAATCATGTATGAAGGAATTTATAGAAAGATGCCAAAGCTCACCTAATCATGCTTTTGCCTTTGTCGGAATCCTCGTAAACATGATTTACTTGCAGCGCACTGTACGAAAGCTCACCGATAAAGACGAGGTACTAGTCAACTGGTTTGCAAGCAACGTAGTCTCGTTCTCCAAACTGCTGCAGGAGCTTTCGCTGAGAGTTTTAGGCCGTCGTGATTCCTACTGTCCAGAACTCCAATTATCACCCGAGTCCTCGGTAGAAGACGTTGAAATGGCGCTGCTAGTTCTTCACATCGCAACAGTCGTCGCTACAAATCAAGAAGCTGAAAACTCACTATTCTACAACTACTTCATCAATCCCGCTGAATTTAAAAAGATGCACGAGGACGAGATGCGTTCCGTGTTTGAATACCCACCATATGTCAAAGAATCCACCGGTTTACATGCTCGTGTGGTTTAAGATTCGCCTTTAAGAGTAATGTTATGGATAAAGTATGTCCACATTGTCATGGAATCCCAAGTGACGAGACAGAGAGTATCACATCTGCCGAGACTTACGCCAAACTACCACTCTCCGCTCATTGTGAAACAATTCCAGGATGGGCTCTTTGCACAAAACATTTGCGTCCAACCGTCTATCGTGCCTTACACCTCATCATCTATTCATCTTGCTACGCTGGTGTAGCTCTCGACACTTCGACGGAGGGCGACTTGTCCAGTGTCTTAAATATACAACTCGGAACTAGTCCTGTGAATCTTAGAAGCCCAGCTAGCATTTGTTTTGAGACTATAAAAAGTGATCTAATCCATCTTACAGAAATTCTTAGTTGCACGAAAACTACTGCAGTCAAAACGATGCATCTTGTGGTCGAGAAAACGTCGGATCTTATATCACAAATCAAAGTAAAAGGAGAGAATGAATGTTCAACGCCGATCATGTATCGAGAATGGGAAGACGAATTTTCCAAGCGTACAGAAGAAGTGTTTTTGAAAGCGCGCGAGACATCAGTGGAAATAAAGGAGATGATGAAATTACAAAGGATGGATGACAGCCAAGCAAAGGTTACATTGGAATGTCTCATCTTGGAACTCGACGATTATCCTGAACAAGCAGAAGAGCAGAACAAACATTTAAAGAGATTATTTCGTGTGACAAAGCGACCATCTCTTGAAGACTTCCGTTCGGTATTTTTGCACTCTCCAAAAGAAGTCCAATCAAAGCACAGTTTCTTGGCCTTGTTCTTCGCACAGTTTGATCAGCTCGCGATGATAGGCAATCTTTATCATCTGTTGAAATGGTCTCGCCTAGTATCATCTGCACTAACCCATCGCATTAGTAGACAGGATGCACACGCCCAGTCCAGACGATTTCATCAGCGGTCACCTTCTAGAAATAAAGCGAACTACACAAGAAACGGAGAGTCTGCAAGTGCTGTTCGATAATTTTAAAGAGGCATGGAACTTCATGCGTGATCATGTTAATAATCGTCATATCGATAAAAAGAAGATGCCACGACTGAGAAAGACTGATCGCATAGCTTACTGTCTCATGGAAGGTGATTATTGCGACTTCCTCAAAACAGCTATCGAAATCCTTGTTTGCTATCAAAATCGGATTTTAGATGTAGTTATATCTCTGTCTTCACATCAACATCCAGCTCTAAGCTTTCTTGAAAAAGAAAACTGCAGTGGTGTCATGTCTGCCTCAATACAGCATGTTAAGGAAAAAGAAATAATCAATTTTCAATGGTCGGATTTATTCTTTCAAGATGCACAAAACAATCTCGAGTATGGTAAAGGCCAAGAGATCACATACGACTTTGAGAGAATAGAAATGGGGCTCGCAAATAAAATTGTATTCGGAAAGCGTTTCTTGACAGGAACGCTGGACAAGTTCATATTTGCAAAAGAATTGTTCCACTCCTGTGGACCGTTGTTGACGGAGATTCGGTCGCAGTTAGTACAGGATCAAAACTTGCCCGAGGAAGTACGCAAAGGATTGTCTAACCTAAAAGAACGGAGAATCAAGGAAGCCCAAGATCTTCTTCAACATTGCGAAGTACTGATCTTCCTGCTTAAACAAAAACTGAGGGGCATCAACGTCGATATGACCTTAGAGGAGTTCGCCGAGAAAATGTCACCGCTGTTACCCAGTCCCTTCCCAGTAAACCTGCTACCCGAACCACGGAGCCTGATCAAGATTAGACACCTTCTTGCACTTTACGAAGCACTTGAAGATTTGCTTGCTGATGGAGCTATCGAAGGGCTCGCTGACAAATTCCGAGATGCTCTGCCAGGTGACATGAAAGAATCTGTTAACGCCATGAAGAATATTAACCAGCTCAAACCGTCAAACTTCTTGAAAGCATTGCGGCGGTTCGTATTCCGCTACCTATCATCTGAAACTGAAAAATATTGGCCCGAAAAGAGAACGTCGTTACAGTCCTGTTTGAAAGAATCTTCCCTGTGGTTCCCACTCGAACCTCCAAACCCAAATGACATTCCACAAGAAATCACTCTCGAATATGTGCACTCGATTGTGAAATATCTTGAAGCAGAAGAAAAGGTAAACCTACGATTTAACATTGAATATTTGGCTTCATTCAGTTGATTTTGTAAAGTAACGTGCAAAGAGCTGTCACTGGATGTGTGGAAATTAATGCGGTGTCCGGTAGACCGGTTGCATGTGAACAGCTGTTGCGTTAGGGTGTGGCTTTAACGTTCTGACATTTTCGGCATTCTATCTTACTCACTTTGTCTGCAATGTTTGAATTTTGAACATAAAGATTGAGGCCACGCCCTAGAAACGTGTCGATGTCTACCTAGAAAATCATCACGCAACTGTTAAAATTAATGCAACAATTATTCATATTTAACGGTCTACATGAATCCGCACAGTATGAACAATTAAAAAGAAAGAATCTTTATGGGTATTATGACTTGATAATTGAAGCTGCATTTCCGCAGCAGATCATAAAGAAACAGATAGTGTTTTTATGACGGTGTTTTCAATGCAGGACCACCTGTAGTTGTACCCGATATACAAGGTGAAAGATATGTAGGTACGAAATATACTAACTAATAACATAAAATTAAATATTTCTTTTTCCAGGAGAAAAAAAGCGAACGAAGAAATACTAGTCTTCGAAGTTTCTCCAGTAAACAACAGACTATTAAACAATCGGGAAAACGTCGACTTACGAAGTTCTCTTTGTCATGAAGTGAAATGAAGCTGGTGTTTCCTTATCCGATTACAACTATGCGGTGACAATTGAAGACATGACGTAATGAAAACATGGGCAATAGCTTAGATTTAAGACAAATAGTTCAAAGATTAGATTTTGATTTAAATTGGGTTTTATACTTTAACGCTATTACAAACAGTGCAGTAAATTAACATCTATGAAACATTAATTATAGATTCGGGGACTGGCATCTGAATTAGTTTGAGAATAGTTACCTTCACTCAGGATTATCAGCTCTCAGAATTCTTATTCAATACCTCGTAGCTTCTAAAATTCGTCAAATTCTATTATGAGTAATTTTATTAAATTCAATAACAACTATATTTAGACCGCTTATCAGTGAATTCAATCCCTCTGTGAAGAGGACTATGTGAAGGTAGCTACTCTCTAAAAGGGATAGTATATACATTATCTAATTCTCGGGACTCTATATATACCATATAGCAAACGCCATGATTATACTCTAACCCTACTTAAACAAGTCAAACAGCCAAATATTAGATAGCACGAGTCATTAATACTGAAAGGATTTCTTCCTATCAATCATACACGACATCAATTCTTATGTTAATAGGCACAGATGTATCTGAACTTACGATTGAATGTAATCGATTTTACATAGTTTACCATTTGTTGTATTTAGTGAAATCGATACCTAATTAATTCGTCGATAATGAAGTTGCGGGAAAATTAATGTTGCAGAAAATTGTTGAATAAAAGTAATTTTAATTCTAAATACACCGCGCGCATGCAAGATGTGGTAAAAGTGTTAAGGGCAGACTGAACGACAAACGTTTTTCTTTCCACCAAAATATAACATTTTTTCATTTAGGTCGTACACGTCAAAAACCCAAGAAAGTGTCAAAATAACTAAATAGTCGTTTAGTTTAAGCAAAACAACCCTTTATATGTAACCCTTTTCTATAAGAGCCATACTAGTGCTTTTTATTTGACGATAATTCAAAACGTTACCAGCGGAGGGTCTCTTCAAACTGAACACCTTCCACCCACCTCCTCTGTTAATCAAACAACACATGATGATTGCTTGAGAATAGGCAGCATGACTCATTTTATCGTCGCACAGTTGTTTGTCAGGAAACTCCGCATCGAAGAATCGTAGGCTTAGACTGGGATATTTCGAGATATTTGAAGAATGCCACGAGCTCAAGGTGAAAATCAGCTTGTTGATATGAGACGGAATCGATTTGATTGACACATGTATGGTGTGATGACCCGATTGCTCGTCATCATCCACCACATCGCCAGAATGCTGGACTCCCGGACATGACTTACTTTCTCTATTGCTAAAATCAATCACGTCTACAAAATTTGTTCCACTGTACAGCAATACCGAAGCATCCAGGTAGTCACGGCCACTCTCCGGATATTCCCATAAAAGATTGAAGATAACCTGGTTAAATCTATCTGGAATTGCATACAACAGTACCAATAGATATATTCTGCTGTTGGGTTGAACATGGTAATCCTTTAAGGTAAGAACTTCGTTGTTCGGCCCTGATTCCTAAAATAAAATTATCCAGATAACCTTTGGTGGAGAGGGCGTTGTTTCGGAATAGCAGGGGTGCATGTAAACTCGACTACTACCATAGGCAGGCGTAGGTTTCTCCTTCCTGAACGACGTTTTGGACGTCCTGGGCATCTTTTAGCGTGCTACCCATTTATCTGTTGTATTACTAAGGCTATTGGGTGCATTAGAGGGACCGCGTACGTACGACACAAGCCCTGTTGCATTACCCTCTGCTAAGGTAATCATTTTTTGTCACCTAATGATCACATTTGGTGGAAATGTTGCATTTTCAAACTTTTGGGGTACATGAATAGTATATAGTGAGGCCGCCTGCTATGTGCGCACTTTGTATTGACTGTCAACAGAACTTTACACTCAACTTACAGAAGTCAATAAAATTACAGAGATCACCGAAATTTCAGATTTCACATAAAACTTTAGCACAATCTATACACTTAATGGACCTTAGACTGAATACTGCGTCAGTCAAATGCTATATAATACCTTCAGCTCAATTTCGTTATACCACAGGGATTGTTTTGGGCAAGGCGTTTCTAGTTCTTGCTCGACAATTTCTTTAAAACTCAGAATGGACTGATCTGGATCGTAGGGGAGCGTAGTACTATCTCCAGAAAGCGTTGCAACAACTATCTGAGAATGCGATTCGTCACTAGTAGCATCAATGGGTTCACTATTTGCATCGAACTCATCGCCGGTAGCGACTGTAGGGAAAAGCAACTCCAAAATCTGAACAAACTGCTTGTATTTTTCGTTGTCTTTTGTAACTTGGACCTTACATTGGGAACACTTCTGGTGATCTTGCACGGCCGTCGTAACACACTGAGAAGAAAAATCTCAAGATGAATAATCGGTTTCAACGTCGAATCAATTACGGTCAGACTATATATCTATCAAATAAAATCGATGTATATAGATCGAGATGTGTGAAGAAATTTTAATGCTATATACGCTCTTAATTTGTGTAAGAGGAACCACTTTTATCACCTCGGTCGGTGGTTTTAAAAAACAATATCAATAATTCATTGCATGAAAGTGATACTCCACACGTTCCTGAAGAATCCCAAGTCCAGAATTAGACATGTTCAAAATCCACGGCTTTAAATCATATATGTAATATGACTGGAATGCGTGACCATTCATAGCACACCAGTTATATAGACTTGTCCTGTATTATCATTATACGTGGTCTGTATGTAGAAGCCTACCATAGTATAAATAACACGAAGCATTTTCGGCATTAGGCAAACTGAATTGAGAACACGTAGAGTAATTAACACTGCACGGCATGCATAACTCATATTAGACATTTTTACCACAGTTCATAAATGCATGTTCGCTTGAGTAATAAATGCATCTATTCAAAAATTCAAATTTTTTAAAAATAATTTATAACCAACATTCTATTTTTAATATCATTGCTGGCATGAATAATTTCTTATATTTGGTATAATGCAAGTACGTGATATCGAAGACAAAGATTCGATCAACGAAATGCAGCAAATATATACTCGTGCAGATAAAGGCGACAATTATTGATTCGCCATAACGATTTTCGATTTATATTGTGCAAATTGTGTATTCAATATATGAGTGTTTACTTACCCTTAGACAATGCAGTAACGCATGTTTAATACAATCTTCCGTGAGGTGTTCTTCAGGAAACTCTTTAGATAATTTATCGTTACCACAAAGATGGCAAATCATGACTGTCGTTTTTGTCGGCTATTTTTTGGGTGAAATATAACAATGAAACGAATAATAAACAATTGCATAAGCCTGTGAGTTCTTGGTATTTCAGCTATTATTAAAAGCGAAAGCTAGAGATTCCCGCAGAGTTCCACGAAAACACGCCCGTCAAATGAGCAGAAATAATCACACAATAGTCACTGTGATTACGGCCAGTGCGATATATCGTCAAATATTGGTCTATACGTGTCGATTTTGAGCATGATGACGTTTTTAAATCGTTTCCATTTTGAGTAGAGTGAAATGATGATAAAGAAGTAAGAAAATAAAAGGTAATCTAAAAATGTCAATGTTATTTTATAAACAATCTGGTATACATACTGTGTACTGTTGTATAAATTGCTGACCGACCAGGCTAGCTAGCCATTGTAGTTTTCTTTTCTTTTTTAGTACGGTTCAGAGTTTAATAGTAATACATTTAATGAAAATGAATTGCTTATGCGCTTTTAGTATAGCTGTTAGTTGTGTTTTGTTTACAATATACGTATTCTGCACTTTTGGTTTCGTTTTCAAATAGAGATCTAAAGATTGACGTTTACGGCAAATTGCAAACGGCAAGCCATAAATCGTCAGTGAAAGCAAGTTAGAAAGGTTTTCCAGAACCTCGTAAATGCTTCTTGCTTCAAATTTTTTTTTCACACTTATTGCCCCAACTAAAATGAGCTGTTATTTGCCTAAACAAAACGATTTCTAGCTTACCGTTTCTTGCAAGCGGTAAGCGTCTATAACTATGTTGAAGTGTACGTCTACTGATTGTCATGATGCTGAAGAAATGTGTATAGTGTCGCCACTTGGAGTTTGCCGTCTATCAAAATGATAACTGAGTATATGAATAGAAGGCGTTAATATATTAGTTTATGGCCAAGGACAAAATGAAACCTAAATGTATACGTATGCATGCAGGTACTAACAGTAAAGGTACCCATGCCTGGTATATACACACGTACAGCAGGAACACTCTGCTGGATCGATATATCAATAATTTCGATGTTGTATCGACAAATTGATTTCTATTGTACGAATATATTGCAAGGAAGTCCATTTGTCTATCTATCGATTGATGAAAGTATTATAGAAAGGCCCGGAAACGTAGGCGTTCAGGTTACTCGACACGGGAATTGCATGGTAAGCACGCAGCAGGTTAATCAACAACGCTTTTGGTACTGGCTGTATTATGGCATGTCCAATATTGCGCAGATAACCTTAAAAATGGCCATCAAAGGATTTTTAGAATCAATCTCGTAGACTCGGGTTCCGGCATTACATATTCAAATTTGTCAGTATTTGTTATTAGTGCTAATGTTCAAATATATAGGGGGGGGGGGATCGGAATTTACTAAGCGCGGTGCATTATGGTCACTGGTATTTTTCCCATCATTACTCGGTTTCTCTCAATCTTTCACGTATGTTCGGTTTGCGGTCCGGTTTTTGTTGGCATGAAATGATCGATTCATTTAAAAATACTTAAAATCAACACAAAGAGCCTTTCAAATACAGTACGTAAATATCGGCTACCTATCCATGCAGGTTATATCCTAGAAGACGTCGGAACTTTGACAAGTTTGCGTTACAATTTTTTGCATTCTTAGAACTTTTTCACTTATTTGAAACTTTATCATAATTCTACTTTTTATTCTCATTTTTCGTTGATTTGTACTAAACATTTAAATTTACGCCAAATAAACTTCTATAAACATGAATGCTGATACATGCCTCCCACGCAATGAATGATAAAATGGGCTTTTCTTTGTCTCTCCGATGTCCTGTGGTGTCACTGTTTCCGCTGGATATAAAACGAAAGTAACTTGCAATTTCAGGTCAACGAATGGCCGAGTGCCCAGACAATTCCAAAGAACAAGAAAGATCAAAAGCAAGCGATGACGAAGAAGATGATGTAGCAGCACAATTTTCTCAGGTTGTCAAACCTGATAACAACTGGAATTTGCTACCGAAGACAGATAGCCAGCCCAGAGTAGATCATCGATGCTCTAAAAAAGAAGGTGATGTAAATCCGTACCGTACAGCTTTCGCTTCCGCTATGAATTATATTTATTTGACTTGCCATTTCAGGCCATTTTTTCTTCCAAATATTTCACCTTAAATGATGTCAAACTCCTTTATTTCGCTGAATACTGTTTTAGAGTTATTTTAGAGTTACACACCACGGGGGCCCCAGCAGAACCCATGCAATTGTAATATTGTATAATAATAATAAGCGTCAATGATTTTTGTTTACTCTAAAACACAATGTGCATAAGATAGTGTTCTCGCTCGTTTTAAAAACAATATAACGGTTTTTTTATTATGGTAAGACACTCCGAGAAGTGCAAAATATTGCACAGCTGCCTTCTCTCAAATAAATCATAAATAAACAAGAAAATAATTGGTTTTGTCACACCTAATGTAGCCAATGCTATAAGAATGAACAATTACCAAAATGGTTTCGCCATATGATTGGGGACTGCGCAACAATTTCCAGGGCTGGAAAATGTCCGTCAGCGCCAGCAGCGCCACTGCTAGGAAATTATTCAGCAATACCACTCGCAGGAAATATTTTTGCATTTCGAAGAAACTTTTTTGTGTTCACAAGTCATTTTTAAGGTTCGAGTTCAATGATCGAGTTTATAGTAGCCGCTCTTTAGTAGCCGCTATATTTTATTGTATCATCAGTGCTTGTTCACTCAAAAATGACAAAACAGTTGTAAAGTAAACCACGCAAATTATTTCGAACAAGGTGTTTCATTTATGCGTTAATTTTATTGAAACATTAAAATAAATTTCTCTCTATTGATATTCAATTTTAAATGTGTTTAAAAAAGGCTAGCACATATCTGAAGTACTCGTTTAAAAATCGACTTTATTTAAAACCGCGATAAAATAAATGTTTTAAACATGCAATATGCATCACATGATGGGTGAGTTGAACATTCTTGAGCTCGATGAAACTGATATCACCAAGCCTCCAATGTGATAACCACTTCGGGCCACAAATATAGCACGTAATATTTAGAGCAAAACACATAATACATTTATAAGCCTTGGTAATGAATCATCCTCAGTGTGGCTGGTTCAATATGCGCATATCAATTATTATTAGCAGTTTTCGTTCCGAAAGATTACGTTGAACGTGCGTATCCAGGGAAATAAATTACTACAGCTCCAACTTGCAAACATATTGGTAGATTTTTATGTAAAAACTTTTTTAAGAAATGAATAACCAATAGCGTTGTTTTTAAGGTATTTTGAATTAGAAATTAGACTGTGTAGTTTATTCCCTGAACCCACCATTGGTTGAATATTATATGGGGACAGGGCCAGGGGTATTTTACTGGGAATTAAAACACTCGTAGAACTCATACGCCATTATTATAGGCCGTACTAATGAATCTGAGAAGAGGAATTTTAAGAGCGAATACCGCTGTGGTAGGGATGGACAAGAAAATGATAAAGAGGAGAGACATCATAGTGGCTCTCTTAATGTTCATCATGAAGAAGGCGATCTTGTGCACCCAGATGATACAATTAGATCCCTTGGGTCGCATAATTTGCGATCAACACCACAGCAGTCAACGAAGGTATAGAAAAAATTCCGCTGTATACAAACACTTCACTATTTTTAGTATTTTGATTAGTAAACCAATCAGAGGCGCACATTAGGAAAATATCTGGGGGTGTCCTACAAGCTACATCCTAGGTCTAGGACCACCTTTTGTTGTATTTCTATCGGATAGGAAAGACCGGTACTATAAGACGCATATTTGACAAATATATAGGCGTACAAGCCTAAATTTAAGTGGAGCGACGAATGATTGTCGACTGTCGGGTGAAAGCGACAAAAACTTTTCAAGTTTTAAAATTCTTCGGAAACATAATTTTGGGCTGAAATTAATTCTATGAAGATGTACAGCAAAAAATGTGCGATTCGACGAAACGACGAAAACACAACGCTGGGTTTAACGGCACGGTCCCATTGTTGAAATTTCAATTACAGGGGGATTGGATAAAGCAAAGGATAAGGCCTATTTGTTTAACCAAAAATCAGAATTAATTTGCAAATGTAACCACAAAAGAATGTTTCACAGCGATTACGTTAATCTTAGAATCTTAAAATCTAAAAATTCTTAGAATGCATGCATTGTTTGAACGCCCACCCAACCCATCAACCAAGGTTTCGAACAAAACAAGTAAGCGGTACCTTTTCGTTGTTTGTCTACCACCTGAAGATTCCTATGCGTATGATAGATTCACTTTAGTGGAGTATCTAAAAAGTATGCTTTGTTTCACCTATAATACAAGTAATTAATATATAACTATTTAATAATTAATAGGTTGATTTCTATCTCTTGATCCCCGAGACATACTCCGTTGCCAATGTTTGCATCCATGCTGGTCGTCATTGGGGAGAGTTATTCGAATGCGAGCAACCGAATCTATGGAAATGTAGCTTAGACTTGCCTGGTGACCCAATAAAGAATCGTTTTAAATATAGTTACAGCCTTTATAGAAAAAAGCATACGTTTAAGATACCTGGCATTGGCAGAGTAGACCTAGGAAATGTTTTACACTGTAAAGAGTCGGCTGAAAGGTGTGTAGGTTCACAAGTCCAGTATGACGTCTTCCATTTTCCCGAGGACAGAACCTACATTAATAAGACGATTCCTTCAGCTGTAATCTTCTACCTGAAGTGGTTACTGCCGCATGTTAATCAACTTAGTATCTCTGGCATCCTTGCTCAAATTAAAACTCTGCAATTTGGGTGGCTCAACATGGAGCATACAAAACATTGTGCTACCTGGATTGTACAAGAGACGTTGGGCAATTCCGTAAGCGACACACAGCGGTTGTATTTGTGTATTGTCCTGGCTCATCTTCAAAACATCTCGTCTTTATTTTCACGAAGTAATAACCAGACGGCTGAGGTGTGCGACCGCTTTCTTCAATGTTTGAATGCCTGTGCTGATTCCAACTACCTCTCAAAAACGGACTTACAACTTTTAAAAAAGGTTGCTGGTATTTTGGTGGAGAATAGCAGCAGTCCAGGCTGGCTTACTCTTGCAGCACATTTTTATCCATATCTTGGGATCAAATTTCTCCTCAGCGAAAGATATAACAGTGGTTTAAATTACATTTATGATGTTATGGAATACCATAAAATTGTCGACGCACTATTTAAATACACAAGGACACTAAACAATATTGAGCAGCCTGCCCACCAAAGATTGCTACGCTGCGTGTTGATGGACGCCCCAACTTTGAATGATGCCATAACGCAATTTGAAAGATGCGAGCTCCGCCCATTCTTCGCTGACGAACACGAAAAAGTTGACTTTTTCGTCAAATTCTACGAAGAAAATTCACGACATCAAGGGACGCGAGATGAAAGCATAGGTGCAGAGCTAGTTCATTTCTTTGAACTTCCGGACACAATCCGTGAAAAGCTGCACACGCTTCTGTATGACATCCTGCTCAAAATCTCAATGTCAGTGGACCAGTTACAGAAGAAACACGAGAAAATGTTTCTTGAAGCGATGCGTACTCTTGGTATGAATGAAGTCCATGTTGTACTCAAGAAGCTATCGACGTCAAAATCAGTTAACGGTCAAAGGCTAGTTCTTGAAATTCTGAATAAGAAGAATTTTGAAGAAAAATGGCTTCGCACACCACAAGCAATCAAAGTTGAAATTTGCAAATCGTGGGTAATTGCTCGAGTGAAAAACAAAGCATCCGCAGATAATCTCAGTGGCGAAGATAAGGTTGTTGCAGTTTACGAAGCATTTCATATCATAATGCACTGTTCTCTTAATATCTCAAATGAATCTTTGGCGGAAGAAATATCTACATCCGCTGTTGAAATGGTACTAAAAAATGAAGATGCTATTTGCGTTCTCAAAGCTTTTCCCATCATAGAAAATTATGTGGATGTTGTTCAGAATTGTTACAAATCCCATGTTGAGATGGTACTGCAACAAGCGCCAAGTGTGATAAGGAAATCAACAGTGTTCCTAAATGAATGTTCCAGAAGCGATAGGTACACAATAAGAACTTTTTTCAGTTTTTCTTACTGTTTGTTATTTCCTACGACCCATCACGAACCATTCGATTCCTTAGGTTTCCTTCGAAGTGATCTCGCGCTCATTAGCCAATCAGCGCTGGGCTATCCAACTACAAATCCATTTCAGCATTTAATCGATTATATCTTTTGTTATTCTTTATGAAACTTGACAAAACTTTCTAGTATGTCAGAGCTATAGTTCTCGTAAGTAAACATAAATTGCGAACCAAAATTCGCACGATTTCGAGAGACTTAATTGAAAAATGTCTTTCTTGTCTTAATCGAAAAATGTATTTCTATTTGACAACGAGTTCCAGTCCTTTCCCGCGTTTTCAAATCACCTGGTTGATGTGGCTTTACATGATTTTCTCAAAACATGCACGACACGAGGGCCTTCAAAACGAATGTCAAGCATTTCATAACTACAATTTTATTTTGTTTTGCCTATAGTCTTGGTCAGGAACTTTTGTCCTGCATCTTGAACATCATAGATATACCAGAAGTTGCCATGGACGAGAAAATCAAGGAAAGTGACTTCAAAAAAGTTTTTGATTGGTACGACGTTTGGATAATCCTTTTTAAAACCAGAGGTAAATCCTTAACAATTATATCTTTAGTAAATATAGCGATTACCAATTCTCGTGAGTTACAAAATTTATTATAGTTTTTTCTGGTATCCTAGCGGATTAAAAACCCTCGCAGAATAAACGTATCCTTCAAAATCCGAAAATGGCGACCTTGCATATTTTATCATTGTATTGTATTTTAAAATAGACCAAAATTCGTGGTACAAATATTACAGATATTTAGGTTATAAGAATTTAGGTATCAAAGCCTACATTTTCAGGTCAAAGAGTCTATATTGAGGGCATGACGTACAGCTTTTGCGACCTATAGCTTTATTTCTATTCCTCTGGGTGGGCTAAAAACGTATGAGGCTTTAGGAGTATTTTTAAATTATTTTGCTCCATGGATTGCTTATTTTCAGGAAAAATTGAGAAATCAATGAAATATAAAACTGGAAAAAATATTTGTCAACAGCTGGAAAAGTGCATTAGGAAAGGCGATATATCAATACAGTTTTTGGAATTAGTCAACAAAAAGAAAGAAAAGGTTTCCATGCTGTGCGCTTGTGTGCTGAGTAAGTCTAAGCCAAAGTGTCACTTGACAGATCTTCAAAAGCCAATTTTAATTAAAATCTCCGAGTTGACGCATCTTAAGAAGGATTTCGACCGAAAATTTGAATTGCTGGAATCTGCAATCAACCATGGAAAGAAAATATCGCATGATGTTTCTACTGTTCAAGGAATCGAGACCGTCATCCTGACAGTCAATAACCTGAAAGAAAAGATGTGTACAGTGAAGGTAAACGAGTTGAATCATGATGAGGTTTGGGGAGATTTACTTCCTTTATTAGGCCCTGCAAAAACAATACAACCTTTGGTAAATTCGCTGTCCTTTATGATCGTCGCTAAAAAGGGCCTGGAAGATTTACGTGATTCGGATATAGACGAGGATGGGAGCGAACTAACAGAGTTTAATTTCAAATCATTCATTGATTATCTGACAACCACCGCAATTGAACACTTTCAGTTGCAATGGAATCCCGTGTTCAATGATTCTGGATCGCTTAGTGTTGAGACCATGATGATGTTACTTGGCTCGTTGAAGGATCAACACGTACTTGATAAAGAGCTTAAATTACTAGAAGTATATTTCAGGCGAACTTTTTCTTCTTTTAGTAAAGAATGCATTCAGGGTTATGTAAGATATTCACATGTCTTGGAACAAGTTCAGCATGCCATTGTAACGCTAAATATATTTGGATTAGCAGATGCTTCAAGTGAAACGATGAAATCGCTTCTACATTTCCAAGCAGTCTCAGAGAAAAGTGATGAGCTCACTCTTAAATCGCTGTACCAATCAATGGAAGAAGTGAAAAGAATAGTTTCGTCCTTTTCTGGCGAGGAGCTAGACTGTGTAATTGAAAGCTTGTCAAGATCCAGTGAATTGCTAGAATTTATAGAAGAGATCGTTGACGAAGACATCCTTTTTCTAATTGATGCAGTTGAAGAACATTTTGATCAGTTTGTACCCGAGTCGTCTGTTTCCGACCTTATTGAAGTCCACGGATTCTTAGCACCTTTGATTAAGAAGAGAAAAGACAAATGTAATCCACAACACTTTTTGGAGATGTTAAAAAACTCTTGCCTTGGTCATAAAGGCATAGCTGCAAAGATTCATCAGTGCAGTATAAACGTGAACAGTCTTCATGGATTGTACGCGAGCATTGCAAATCGAGGAGAGATGACTAAAGAAATCATCAGAAATTGCCTTAGCGGAGGAGAATTCATAATGTCCCAAAAAGATGGGAAATGTGAAGTTAAAATGAGTTACGAGTGCAGTGGAGATAAAAGACGGAACTACTCATTGTCAGACCTACACCATTTACGAAGTCGCGCTCATCTTATCGTTACCTCCAACAAAAATGCCAAGAAAGTTCAAACCTACAACTCGAGCAACAGAGGCGAGGACATCAATTTTGATAAATTTATATATCAAGTTAATCTTTTAACAGAGATCTCCACTCTTCTAACAAAATTGCGTTCCTCTGGGTATGTGAAATACCAAAACTATTGGAGACGAATGAAACCTAGCGATGATGATCTCAAAACTACCAGGGATGAATTGCAGCGCGATTTAAATAACTGGGATAACATTCTAAGAAAAACACGCGGACGTTTCTACTTCCTTAATTATTACCGGTCTGATCAACTTTGCACTATCTTTAATTTTTTGGTGAATCGTGGGAGGAATAATTTTGACGAGGTTCTATCTTTAATCCATTTTGTGGACAGACGGATCACCGAGCAGCAGTTGAAGCAACACCAAAATATACAGTTGGATTTGAATTCAATACCAAACGACAACCCAGAATTACTGCTATCGACCGTTGGTGAAGCATTGGAAAAAATCTTCAGAGATCCACATCCTGTCATCAGACCAATATCAGATGATTTTCAAGGTCAATCAGGCTCTAAACTGGAGGTTACCGTTACCCCAGGGGAAATTTTTGTTGCGAGTTTGGAGGGAGAAAGTCCGTTAACAGCCAACGTCATTCTTACACTATACGAGAATACTTCGAATGCATTTCCAGAGCCGTATCAAATCGTCTTTTGCAGTCCTCAAACAACTTGGGAGGAAATACATCTGCTACTTCAAAGATGCTTTACGCATTCGGTTTCCCCCCGTCACAAAAGCCTATTTTGTATCGCAAACGTTGAGTTGTTGTCGAATGAATTGCAGTTCAGATTGGTTGACGAAATAGAAGAGAAATCAAAATGTTATCGAGCTACCAAAGAGAATGGCGACTATCAGCTTGCTTTAATTTGTCGTGGTGGCGACCATCATCACATTGTGGAACAGTTTGCTCAACATTCACACAACATTCCTGGTATGACTGATCTTGTTCTCACGCAACGTCTAAAATCTGGTTGGCCAAATGTAAAAATGATCACTTCAACGCTCCCTGGTCTTGGTAAAACAGAGCATATCAAACGCGAGGCACTAAAGAATGGTTTCAACGTTGCTACATTCTCCATCAGCGGACCATTTGAACCAAGAAAACTCATTCAACGTCTAAAAGAACTCAAGTTAATGGAATACCATTGCCTACACCTTGATATTGGGGAGGTAAACGACCCGTTGTCATTGGACACATTTCTATTTCAACTTATTCTCACAGGAATGGTTTCAGCTGGAAATCAGTTTTATCATCTTCCCAAATTACACATCTACATTGAAATAGCAAATACGCTGAACGACAGGCTCCGAGAGTCTTTGGTGGTTGCAAAGTATTTCACTCGTGTTCACTTGATATGGCTGGATTACGAAGACTTTTTGGTCAGCCCTGAAATCACAAGTAATGTTCAAGTTGTTTGTCAGTACTTAGATATCTTCGATCGAGGCTCGATTGAATCAAAGGAAGTTCATTTCAGTGGCCCGAAAACGCCAAAGCCATTGACAGCGATTCGCTGTCGAGAGCTTCTAGCGAAGTACTTTGCGTCAGACGCTGATATCACCTTCACAACGCTCCACACATTCCTAGCAGTGCTGGCTGTTCAACTTTTAAAGTTTTCTAGGAGTGTTTTCTTCAAAATTGAAAAGCTTAAAACTATGGTGGGCAAAGAAATTCGGGGTGTCCGAAATATTCTTTTTCACGCCCTCTTGGAAGTATCAAAGCAGTTCGCGTCCCGTGCTTTAACCACTTGTCGCTCAAGTCATGCACGAAAACTTTCACAAAAAGAGTCAGCAAAAGCTCTAGACGAAGCGATGGTATCAAATGTCAAGTTAGCTGAAGATATGGTAAATCGGGTAAGGTGGATGATAAAATGGGAAGACAACAACCATTTGTTGGTCGTGTTTCATGGTCGTAACACACAGGCAATCACTGCTATGTATCGCGACAAATCTGATGTCCCTGCGAGCGTTGAAAAATTGTTGAAGAGTCAAGACATCAAAGGATACAAAGAACTTGAAGACTTTAAGGTTTTAACTCAAGAACAACTACAAGAGAAATTAGAGAAGATAGCTTGCACAAAACCAGTTGCAAAAGAAAATCCTTTGCTCCCAAATTACGCATTGACTCCGGATAACATCCTGAAGATGATACTAATCATATTAAGAGTTCGTGTCAATGTTCCGATAATAATCATGGGAGAAACCGGTTGTGGAAAAACAAGTTTGGTTCGTTATCTGGCATACACATGTGGAGTACAATTTTGTAAATATAATTTTCATGCTGGAATATCAGAAGAAGAAATCATCACATTTATCAAAGAGAAGGATACCCAGGCCAGAAGCATTCAAGAACAAATATGGATTTTCTTGGATGAAATAAACACATGTGACCATCTAGGTTTGATAAGTGATATCATGTGTCATCATGCCTTACTTGGACGAAGACTGTCCAATAATCTTGTCTTCCTTGCAGCTTGCAACCCGTACACATTACGACCCGAAGAGCAAATTAGGACAGCGGGTCTCCAAGGTAAAAATATCACAGACGATTATTCCGATCTCGTGTACCGTGTCAATCCACTACCTGAAGCTATGATTGACTATGTTTGGGACTATGGCTCTCTAGGTTCGGAAGATGAACAAGACTATATTCGGAGAATGGTTCGGGTTCTACCGCAAGATTATAAAGATTTGCTGGTAAAATTGCTATCTGCGTCACAAAAATTTCTCCGGGATGCTGAGAAGAACAGATTTTGTGTGAGTTTACGTGATGTGGACCGCTGCATTCGCCTGATTAGTTGGTTTCATGACATGACAGAGAAACGTCAAGAGCTAAAGAGTAGAAAAGATAAATGTCCCGACCGCCTTCAAGAATACTTTTTGCTATCTCGAGAATACGACAAAAAAGCAATGATAAAGAGCATTGTTCTCGCTCTTGCACATTGTTATTTATCCAGACTGCCGACGGCAGAGTTGCGGAAGAATTACCGACGGAAGATGATAGATTTGTTTACACAAAACGGAACCATGATGACATCTAATGAAAACTTGGATAGCTTTTCCGCCATTGTACGTATAGAAGAAGAAGATTATTTGGATCGAATGGAACTGCCCCCAGGAACAGCAAGAAACGCCGCTCTACGGGAGAACGTATTTGTTATGCTGGTTTGCATTCTAAACAGAATTCCAATTTTTGTAGTTGGGAAGCCTGGATGCAGCAAATCATTATCCATTCAACTGATTCGAAGCAACCTACGCGGACGTGATTCGCAAGATCCTTGGTTCAAAAAGTTGCCTCAGCTTTATGTCGTCTCGTATCAAGGTTCAGAATCATCAACATCAGAAGGAATCATAAAAGTGTTTGAAAAAGCACAAAAATACAAATCTCACAACAAAGATGTCCTGCCTGTTGTTTTGCTTGATGAAGTCGGATTGGCTGAAAACTCGAAGTACAATCCTCTCAAAGTTCTACACAGCCTGCTAGAACCTGGGGATGGGAAATTGCCAGAGGTTGCAGTCGTGGGTATTTCAAATTGGTCGTTAGATGCAGCGAAGATGAACAGAGCAATTCATCTGTCCAGACCTGAACCAACGAAAGAAGATTTGTACGAGACTGGCTATTCACTACATTACGCTGATGATGGTGATAACGGGAAAAAATTGGGAAAGGATGTGTTAAAGTCTTTAGCAGAAAGCTATTTCGAATACGAGACTACACAGACAAAGGGCAATTTTCATGGTCTGCGCGATTACTACTCCTTGGTTAAGAGCGTAAAAGGTTGTAGCAACTTTAAAGCGGTCAACATCTCATTACAGCGTAATTTTGGAGGAATTCCTGATGACGTAACCCACATTCAGAAGATTTTCCTCGACAGATTGAAGAACAGCATGATTTCCAGTGACCATGATATCATCCCAGTAACTGAGTTAATTCAAGCGAATCTTGCAGATCCCTATGCACGTCACCTGATGCTTATAACAAGTGGAGATTCGGCCATTGGAATTTTGAGGCAATGTTTGTCCAGCCTAAAGAAAGAGACTATCACAATATATGGCAGTCGTTTTGAGGAAGATTTGTCTGAAGATTATAACTACAGAATCTTGAGCCGTATAATTCTCTGCATGGAACAGGACTGTATTCTGATATTACGAGATCTGGAAAGTATCTATGGTAGTCTGTATGATATGCTAAATCAAAATTACGCCGTCGTCGGAAACAGAAAGAATTGTCGTGTTGCTCTTGGTGCTAACAGTAACCCGATATGCCAAGTAAACGACGGGTTTCGCTGTATTGTGCTAGTTGATCAACCCAAAGTAAAATTCTCTGATCCGCCATTGCTTAACAGATTTGAGAAACAAGTTCTGCGCTTCTCTGATGTCCTGACTGAAGACGAACAGAATGTTATCACTGAACTTCTTCGATGGGTCGAAGAAATATCCACTGTGGAAGGTTTGGAATCAAAGTTTAGTAAAACAGATATGTTCATTGGTTTCCACCAAGACACACTCTCATCATTGGTCTTGTCACATCGTAATAAAAAAGATTGCGTTTTGAAGAAATGCAAAGATGACTTGATGTGGATAGCCTCTCCTGATGGCGTACTTCGAGCGCGGAAATGTAGTCTTTTTAGGGAAGACTCAGAAGAAGTGAGACAACTAACTGAGGACTATTTCAAAAAACCAATTCACCAAGGTTTTTCTGCATTCATTGAATATGTTAAGAACAATCATAAGAAATCATCTTTCTTTGCCAGTGATGCGATTGGATCCAAGACAGTCGTAATGACATTTGCTAACATTCATACAGTAATTCGTGTGGGAGAACAGTCGAAATGTCAAGTTGAACGCTTAAGTGCTTACAAGTCCGAGAAGCAACTAGCTGAAAGTATAAGTAAATTTTGGAATGCACCTAATAAGGAATTGTTAGTTTTGCAGTGTAAATCAGATTTGGATGGCTTACATTTGCTTCTTGCACGATCAATTATTGAAGAAAAAAGAAATGTTTACAAACAGTGTTCATCTGGATCAGGAACTCCAGTATACAAGCATGTATGTATCGTAGTGCATGTACAACGTGGGGAAGCCGCTGATATTTCGTGGCAATTCAGTTTCCTGTGTGGTTGGAGACTAGTATTTCTCGAGGACCTGGAAGATCATCATGTTTCCCTAAATCAAATACTTGGAAAAAGTGTTTCAGATCTTCTCACATCTCCTATCTGGCCTCTTCGCAGGATTGCACAACGTCATCTTCTCTGGTGTTTCACCCGTATCAAATATGTACGTAGCCAACGACGTCTGGATACGTTTTTACACATCGCAAACAATCTTTTCAATTCAGAAAGAGTTTCAAGAGAAATTGAATGTCTCATTTTGCAGGCCATTACTATGGATGCCCCCGAACATGATCAGATAACTCACAAGACAGAAAGTTGGGAAGTTAAAGTTGCTTGTGATCGGCAATTATTATCTAATTCATGCACCCTTTACTGTGCCATGGAACAGTTTGTCTCCAGGTTAGTCCGAAATCCATTGGCCAAAATTGTTTACTTTCTTGAAAAAGAGAATGCCTGGCCACCACATATAGCTGATCGTAGCGGCTTCGATAAATCCCTAATATCAACCTTAGAAGATCTGTGGTGTAATTTCATCAAAACCAACGTAATTTTTCAAGCATCAGACATACCAGAGCCACTTGGAGCTGAATCATATGTTCTTAACAGCATAAGTCTTGATCTTAAGTTACCTTTCAGCCAGGTACTTGTCAGAAAAGTCGACAATGTCAAAGAACTTTTTTTAGAGGACAAAGCACAACTTGAAGAAAATGAAGATAATTACGACAAAAATAACCAGCTAAAGCAGACTGTTCAGCAACAACAGCAAAAAAAATATTCCAAGATGATCACAAACCTAGTTCCCCAAATCCTCGTTTTTACATTGGACTGTTGTAAATTATACATGGATGATATTTTTGATATGATGACTGCTGACTTTAGCCCAATATTTAATCGTTCTGAACGAGTTTCAATAGCACAAGCAATGTTTATATCGGAGGTCAAATCAAATTTGCCGGCAAATGATACAGCTGAGTTTTGTACGCTGCTGCAAACCTTTGTATGGATCTATCGCGAACAGATCCTTGATTTGCTAAAAATGGTTGAGTGCTGTTTGCCGTTTGTAGGATTAAATGTTTTAAAAAATGTCACAGATAACATCTTCCACCACTTGCAGGTGACATTCGTTAGACACCACGAGACAGGAGGAAGTTGTAATGATGACTCCCTGGGGAAGGAAACCGGAGTGAATGAAATAAATGCGGTAAAATTTCACTCTAAGTCCAATATAGATGAGACAATTAAAGATGAGGAAGCTGATGATAAAGAATTAGAGAGTTATCCCAAATTTTTGAAAAATTTTGGAGACAGCATGGTGACAGTATACTGTGAAGAAATGCTACCCTCGAAGGGCAATGTGGAAAAGAATGGCGGCCTTCGGCCATGGTTGCGAAATGCGAGCTTGCTTCTTTCACTAGCGTTCAAGATTTGTGAAAATTCACCAGCATTCCATTACCTACGTTCGTGCGTTGATTTCTCGAAGATCATTCTAACGCTAACTGGGACACACACGTATCTACGTTTTTTGTTTCATTTGAACAAAATCGCTGAGGATCTTCGACCTGAATATCTAAAACACAAACGGTCGTTTGAAATGATAACCAACCAGCTACTCAAACCTTTGGAGGAAGAAATAAAGGATCGCACGCCCGATAAACAAGAAGCATTTCACAAATTTTCAGCATTGTTTTATTGTCGGTGCATCGATACCCATGCTATTGGCAGTGGCGCTCGCCTAATAGTTGAGCACTTTTTTTCATTAAAGCAGTCAAAGTTTGTAATGAGGATGAGCCCTGTTATCTTACGATTACTTATGGTGGAAGGCTCTTCTGGGGTATTTATCGATATAATCACCAATCCAGGCATCATCGAAGAATTCCCTTGTCTTAAGAATATCGACGGAGTATTAAAACATCATACATCATTGGTACATCATGACTCGTATCCAACAGTAATGATTTGTGACCTAATCCAACGTTTGCTAAATTTTGAGGAGCAGTGTGAATTTGATGACCTTCACAGTTCTGATTGCAAAGCACTCGCGCTTGCTAAATCTTCAAAAGCGCTGATATCACAATACAGCGAAGATCATTGTGGTCTAAGCCTACTTTCAGCCGTCGCATTCCTTCGAGGACTCTTGAGAATGGTTGCAAAATTTGTTGTTAGAAACCCCAATGTTTTGAAGGAAGACAGTCCATATGTTCATTTGTTGACTGAAATTAATTCCCTCATTAATGGTCCAAAATCTCCGTTGCAGTTATTTTTTCTGAAACAAATCAAAGAGGACACAAATCTGTTTGATTTACGAAAGTTATTTAGCGAGAGCAGCACTTTTCCAACAATAAAGGGAATATGGTGTGATGAAAAATGTAGAGACAAGGCAGTGTTTACATCTGTATTGAAGGACCCTGAATATGAAGAAGCAAAAGCGGCCTATTGGAAATTGAGCGAAAACGACGATTCATCTATGAAAGCATTTTTGACGAAATGCTGTAGTTCTCCCCATCATGGTTTTGCTCTTGTTGGCATTTTTATAAATATGGTTTACCTAAAACGTGCCGTGAGAAAACTCACTGTTAAGGAAGAACAATTGGTTGACTGGGTCGACAAAAACGTTTCATCGATTGATGCGTCGTTGCCGGCGTTACTTCGGGAAACTTTTCTAAGAGTTGTAGGCCGTCGTGAGTTCAATTGCTCAAAACTTCAACTGTCACCGCAATCATCAGTGGAGGATGTAGAAATAGCGTTACTTTTTGTTCACATTGGCAGCGTTGTGGCAACTAGTGCAGCAAACGAAAAATTACCATTTTACCGTTATATTACCAACTCTGTCACATTTGAACAGCCCTGTGTTCTCGCTCATTGTCCAAAAGCACGTTCCGTGATGGCATACCCTCCATCTGTTAAAGAATCTATCCATGTTACATGCTCGTGTGGTTTAAGGCTGGCTTTTAAAAGCAATTCCAATAAAATAGTTTGTCCACAGTGTCGCGCAGCTCTTAGTATACCCAAGACGGCAACCATCGTATCTGACGAAACGTCTTCGACATTACCACCCTCCTGCGATGATTCAAGTCCAGAATGGGATCTCTGCACAAGGCACATGCGCCCAGCAATTTATCGTGCCCTACACCTCATCGTTTACTCTACCTTTTACGTTGGAATAGCTCTTGGGAGTTCGAACGAGGAAAACCTATCGAGTATGTTAAACAAGTTACACGGAATTGATCCTGGGAGTGACTTAAGAGGTATTTGTTTAAAGATCATCGAAGCTGATTTATCCTGTCTGATGAATATCCTTAGTTGCAAAAAAGATATTGCAATTAAAACTATGCATCTCGTAATCGAAAAAAGTTCAGACCTTATTAGTGGTAAACACCTCCTAGGAAACAACGACTGCTCAACGCCAAAAATGTGTCAAGAGTGGGAAGCTGAATTTTCAAAACAAATAGAAGTAGTGTTTACGAAGTCAAGCAAAACGGAAATCAAGCAGATGTTAAAATTACAACAGACGAAAGACAGTCAAGAAACAGATATACTGGACTGCCGCATCTTGGAACTTGACGATTATCCAGACGACCCAGAAGAACAGAAAGCGCAACTTAAGAATTTGTACCGTGTAAAAAGCAATCCAAGTTTAGAATTATTTCGTGCAGCATTCCTGTTCTCCCCAGAAGAGGTTCAGTTGAAACATGGTTTCTTAACATTGTTCTTTGCAAACTTTGAAAAAATACAGATAATCAGAAACCTTCATCACCTTATGAAATGGACTCGCCTAATGTCATCTGCATTAACCCACCGCATAAGCAGAAAAGAAGCACTATTAAAGGACATAGACGGTTTTATGAAAGGTCATCTTCCAGGTGAAAAACAGAATTTAAACATGCTATTCGACAACTTCACGGAAGCATGGAACGAAATGTGCCCCTTTGTCAATGAAGAGCTTAAGGATAAAAGGGGGGAGATGCCGCACATAACAGAGACGAGTTGTGTAGCTTACTGTCTTACTGAGAGTGATTGTGGTATTTACCTTAAAACAGCTATTAAAATCCTCATCGGCTACCAGAATTTAATTTTAGATGCGGTCATCTCTCTTTCATCATATCATCATCCGGCTCTAACCTTTCTAGAAAAAGGAAACGCCAGCGCGAGTGGTATCATGTCCGTTTCCATTCAGGACGTGAAGGACAAAGAAATGATCAATTTCCAGTGGTCTGATGAGTTTCTGCAAAATGCACAAAACAATCTTCATTATGGCAAAGGCAAAGAAATTATTTATGATTTAGAGCGAATAGAAATGGAACTTGCAGTAGAAATCGCCTCTGGAAAGTGTTACTTAAGAGGAGCACTTAATAAATTTATATTTGCAAAGGAACTGTTTCATTCCTGTGGCCCTTTATTGACAGAGATTCGGCCGATAATGAGTCCAACCGTACCAGAGGAAGTACGCAAAGGTCTGTCCAACCTGAAAGAACGGAAAAGCAAAGAAGCCCAGGAGCTTCTACAGCATATCGAAGTGCTAATTTATCTTCTTAAACAAAAATTTAGAAATTTCGACGAGAATATGTCTTTGGAAGAACTAATTGAAAAATGGGCATCGGTATTGCAAGATGGTCACCGTTTTTCACCGTTTCCAGTAAATTTGTTACCGGAACCTCAAAGTTCTATTAAGATTAAGCACATTGCTGCTCTTTACGAAGCTGTTGAAGATATGCTTACAGATGGCGTTATCAACGGACTCGCTGATAAATTCCGAAAGGGGTTAACAGAGGAGATGAAAGTGACCGTTACCACAATGATACGCAAAGATATTGAACAGCTGAAACCGCAGAACCTTTTGAAAGCACTGCGCCGCTTTGTGTTCCGCTATCTTTCATCCGACGCCTCTAGATACTGGCCCGAAGAGAGTGCAACTTTAGAGTCTTGCTTGAGGGAACCTTCGCTGTGGTTTCCACTTCTACCACCAAGCCCAGATGACATTCCGCAAGAAATTACTCTCAAATACATCCACTCAACTGCGGTGTATCTTGAAAAATTGGAAAAGGTAAGATCCCATATTTGTACGTTGCCTAAACTATGATTGTTCTTACCGTGTATAGGTTCTGCAAGCTCTGTTGCATAAAGACTAAACATTTGCTCGATCCATAAAAAATAAATACTCCTATATTTTTGCTTACATGTGTTGATATACTTGCCAAGAGATCACGATTCATGTGACATTTGTATAGTTTTACTACCTCCTTGGAATATTTATAATCTATTTTTAATATAACTTTAGTTTGAAAAAAAAATGGCCTTTGAGCATTTTGATTGGCTCTCACCAGTAACTATGAGGCAATAGTTACGACCCAGACGGCTCCCGGCAGTAACTATTATTGCTTTCCAAAAAAATTCCGAAAATTCTAGTATTAAATTCTAATATTAGTGCGAAAAAGTAGGCAACAAAATACGGTGTGAAATTGTAACGTGAATTAAGCAATATATTTTTACTTAACGATTTATTTTACATTTAAAATGGCTTGGAAATAATTAACAACACTATTTCAATCGCTTTGTAGTGAACTAATCGCTGACATCGCTCTCTGTTATGTTGTTGTTGAATTGTTTAGTAGCCGTTTAACTTTCGGTCGCGTGATACGTGTATTACGGTTGCGTGACACAAAAACGAAGTCCACAATTTCTCCAATTTATATTAATAAAATAAACTCGGTTTATTTGTAGTTTTATTGATAAATAAAATTTTTCGTAGGGCGGGAAAGGCAGCAGCAAAATACCAGGCCTTCGAAATAATTCTTCGCATGGACCACCTGGTCGACGTCGAAAAATCTCCCGCACATGATTAGTGAGTGTCGATTTACTTACAGTCGAATATATAAGGGATTGTATTGTAGCTGTGCCCGAGGACAATCTATTAAGAATATTTTAATCATTATAATTATATAATCAAAAGCATTATCACCACTGTACGCTAGTTAATAAAAGATATACTACCATAAGATATACGAGACAACATAATAAAAAGGATTGTGGCAATTAGCTTTAGTTTAGTTTTACGTGTAGGTAAAGAACTATAGCGATACGATTTTTGTCTCTTTCAAAGTAGCTTTAAAATTTAAAAAGAAGCAACAGCACTATTATGATTTTTCGTATCTCGCCGAGTGAGCTGTCAGTCATTCTTCACATGAATCATACCGAAGTTTTCTTTAACTTGTCACATTAGAATTCAAACAGTTTTCGAAGTTATATTTTTGAGTACTCGGTCCGAAACAAGCTATAGCCTTTACCAATCCAAGTGGGACATGGAAGGCGAATGGTTCTATATTACCAGAATTAAATTAAGGCCATGGAGCATAGAGTTTACAAAAATAAAATTGAATCGCTTCTTCGAAGAGACAAAAATGTTTATTGCAAAAGGCGTAAGATTGTAAGTATGAAAATCATAGAATCTAATATTAATCACGTATGTGAATATAACAATACATATATAGCTATAACAATATTTATATAACAATATTTGTAGTTTTTTGATCACTTAATTAGCATGCAATGAAATTAAAAAAACAAAGGATAAGTTTATATATACTTTCTTACCATCCTGCTTATGCTACGCGCATAATATAGTCATAGATTATAGTACTGTAAATTTTTTGGTGCATATATTAAATGTTGCATTCCCACAGCTTACAAGTCTATATTTAGTAAAGCGGAGTAGCTGCAGATGTATTGTTTGTGTAAATTTACCGATGTTTGTGTAAATTCACAGATGTTTTTAGCCACGTTTACACATGTTTTGCTGTAAACATTGGATTGTGGGGTTTACTTGTTAAAAAACGCCATGACCTATCAACCATGGTTTGTCCGAATTCCTATATTACTTATCTTCAGACCAAGGCCTTGGTACCCTTTTATTTTCCCAATCACCAATGTCCATACCTTGAACCTCCTAAATATAAACAAAGATCAGTAACTGATCTAGCTACTTTATATTTAGACCAAGAGTCAGTGCGTATACCCTTCCCTCATGTCAACACAAAATACTTTCAAGTAGCTATAATCATGTGACTAAATGGTGACCAAATGATAATATACTTTGTAATAATAATACCAAATGATAATATACTTTGTAAGCATCCTCCAATGTCAATGGTTTTTCTTTTCTTCTCACATGAAACTTTTGGGTTTCTTCATAATTTAGCTAAAAAATTATTTACCTGCTACATTTTTATCATTTAAGAAAAGCAATGCATCACAGAAAACTTTAGAAGGGAGGGTGAACTTAAAAGGTGGAATTTATATTTAAGCAATGATGGATCTCTGATAGGATGACTGAAGACATGTACTTTTAGCAAAAAAATAATCTGTTCTTCACCTCACTATGCTTTGGTAATTACCTAAGAATTAGAAATTTTGCTATTTCAACTCCTTTTCTTTTCTCAATTATTGTTTTGCTTCTAAACAATGTAACTCTACTAGACATGGTGATTTTTTATACAATGTATATAATTTACCATGGACCACAGAAATGGGGAAGGGGTAGTCAAAAGTATTGAAATAAAAGTCAGACAGTAACTGGCTAACAATTAGAACTTAGCCCCCCCCCCCCAGCTTTCTAATATGCTCCACAGGCCCTGGTATATACAATTTAAAGTTTTACATATGATGACTCATTTAAATAAAAATCACTAATCAGGGGTCAGTTGTTTTAAAAGACTAGTTAACTTTTAACTGTAGTTAAAGACAGAATTGACCAATCAGAGTTGTGCATTTCTGAGTTAACTAGGATTTCTCTGTGCAAAATGTAGTTAGAGTTTCTCAATGGGAGTATTTCAGATTCTGTTATGAATTTCATGTACTTGATAACTTTTTAAAAAATTGAAACTGGACAAACTAGATACTAAACTTGTTTGTAAATGTACACTTGTTAAAATGAACACTTCTTGAGTTCTTCATATTTAATATGTCAATGTTCAGGTAGAATGAGAGATTTATAATTTACCCTAACATTCACTGCTGCCATCATGTTTCAGCTTATCAAAAATGCTTACTATAAGTATTATAACAAATTAAATCTACAATTATTTGGCTGTCAACCAATACTAGTTAAAGAACAAGACCTTTCTGACTTTTTCATCCCGCTTCTTCATCTTAATCTCTGTGAACTCAGACAAACCGACAGAACCGAGAACAACCAAAAGCTGTCAACAATTGCAAATGGTGATTGTAATGTTGTGTTTGTTATATTTGTTGTAATACACAATTTAAATTTTGAAATATATGACAAGAAATCTACTACTACAGTAAAAACAACTAATAATGCAGTAGTTAATACTGCTTTTAATAAAAAAAGACATACCACCATAGGCATTCCAAATTTCAAAAACGACCTCTGTCCACTGCTTAATTTTTTCATCCAAAACACCCATGACCATGCTGCCATCTTGTTTTGATTCATCAAAAATACTTCATCTTATGTGAAGTATACTGATTCAAATAATTCCCACATCATTCATTTTCACATATTGTGAAATTGAGTATTATACTAAAACAAGGCTGTTTCAGTACAAAGGTGAAATTTCAGTGATATGAGGGTTCAAAGACAGTCATAAAATTCTTGTGGCATTGAGAAAGGGGACTTTTTGTTTACAAACACTGCTCGCCATTTTTTTTAACCCAATTGACACCCTTAAACTTCAAAATGACACACATTCCTAGTTGACTTAAAAAACCAAACAATCCTTTCTTCTATTCCGAAAGTGTACAGTTTAGGCAGAGTTTAAGTACAAGCCCTAATTTTTAAAGGCAATTAAGTTCTAACACTTTAATTAAAAATTAAAATTTTGATTTCAAATTAAAATTTTTAATTTTTTTCCCATAGACAGGCAAGTTTCCCAAAATAATAGCTTCAAACTCTTTCATAAGACAAACAAAACGGTAAGGCATTGTCTATAAATACTTATAAAAGTAAAGAATACTTTCTCCAGGTTGTCTAGCTAATTTTCCTCTATTTTGACATTTCAAATTATTTAAGGAAAACCCTTCGCCTTTTGCCCTCGTAACCTTGTAAGACGTGTTAATTTAAGCTTAGGTATTCAAGCATTATTTTAGCGATGCCATAGTTTAAAGTCAGACGTGTAAAGTGCTGAGAACAGCAATTATTTCTCGTTGCCGAACTTGACAACAACGTTTGAGAGTAAATACACCAAACAAATACATTTTTTTAAAAAAAAATGGAAATATTATTAACCTTGTCTGTAGCAGTAGAAATTTTCCTCCTGTTAGGCTTTCAGTCCAGCGAAAGCGTCTGGATGAATAGGATTTCACAATGGAATTTTTGAAAAAAACAACAACACTTTCCCAAACCCTCATGAATAAAATTAAAATAACTGCCCGACTTGCGCATGCGTATCTAACGGCTGTTTTCCACTAGGCGGAATTTTGCGCGCGGAGCGGAATTTTTCATTGTCTGCGCTTTCACGCAAAAAAAACAAAGAAAAATTCCGCTTGCACGCAAAACACCGCCTAGTGGAAAACAGGCTGAAGGGCAGTCGCGCGATCGTTTTTTTGCGATCGCTTTCATTTGAAATGTGTTCAGTCAAGCTAATCTAATGGATTACTTCCGCTTCATTGTCTATATTTCAAAGGAAAGCGATCGCAAAAAGTCGATTGATCGCGCGACAATTTTGCACTAAATGGAAATCCTTAGCCGAACGCTGATCTACGCAGTCACACTGTACTGGGCAAAATAGCCGAATCAGGCCTGAGACTCCGAGTTTCTCGTGGGGTGTTATTAACTTAAGTAATGAAGTATTTAATGCATGTTTACAATAATCGCGCATATATTACATGCGAGTAAACTATTTTCCTTTTCTTCTCGGGGTTTTCCGTTTACTTCCTATATCACGCGGCTTTCTCCTCCCATTACCGAATTCTTTTCGACCTTCCCCGAAATTTCTCGAGGATTTTCCGAGGCCGAGCGAACCCTGTCCTAAATTCCGAGAGCCCTTCCCGCGATTCTTACCACCTCGAAATTTATTCCTCCTAGAACTGTTTTGATGCATTCTGTTCGTTTCCCACTGCTGCTGTTTCCAGCTTACACCTCTCATGTCCACATCTTCACTTCCTCCTTGTGTAAAACCACCAGAGTCCTCCAATAAATGAGCAAACTAAGAAAATATATGACTTCTTCTTAACGAAACTATTGCGAAATTTAGTTGTACCTAATTGTACCAAGTTAAACCATTTAGGGACCGGTTGAGCAAAGTTGGATAGCGTTGTTTTCAGTCGTTCCAAAATTTCTGGTTGTTCGGTATATATGACTTAGGCACTTCACCAAGTTTTTGAAAATCACTATATGTTATGGATAGCGTTATCCAGCATTTGTACAGTCGGCCCCAGTTGTATTTTTCCTAAGATTAGGCCGTGATGTTTAGGGAAAGGATTTTTGTATCAGAGTTGGAATTGCAATCATGGAAATGAATGAAAGGATTACCTCTTCTGCGTCAGCAAACATTGACGTATCCTCAGAAGACCTGCAAAAAAGAAAAATATTCACGCATTGCGAAGGAAACTCTTTACGTTTCAGGGGCCAGTTGTATAAAAGACTAGTTTATTTTTAACGGTAGTTAAGGGCAGAATTGGCCAATCAGAGTCGTGTATTTCTTAGTTAGGATTACTAGGATTTAACTATGCAAAATGTAGTTTAATAGTTTTATTCAACCGGCCCATGCTGTTTAATTATATCAAAAAGAAATAAACACAACTTATATCGAAGTAATCTCAAATTGTGCTTAAACGTACTGGAACTTCTTTTTCTTCTTCGGTGAAGAATTGTCATCACCATCATCGCTGAATTCATCTGAGCTCAGGTTCTCTAACAACGCCTAAATGATATAACATTAGCATAATGTGCTCTATGGTATACTTGGCGGCCCGTCCGTGATAAGGAATTTGGACACAAGATTTCTAAAGCCCTTGCAGCGAGTCTGTGCAGGAAGTAGAGTCAAAAATTTTGTGAAAACCCATCCGGTTTTAAATCCGCTCCAAGAATAGACCATGCACGTATTATTTGGTGTCTTTACCTCATTATATTGTCGATGCACTCACCTTTTCATAATCTTTCTCACTATATTTTTTCTTCTCGTCTGTAATTAAGAAGAGATGTACGTTAATGAATTTAATGATTGCACGAGAGATTGGTATTTAGGAGATATCTGTGCGCTGAAAAAACGCCTCAAACTAAGATACGAACGTATATCTGACTTGACGTAAGTGTGGAAAAACAACTTTTTTTCTGAACATCTTTCGAATGCATTTCCTCATACTATTGTATGTATTATATGATATGTTTATCCGCTAAATAATTTATCATATCTGTATCGACCTGATACCTCATATTAAGAACATGAATGAATATTGTAACCTACCATTTGAATCCTCCATTTCATCTTCTGAGAATTGCATATCATTGTAGTCGAACTCTGCAAACCCAATTGTACAAGATAGTTTAATTCATTACGAGTCCCCTTAAAATTATTCCTGTTGATAGAAACAAACTGTATATTACATATCATAGTACCTTCATCGTCCAGCATATCTTCTTCGTCAGAGTCGCCATATTCTTTATTTTTTCCCTGTTTGCTGGTCTTGGATTTTTGGAATTCTCTATGTACGAATGGCGAATTTGTACAATTAGCATCATAAGGCGAAAAATTGCATGAGCAGAACCTGTTCAAGTAACCTAGCTTCGAAGCGATTGACAAGCAGTCAAGCAGAAATAGCTGGTCAATACAACCTATTAACAAACAGCTCACAACCTACCCAGCGAAATCCATCGTAATCTCATCACCAAAGCCGCCTGTTAAAAATAAATAAAAATAAATTAGTGTATAATTGAACAATTTCGAAAAAATACTGATAACAAATTACTAGAAAATTATACAATTGCCCGAAAATAGTAATTCTATGACTTGACTCTGACCCAATGTCTCGTCGTCTTCTTCACTTGCATCATCTTTTTCAACATTCTTGTTTTCTCTTTCATCTTCTACTGCTTTCTGTTTGAAATATCTTAAAAGTAGAAAAATTTTTTCGTACAATTATCTCGTTTCAGTGCTTGTATCTTCGTTTTGTGCTTGCGAGAATTCAAGTCACGAGAAAATAGGTACGAGAGTTTATAATATATAAAGGTAAATGGTATGTAAGGTGTTATAAACTAGGAGTAATTAAGGTACTGTATATAAAGTAGATATCACGTTGTTTACACGCAGTGTTTGTATGATAGTTTATCTCACCTATAAAAGAAAATCTCATCCTCACGTACGCTTTCTTCCTTCTTGTTCAAGAATGCGGTGGTGTTGACTGGAATAAAAATCTCATTTGAGACACGTCATTTGAGACGTACACGAGTTGTACATTATTACTTATATATTTGTCAGCAATTACCTGGTTGTTCAAACTGTCTTTGAGAAATTGTCTGAGGCTGGTCAAAATGACAAAAAATATTGCATAGTAACGTGAAGTGGAAACAGGAAATATCAAAATTTCGCAAGACATAAAAAACAAACGTTTAAAATACCTGCATAAGGGAACCACCATGGTCTAAACAAGAATATTAATATGATGAATATTTTTAATCATTTTAAAACAATCTCATGCTTTTATTGTATGTTATAAGCATACATAAGCATACAAAAAAAGTATACGCGGATGAAATGAAAGCCACCAGTATAATGCCAAACAAAATAAAACATAAAAGGTCAATTCTAAAGGAACCGAGATTGACAAAAATATAAAGAAAAATGCATTATATTGTTACCTTGAACCTTCTTCTTTGGATTCTTATAGACAAATCTATCCAGAAATCTAACGTAAAAGAAAAAATAACACAAGACTGTAAACAATACTATTCAAATATTTTAATGATCGAACAACACTACTTGTAAAGTAATATTAGATATTCCAAAATTCTCAGTCAACAATTTTACCTCATGAGAGTAAAATCAGATAATGGATCACCATCGTATGAGATACTTTCACCCTAAAATAGATTCACCATGCATTGTGTTAATACTGCTACATTGTACTGGTGCCGATGGTAATGATGGTATTTTAGGGACATATTGCAGTGCTCGGAAGCTTTCGTCCAATTGGATAATGTTTTTCTATGGTTTCTAAAGAACGAAGCTATGCTATTGGTTGAAACAGAAATGTATCTTAAAGTTCAGCCAATGAAAATCATTCTTGCGAAGAGCTGCGACACTACCCGTATTTTATCCACCGCTCCTGCCATGGAACGAGAAGGCAAGTTGTTAAAAAGCCGGTTCGCTGAACCGAACCTCGTTCTCAGGGACAATTTCCGTGTTTGAGCTGAACCCTGAATGGGTTAAAGCAAATCTTTGAATACCGATAGAAGTCATATCTTAAAAAGTTTTAAAACGAACAGTGGTTCAGAAGCACAAAAACAAGAACACTGGATTAAAATTTAACCCAGGATTAGAGCCAACCTAGATTAATTTGAACAACTGGCCGCAGGCAGGTAAAGGTAATAATTTACCTGCAAAAGATTTTGAGCAAAGCGAGACACGGAAGGATGATAATGCCTCGACAACTTCATAACTTCCCATAAACATGAATTATCAGCACCGCTGTACAGCGGATTTCGTGCATTCGCTTGGTAACCTGACGTGTGCGGCGAATCAACAAACACGTGACCTTGGGAAGATGTCTCGTGGACAGCGTTTGGTTGTTTGCTGACGTCACTTGAGGGGAGAGAAGGGGCACTTTCAGGATCTTCTGGGTCAATGACATCTGTAAAATGTTCTTCCTCGTCGAGTTCCTGAAATATGTCGTTATTCAGTTCAGCCTCATAGTTTGAATTCATAGATGGCGTCAGTTATAACAACTCTTAAGCACCATCCAAGCATAACAACACATATACTTTAAAGCTCGCCTAAATCGTTATTTACATTATATTTTTCCCCTAAATTGATCATTTTACACTTCAGTGAGGGAAAATTACTGAGCTTTAGCCTACGTTCTGTTGCACACGCCGAATTCTCATTTCTAGACAGAGAAACAAACGCGTTACCTCAGGCTGAGTGACAAGACTTTTAATCCCAGGTTTGACTTTTCCAACCTAAGACATATACAATATGTATATATATGCAAAACTTTGGTGCTACCATGTACTTAACATTTTCATTTCTTTTCCTTTGGAGTCACATACAATGTCGAATTAAGACGTGTTAGCTACAGGCAATAAACTGTAATTCTTTGCCCTACCTCTGATAATAAATATAAGACTCCGCACACAAATGCTGGTGTTTGAGTTGAACACACTTGCAGGAGACGTTTTACAAAAGCCTGGAGAAGAATTTAAAAATCCTTCGTTTGAATATCAGAATATATCCGAACGCTTGAAAATTTCTTCTACAAAAGGCTTACTTTAACTCTCTTCAAAGAAGTATCGATTTTTAGAGACTTATAGATAACATTCAGGAACATTGCCTAAAAATTAAATATTCTTGGTTTCAGTACAATTTGATGATTATCATACTTAATGTCAAAATGTATTATTTTTTCTCATAATGTTCCAAATATCTATTTTTAAAAGTTTCTTACCTGTTTGGACGACATTCTCAAATGTGGATCAAGAAGTTTTGCATATAAAGCTTGGTAAAAGCGATCAGACATCGACTGCCTGAAAGAATAAATTCCATATGACATGCATCTCCAACGATATGAAGTGTTTATACGGAATGAACAGTTCACCTTGCATCAAAACAAAAGATTTAGAGATAGGACAAGTATTTTGAAGATGACACGTACCTAGAATCCATAACTTGAAAGAGCAACATCAATGCCTAAAGAAGTGCATTAAACAAAATGAATGTAAATTCAATTTGAATAGAGGAATTGGAGAAAATTATTTAAGTTGAAAATGAAGAGAAACCTGGACACATGTATTAAATGAGGTGATGTGCACGACCCTGAAAAGCATGTTTACTTGCTCACTAAACTGATCTTCGTCATCTAAAACCAAAATTCAAAATCGTCATCACTAAGGTCGAAATTAAGCCAGACCAATAATGCGAATTGGCATTCTTCTAGCACGGATTTGTACTAAGAACCTAAAAAATACGCGAAAAAGGAAAAATGAAGGACAATAACTCTACATACCTTTAACATAATAAAATGCCCTGGAAACTCCAGAGAGTAAAGCACTTAGCATCTTCGTCTCCACTTGTCCCTTATCTACAAAAGCCTTTTAAGTGAAGAACGCGCTTTGTTAATTACGTTGAAGTTAAAAAATAAAGGAAGCTACCTCTACATGTCACTTTTACAAGCTTAAATTACACTGAGTATTCAATAGATTTGTTCAGATAGACTGCAGGCGGAAGTTACATGTTTGTCTGCTATTAGTATCATTCTGTTAACGTTTTTCCTATTTCTGTTACATTTCCAAGTGATCAATTAATAAAAATATAGCTACATTCACCTTAAAAAGACTGAAATATATCGTAATCAAGTTGCTTGCCAGCGAACTATCCTTCTTTGACAATATAAGCTGGTTCAAAAAGCAAACAGCATAATATCTAGAAATGGGATTAATCGAAAAAAAATCATGAAATATCATGGAATATATTTTTCATAAACACGGTATATATGTTTCCCTTGATGTTCGACTTACTGAGCTTTCAAACCAATATTAGGTCTATACAGCAACCGCTCCACTTCCAGTGTGATAATCATCTTCATGTTTGGATGCTTTTGGACTAGAGAATAACAAGATAAATATTTTACATGTGGAAAAAGGGGGAAAACCAAACAGGAGCATCGTAAACATAATAAAAAATAAGATCGTTGAGCTAGGGGGGGGGGGTGTTTAATATAATCTGGGAGGCATCGTTATTAGCATAAGATATATGCATATTTGCATATTCTATTTCTATTGGTTGCATTTATATATTGAATATGTTATGTAAATAAAGCCAACCTAAACAACCCAAGAGGTGACCAGCTTTTGACGCGATTTTCCTGTTCGGATCGCCAACTTTATTCACCAAATACAACAACAATGCCTGTAAAAATAAACACACGGTTGTATAAGCTTTACTTTAAGATCAATCAGAAGCAATGTGGAAAAGGATTTCGAGAATAATATAGGTAGAGGCGGTCCTAAAATATCGACATTGTGCATCACCTTTTCTTGTTCGGGCTTTTCAACAAGTAGTTCATAAACAACACCTAGAAATAATCAGAAAATGCTAAAAAGCCAGCCGTAACACTTCATATAATGTATTTTTAAACCAGAAGCTTGTTATAAGCTATGTTTGGGTAGCTAAGTCTTAGCATTGCATTACAAAGACTCACGGTGGATATAGCAAATATATCATATCTGTGCTTTTCAAAACACTAAACATCAAAATTAGAGAACTTTTCTTTTACCTAAAACTTTGTTGCGCACATTTTCAAGATTATCATGAAGCAATCTCTAAAATAACACACATATTAATTTAGTTAGGAATAGTTAATCTGAGGCGCCAACGCTATATTAATGCAAAATCATTTTTACCTTCAAACCAAGAACAAAATTTTCGTATCGTTTTTTGAGTTGATCTTCAAAATACCAGACCATCAATTTTTTGTTCCAAGCGTCACGACCGCCCTGGTTCGTTTTCTGGGGAGCAGATTTCAGTGGAAACTGCAATACAAAGTTATACATAAAAGATCCGTGTACCAAAAACCATTCTCGTGCCAACAGCCTGCCTTTTCATATTAGGCTCTGGTAGCAGACAGCTGCTTGAATAAACACTATAACCACAGGCTAATAACGGCACAATTTTTTAAACGCGTGGAATCAGAAAGTTCGAACAATTTAAGTGAATAGCACTTTTTTAAACGTTTGCCCTTTACCCATAAGCTTTACTCTATTAGTCAATCCGAGCTGTTCCCAAATGGATGCATTTTGTTACCAGAGACAACAGTGAGCGCGATATACTGTGATGACTGGTACTTAATATACTTTCACAGCGGCATACTTTATCAAATGGAATTGCACAGTCATTAGTAGCTACTGTACTACCCTTACCTCTGAAAATCGTTTTAATTTTCGGTCGTTTGGTAACAAGTTCACAAGCCACAAATCTTTTAAAGTATCTATTGGACAACGGGAATATTAACAAACACAGCAAACGTTATACCGAACCGGATAAGGGCTTTTAAAATAGTGTGTAAGATACGGCGATCATAAAAAATGGCACAAATGCTGTATAATGCAGATGTGTTTATTCGAATGCCGTTCACCCGAGGCAGTCAATAAATATAATTCTTACGTAACATGTTAACGTAATTGTTCTACTTTAGTTGAAATGCATGTATTTTGGTAAACCAGAACAAAATTTTGTGATTTATTCACTGTTTAGGCTGCATTTAGCTTTGCTGATAATTCATAGTAATCCCAATTTCATATTTTCTTTTTCATGACACGCAGGTGCATGCTGAAGAAAATATCGAAAAACTACGAATTTACCAATTGCGATCAAGCATTCCCTTCTTCCTTTTTTGTTGGCCATATTTAGCAACACATCCAGCGTCTTAAGATGATGTAATGGTGAATCCTGTATGTGAAATGAGCGGAAAATACAGTAGTTAGACGAATAAAAAACAAAGTCCATAAAATGTGCTCGCACTCGAAGACCATGAAAAGGTCGACATCTGAAAAAGGCCTAAGACGAAATTCATTTAAAATACGGGTGGTCATTACGATTTAGATGGCCGGTCTACATCATATCTTCAATTGCAAAAAACCTAGTTGTTGTCAACCTGCCTAGTTGTTGTTTACTCTCAAAGAAACCAGCAAGGTTTTATTTGTCTCCATAAAAGTGCAAATTTCAAACCTGAATTTGTATCGCCAACGCCGCGACTTTATCACCAAGTGTTCCAGAGTTTGTCACATTCTTCAGCCATTCCACGTCTGAGGGTTTTGTTCGTTCCTTTTCTGGGATATGGAAAAGAACATTAAGAAAACTTCTAATAAGTGATCAATAAGCGAGTGTTGTGCACAATTACTTTTAAAAATTGTAAGACATAAAAACTCTATAAAACTTACAGAAATAAAAAACGTGTAACGTCTAAATAACACTTTATTTATAAGAAATTAAAAGACCTTTTCTGTAAACGGTTGATTCGTTTTCCAAAAGTTTTTCTGCCATTTGCTTTGTATTGTCAACGAAACTTCCCTCCAGATCTTTGCTATTTTTTACCACAGGTGATTCTAACGATGACTGAGAAATTTGAAATCAATTAGTTTTAAGTTCATTCTTAATAGACAACAATTTTCACTATGGTCACCTCACAAATTATTGTAACCTCTTTACTTCTTTCTAATATGCCAGGTCACCTTTCTAATAATGTCACCTCTTATAAAAACAGTTTCAAAGTACCTGTTCAAACCATCTTCCAAGTGGATGGAACAAAAGCTTATCTTTCATTTTCACCTCATTGACGGCATTAATGACATTTTCATGTGACTGTATGCCATCTTCATTCTTATTTTTCTTTTTCTGGGACTTTTTAGATTTTGGTTCCTCATTTGTACTGGTTTTATTCTCTCCGAAAAATTGTGTTATTATTGTCAACGACCGTCTTTGATTTATATTGACTAAAACCAATTTAAATAAACGAGGCCGGATTTTCAATAGGGTGGGATCATATTCTAGTTCATATTCTAGTTCATATTCTTTGCCATGTATACTAGCTATACTGTATATATAATGACAATTCTATCATATCCTAATACATATTTGATAGTTAAATACAAATCAATTATACCATTATTAGTACATAGAATATGAATACTAATGCTAATGTTATCATTTCTTTATATAAGTAAATAAGCTTACTTTTTAAAGGATTGAAGACCAAGTTCTTTTATGAAATTTTTCAACTAAATAATAAGTTCAAGAACATGATTAAATAAAATATGTGATTACTGACTTTTCTTCAATTCATAATATCAATATTTATGGGCAAACCTCATTCTCCTTAACCTCATCTTGCTCCGAAGCAATGCCTCCAAGAATCAAAATGTCATCCTCATCATCAACCTCTTTAAGAAGCTGATAATCTGCCTAAAAATACCACCATCAAGTTATGCCAGGCCCAAATCACATACTGTGGACCAGGAAATTTATAAATATTTTCTAGATATTTCCCTTTTAATAAGCTAAACTCTCGAAATTTCTACACGAAATATAACTTTTTTAATAGCTTTAATTTCATATATGGCTCAACATTTGGCGTATGTATTTCAGCACTGGCTTCCTTCCCGAGTTATCGTTCCAGTTTGTTGACAGTTCAATGAGTGAGACATGCGGTATAATATTCCAAATTCCAACAGGCAACAACGACTTTAATAATACGACCTCGGTTTTCCAATTGTTAATCATAAAGAAAATATTGTAACTTAAGCATACCTCATCTCCTCCTAACTCCACGACGTCCTGTAAGCTTAATTCCTCGTCAATTTCTGTTGATTGAGAGATATCAGACTTTTTCTTGCGCTTTTTCTGAATTTTAGACTTCTCTTTGGAAGCCATATTCTTTTTTCCGAGCCCAAGCTCCTGGATATCAGCAGTTTGGATGAAATACTTCACGTTGCAATATTTAACTAGGATATAAAATTTATATATATGGAAGCACAGAGAATAGTGAAAAATACTTTTTGTTTTGCCCTATTTTTTTGGATATTTACATTTCTATTTATGACCTAAAAAAGAATTAAAAAAATCTGAATGGTGACTACATCCCAAAAATTGTTTATATTTGTCGTTTTAAAGCAGTTTTAGGGCTGCCATCAAGGCATATCTTTAATTCTAAAGTTTGAAATTTGAACAACATTGAACTGATTGAAGGAATGAACGAAATGAAGAGGAAGCACAGAAGAAGGTTTCAAAAAATGGCCTACATTTCAGCCTCTTCGAAGTGGTTTTACCGCGGCGAAGGGAACAGAACTCTTGTCATTTCAAATCCACAGACTCAAAAAGTCCTTCGCTTGCAAAAGTCAAACGTAGCATCAACAGATCAGACAAATTCAGCTCAAGATTCGAGCGGAAAAGCTGCGGAAAAGTTGCGGTTAGAACTTGAAAAAAGTATCAAGCTTTATCAAGAAGTTTTCACTCCACTGTTGGGCGCGCAATACGTCGAACATGGAGCAATCGTTGAGCTACCGGGAGAGTTCATGGCAAATATTAAAGATCTGGTTACATCTGCTAATACAAATAGGCCAAAACATAGACTGAACAAAGAGGTGAATGGACAGAACAAATATGGTATTTTGATGCCGGATTTTTGCTTTGTACCCTCAGGCGACGGGATTAATGCTAATGAGGCTAGCCGGCCTACATTCTGTGTGGAAATCAAACCAAAGTGTGGTACGATGCCAGCTTGTAAAGGGCTTGAAAGTGGTGAATATAAAGATGTGAAGCAATCTGTTTGTAAATATTGTCTTTTTCAGTGGACAAAGGTTTACAAAGATGAGAAATACTTACAGCGGAGTGGCTACTGCCCTTTAGACCTCTTCTCATCTGACATAAGGAGAGTCTGGTATGCTTTGACATGTCTTCTGAATAATCCACAAAATAATTTCAGAATTTTTCAAGATGGTAATATGATGTACTCTGGTGAGACAATGGCACCATCATGTGGTTCAATGGTTGAAAGTGAAACAACCGAGCAGGCACCATCAACTATGGGTTCAAACGAACACCACCTACACCTGTCAAAACTTGAAGAGTTCCTAAGTCATTCATTTCTTGACAGTACTCAAGACATGTTAACCAACCACAATGTGTGTGGTGAAAAAAATGGTTCCAACATGCAGTCAACCACTGTGTTTTTGGCAACATTGCTTCAGTTACTTATATATGACTCCAATGAAAATACAGTTGGTTGTGGCAATGGCAGTAATCACCATCCATCAAAGCACCCTGTTTGTCTGGCAAGTCAATACCATGAAGCTGACTGTATGACTGGTACCATTCCAGCATATATGATGTCAAAGGGATTGACCTTTGCTCAAGGTGGTGTTCTGAAGAAAATCCTAGATGTTCAGAGGCTAGATGATGTTGGGACTGACGAAGCATTTTGTATTTTTAATAATTTATATGCAATTGGTGTAAAAGACATGATTGATTTGCATATATTTGCTTGGAATGAGAGTCAATGTAGTGTTAATGCAAACGAAAACACAAATGCTAATCCTAGAAATGTACAAATAAACGCTAATTATGACCAAGTGCATGCAAATATTAATTATAAAGGCAAGATTACTGATTGTTGCATCACCAATGGTAACTCATTGGCACATGTAAACAAGCACTCAGTAACAAGTAAATTAGATAGTCTTACAAAGTTCCTAATTGCAGCCAGCGCTAATGATTGCTCCATAATGATCTCATTTCAAGAAGTTATTGGTCCTTTGGCAAACTCAAATTGCTTTCGAGATCTTCTCACTGGTAGAGTTTATAAATACTCAATTGCCATAGTTGATCTGGACCAGAAGTTGGCTGATCGTATTCCAAAGTATTATAAGGAATATAATGATATAATTGATAATTATCTTAGCTTTAAAAACAATGTGGAATTGTAGATTATTAAATTGCAATGTAACTGAATTGAAATACCTTTCAAAATTGTGTGGTTATCATGTCAGTGTGTTTTAGTGGCTGCACGCAACGTTGATGGGATGTCAAAGGTACATCTTTTGTTTTTTCAAATCAATTTTCAATTTGTTTATTTACTTCATTTCTTAACTAAATCAACCTGCTTTAGCTTATAGTAAATGTAGTTGAGTGAAAAAGGACACGATTATTAACACACTTAAACGCTAAGTGTATTGGAAAACGATAAAAAACCGCCGTTTTCCAATACACTCGACCTTGGTCGAATACGCCGTTTTCTGACACATTCGACCATGGTCGTATTCGCCTTTTCCGGCGAACTCGACCATGGTCGAATACGCCATTTTCGGATGAATAAGTAGAGTAACCACGCTGTTTCAATGGTCAAATGCTTGTCCTATGTAAAGTTTCCAGCATGTTTCGTGCTCATATACAACCATTAAACAATATAACCACGCTTTGGTTATGATGTCAAATATTTTGAAATGGATAACCACGCTGTTTTAATGGTCAAATGCTTGTCCATGTAAAGTTTCCAGCATGTTTGGCGCTCATATACAAACATTAAACAATATAACCATGCTTTGGTTATGATGTCAAATATTTTGACATGGATAACCACGCTGTTTTAATGGTCAAATGCTTGTCCTATGTAAAGTTTCCAGCATGTTTGGCGTTCATAACAAACATTAAACAATATATAACCTTGCTTTGGTTATGATGTCAAATTTTTTGAAATGGATAACCACGCTGTTTCAATGGCCAAATGCTTGTCCTATGTAAAGTTGCAAGCATGTTTCGTGCTCATATACCAACATTAAAAAATTTAACCATGTTTCGGTTATGATGTCAAATACTTTGACATGAATAACCACGCTGTTTTAATGGTCAAATGCTTGTCCTAGTAAAGTTGCAAGCATGTTTCGCGCTCATATACAAAAACATTAAACAATATAAACACGCTTTGGTTAACTGTTAACTGTTTGGTTAACAACTTAATTGTTGGCATTATTATGAAACACTAATGATAAATTGATATTAGAAACTGAAAGAAAACAACTTTAATGCCTTAAAAAAATACTGCCTTTTCTTGATTCCTTTTGTGGAAATTTTATGGAAATTTAAACATGTTGTTTGTAGAATTTTTGTTCAATTTATGGAAATTCCAGCCTTGCTTGATGGAAATTTTAAATTTGAAAGTGGAAGCACTGCATTACAGATATCAATTAAAAAATCGTTCTTTCTTTAATTTAACGGTAACTATTACACAAGACTTTTATAAATTGATATAGAGTAATAACAAACATACGATTATTTTACATCACGATTAGAGTTTTTTGACCAAAGAATAAGATTTTGTCTTGTGAGCATCAGAGCATATTTAAAGCTGTGACCCTAAATTGTAAATTGGCTATTTTACAAACTGGCTGAAATTTTGTTTCTTTTCCAAAAGATTGTCCGTCATCGCAAATTTGTGATTAGGAGCGTGGATTTTAGCACGATAAATTCCTATTCTTTGCTCGTGAAAATTTTAAAATGGTTCCTAAAACCTTGGCACAGAAAACTATTTGTCTGTAGATTTCTGTTTGGATTTCTCGGGCGACCAAATTTCTCTGGTCGGCTTCACGTCCCAGATTTCTTCTGCATACTGTCTGATGGTGCGATCGCTTGAAAACTTGCCAGCGGCTGCCACGTTAAGAATTGCTTTTTTGTGCCAGCTAGCAGGATTCTGGAAAATGACAACCAATGTAATATAGCCATTGATAAAAATCCTACTCAAATACAAGTCAAATCTTTACTAGAGATACATACCTTAAATAATTCGCTAGCTTTCTCCTGGGCTTTAACGTATGCCTCAAAATCAGCTAACACATAAAACCTGTTGGCGGGAAAACGTTTTAGCCGGGAAATCATCATCTTATTACTTATTGTTCGAATTACATTCTACGCGACGAAATTGCGACGTATACCTTGGCCTAAGAGATTAGAAAAGCATAAAATCAAGGTTGGGAGCTACCTGTCGTGGTCTAACAAATGCTTGATGATCAGATGGTTGAAGACATTTTCTTCATTTGGTGAAAAATATCCTTCTAAAATCTGGTCAATTGCTTTTTTAACCTCGGGGATCTTCTCATAGTATTCCCTTGGATTGTAGCTAAATTGAAAAGGATAGTGCATGAAAAGAATTTATTGGAATATGCTTGGTCATTTCAAGCATCTGATTTTACAGTGCGGAGTAAAAAGCGCTCTGACCCATTGGGTAAATACATTAGGTAAATCATTTCGTCAAACAGTTACCCCTCTTTTGCCAGTACGTCGACATCTTCAACTTTCATTCCAAAGATAAACATGTTATCCTCCCCAACTTCCTCGCACATTTCGACATTGGCACCGTCCAGTGTTCCAATGGTCAAGGCGCCGTTTAGCTACGAGAGATACGAGAAACTTTTGTGAGAAAGCCTTCTGAACTTTAATAAAAAGATCTTAATATGATCTCACGAGAACTTTGCTTACCATAAATTTCATGTTTCCTGTTCCAGACGCCTCCGTTCCTGCAAGCGAGATCTATAAAGACACAAAAGAGGTTAGCATTCAAACAACATAGGGAAAATAGGATACGATTATTCAAAAACGTTTTTTCTACAAACAAACCTGCTGAGAAAGGTCTGCGGCAGGGATTACTGAACAAAGTCAAGGTAGAAACCATTGAATGACTGGTGTTATATTGTGACAAAAATATTTCAAACAATACTTTATCTACAAGAATCTTTTAATCGATGGACCCAAATGCCACCCGATATCTAATAGTCATAATATTAGGGGTTCAAAGGGTCTTAATTTCGAGTGGAATTATATACACACTTCAAATTTAAGCCAGGAACAGTTGAAGGAAAAATGAGTCAACTATCGGTTGTCCGGTAGTTTTCACCTGCATCGAGTGAGGTGCGAAAAATCATAATTGATTTACCCTCATAATATTAGGGTGTAAATATTCGGGTGGAGTCAGGTTTAGAGTTATATTATATATTCAAAAATATCGCGCACTCCACGACATGGGATTTTTGGTAATATTTTGTTTGATATTTGTATGGTTAAAAGGATACTCTTTTCAGCCAAAGAAACGATGTAGTTTTCTACGAACACGATTTTCAAACGATCCCCAACGATGGGATCACTGTTTACAACTACAGACGAAAAAGAATGTATTGAGTTGATATCGAGTTTGATATCGAGTTAAGTAGAATTATACCTTTTGCCACGCAATTGATGAGTTTTATAATTTCTTTTGCAGTTGTGTAGCCCGGGGCAGCCTGTGAATTAAGTAAATCAATTATTTAGAACTTGTATGGCGAATAGTAAGTAGGGTAGTAACAGGTTTAAACACACCTTTCCTCCAATCAAAACAGTTCTTGGAACAAAATCAGCATTCGGATCGGCCTTAATACCTGCAAAACCAAACATGCAGTATTTGTGGATACACTATAATGTCTTTTTACAAGGGAAAAATAATCAACTGACTATAAACATCTTTTAAACTAGAAGTGTGGGTATCCAACTATGGTTTGTTCAAATAGATCACTAAAGACCCGTTTACACTTGCAATTTTTGCTACGATTTTACGTGCGATTTTCTTCTTTTGATAGATATGAACGAGTGTTTTGGTTACTGATGTTTAAATAAGAGCTCGTACACATCAGAGCATTCGTAACTAATTCACTCGTACACATCTATCAAAAGAAGAAAATCGCACATAAAATCGCAGCAACAATCGTAAGTGTAAACGGGCCTTAATAAGTCTTTGTTATTGTCAAACCAGGTTCAGAATATCGCTTGAAATTTTGTTTTGTAACTCTATGGAGCAAAGAGAAATGGTGACTTACGGTTATAAAGGACGATCACGTATAGGATGTTGAGAAGCTGTCGTTTGTACTCGTGAATACGCTTGAACTGACAATCGAACATAGACGTTGAGTTCACATCGATACCGTAAGTGTCTTTGATGTACCGCGCAAGTTTATCTTTGTTTTCCTGTTGAAAAACAATTTTACGCCGTTATCTATGGGAGTATGTGCCGAGGTGCACCCTCTCCCTGAAAAAATCAACATTTACGTCAGTCTTTGCAAAGGAAATATCTCCCCCTCCCCCAAAGCAGCTGAATCTATCAAAAGTCTGGCGCTGTTGTCACTTACTTGCTTCGCTTTCATGAAGTCGTTCGTGAAACGAACATCGCTTGCAAAACGTTTCAAATCTCTCAACCGTGACAAGTCGACTATCCAATCTTCACCGATTTTCTGCAACAAATGCGGATGCAAAAGTATAAAAGATCGGTCTACATAGTTTTAGTTGGAATTCCTAAAGGTAGCGCTTCTTGTATCGATAGATTCTAAAGGAGAAAATTACAGGAAAAATCGCAGCAATTTCAAACGTTCAAATCAAAATCTCTGGAATTAACAAAATACATTGCAGCGAGGAATTATAACTTGCCAGATGGACAATGGAGTCCTGGGAGCTTAAAACCATTAAAAAGGGGAAAGTACGTCTTAGGACACGACCAATATATACTCACGTCACAGATAAGGTCGGACAAAATAGGATTACAAACTAACAGCCATCTTCTAGGTGTCACACCGTTTGTTTTGTTTTGAAATTTCTCTGGCCAAACTTCATAGAAGTCTTTAAATCTGGATATAAATTGAAGAGTTCTATGTAACAGAGTTCTATAGAACTAATGAAACACGCGTGGAAATTTCGAAAAAGTGATGAAGGGATAAATGTCATTTTGTTGAAACGTATATTAAGTTATAACTTATAAAACCTATAAAATTCCCGCGCGCGCGAATATTCACGTTTTTTATCTAAGTCCAATAATAAAAGTGAGCCAGAGGAGTCACAGGAAAATAGGTTTTTCGACAGTGCTGTTGATTAAAAAAAGTGTTTCAAATGGCATCTGCTGGAAAAAAAAACTCACATGCTACTCTTAATGATTTCTGAGTGAATGGCAGCCACGCCATTTACAGCATGACACGCTACGATGCACAAATGTGCCATGTTGATCCGTTTATCGTGTCCTTCTTCAACCAGTGACATCCTCCTGATTCTATCCATGTCCCCTGGGTACATTTGCTCAATTTTCTAAATATATGAAAATCAATAAAATTAAGTTAAAAGCTCAGCTATTGTTCCAGTTGTAATGTCAAGCCATTAATAACGTATAACCGGTATAACCGGTCTATATAACTGGTATAACGGGTATAACCAGTTATATGGTTAATTGGCAAATCCTTACCCTCAAATGTCTAGAGTTGATCTCGTATATAATAACTAAATGTCGTGGTAATATACTGTCCAGCATCTTACATGACCATCTTTCCAAAGCTTCAGGTAGAACTGTATGATTCGTGTACGCGAAAGTCTCCGTTACCAAATCCCACGCCTAGACACGACAGGATGCACTGTTAGGCCGGTCCGCGTTAGGTCAAATGCAGCGCTTCGCCCTTTACATACCTCGTCCCACGAAAGTCCCTCTTCATCCATGAATACCCTCATCAGTTCGGGGATCGCTAGCGACGGATGCGTGTCATTTAACTGGATGGCGACCTGGAAAATGGAAAATAAGTAACATAACAGTTCTGTTCTGCTTGTTTTTCACTGCTTCTCAACGATCTAAGTGGGAATCAGTCGCTATAGAGATCAGTGGGGAGGAATTTTTAATGTTCGCGATACCCTTATTAGCTAAATGAGTATTAATTTTTCAAACAAGTATAAAATTATCATTTTCACTTATTAGTCTTATTACACATTACTTTTTATTCAGATTTTTTAAAAATAGTCTGATTTTTAATTATGCTTTCCGTACCTTTTTTGGGAAATCTTGAAAGTTTTTTCTTACGAGTTCCCTCGAGCCATACTGAGAGGTTTTGTAGCGTCTGATAATATCTTGAAGCGTGGCCGAAACAAGAAAATATTCCTGCTTCAAACGAAGTTCTTTACCCACGAAAAACTACAAAACATAGCGACAAAAATATATATCGACGGCCGCGTATTTAAAAAAGATCTAATTCTAACTTGAATGTTCATCTTGCTAATAATTCAAACTTACATTGTCATTTGGATACAGAACTCTAGAAATATTCTCAGCGTTATTACGATTTAGAACTGCACCAATGTAGTCACCACCTTGGACTGAAATTAGAGACTTCAGTTGTATGTGCATTCATGAAATGTCACCGAGAGATGCATCCAGTGTGCTACCCATGCCTAAGAACCTCAGGTAATATCATGCACTGAGCTCCTAAGAACACCAAAAATTAATATTTCTAATATTGGGCACTAATTTAGGTTACAATTCCCCCAAGACAATTTATTATTCCAGTATCTGAGACTCAATTTCAACAGCAGGAATGATGTACTTACAATAATTAAGATCAAATCCTTTCTGTGCCTTTGCAGACCACAATCTCATGGTGTTGACTGTTCCATTCATGTATCCTGGTATTGGAACATCATATGGCATGGCATAGACTGTCTCAGTATCCACCCATTTATAATGATAACCTTTATCATCAGACTCAAGGTGACCATAGAAATGGACAGGCAGAAGGTATTCTGGTCTCGCTTTCTCCCAATGGTTGCCAAATTCCAACCAGTGGTCAGGAACTTCAACCTTGCAAATTATACACAAACAGTAATTAATATTTTGTTACTGTACTGTTTAGAGGCCTTTATAAGAAGTTTACACCGCACATAATTTGCAGCCACAGCATCTTGACTGACCAAATGGAAATATTTTCCTTGCCCACAAACTACTTAATACCACAGTCTTGCAATTAGGGAAACCTTGGATTGTTATAATAGGGTAAAAACTATATGCTTATGCACTGTTTATCACTAAAAGAGCAATGCCATTTGATAGAATGATAGTTGAAAATTATACTACAATACCTGTTCCCCTTTTTCGTTGATAGTTTGAGTAAATATGCCATATTCATATCTGATACCATAGCCATATGCAGCATAACCTTGTGTGGCCAGGGAGTCAAGAAAACATGCTGCAAGGCGACCAAGACCTCCGTTTCCTAAAAGATATTTGGCAATTAGCCATTGGGCCTATAGTTAGCTAATTTAATAGATTTTGACCATGCACTTATATTAATCCCTGCACCTAATGTTGAGCAGTGGTCAGTTTTGACCAGGTGTAAACCTTTGATCAAAGTAATACAGCAATACATACCAAGTCCAGCATCTTCCTCATTTGCTTCCAGGTCTTCAAGATCCAAGCCAAGCTAATTGCATTATGTAAATAAATTCAATTTTGCATATATTGATACATATATAATATTATGCAAATATATACACCTGTAGGCTGCAAGGCTCCATATAAATAAAGCTTAGGTTCTTGAAATGAGAAGGTTAAAGTGGATTTCCTACTTCTGATAACCCTTGCCACTGTCAGGAACCCATGCAACTGCTAACGACAGCTAACAACTTAGTTTACCTGATACACAGCCTCATCGCATTCACCCTCCATGCCCAGGTTCACCATTGTGTTTCCCAAAGATCTGCCCATGTAGTACTCCATCGACAGATAGTACACACGCTATGGGAATATGAAATAAAAACTTGCCTTGGTGTGGATTTCATGTGACATTATCAAAGAAGTACTTTAAGTTATAAAGTGTGTAAATATATTAAGATGGAAGAATTTGCCTTGTTCATATTTTGTTCAAAACATCTGCTATTTTCCACTATGCATTAAATTGTGTCTCAAATCTTTTGCCAGATTGAAGGCAATCAATTTAATTTATCAATCTAGTCTATATCTGGCTTCCAGCCGTCCACTAGCAATGGCAAATGTGCCCAAGGTTGTGGGCATTTGTCATTTGATCATTATTCATTGTCTATTTACGGACCGCACTTGAAGTCCAAAACAATTAACTATCGATAAAAAAACTACTGCAAAACATGAATGAAACGAGTTGCAAGCCTTACTTTTGTGAATACACATATCAAATACGTTTGTCTACAAGTTTCGCGACGTGGCAAGCAGCACCACATGAACAAAATAAGTTAAATAACAAAACAAAAATTCTGCAAATTATGACACTTGGATTGCGATGCAAATCGCATGAAAACTTTGTACACTACCTTCGGATCTTTATCGTAATAATCTTGTTGTGTCCTAATCCATTTTTCTGTCAATCTGTCGCGAACTGTATGGCAGAGTGCAGTGAAATAATCCCGACTTGTGGCAACATTTCTGTCCTTGATCAGCGTGAAATGCAAGTGCCTGTTGAAGCTCTCCTTCACGCCGGCGACATTTCCCACCAAAGGGATTTTGCGAAGTGATATCGACTTCTTCTTTTCCAAATCGCTCTGCGGACGTTGTGCCATTCTTGGCGTGGCGTAAAAGCACCTCTTTCCGCCGCGAAAAACAAACAGAAACTTTATGCAAAACGGCAAAACAACAGTGACACAAGAAACGTCTGCAGTCTTCCTCAAGAGGACTTTGTCGCACCGGGGGGCCACACTTCCGGCAGGGCTCTGGTCGCTTGACAGGGGGAGGATCAAAGGGATTGCTCCCCTAAATACGGCCAAAGCTTTGTTGGCTGATTATAGTACGAAAACGCGCTAAAAAGGCTAGGATCGACGTCTTGTTAAAAGAAGTTTCTTATGGTAGCATTTTAATTGAATCTGTAATTGCCTAATTGAGTGTGCATCACTGCACACATAGAGCAAAACCAGTTCTATTAGCCATTTATTGAATTGGGTTCAGTAAAAAAAGGTTTAGGTTCATTGATTTCAAAACTTTCGAAGAGCGTATTGAACCACTCCGTGGGGAACCTTAAAAAAACTCACGTTTTTTTTGCTCTTGAATTTGAAGTTTGAATGCCTTATTTATTACTACGCTAAACCCATCGCCGTCTGAACTGATTAAAATACGAGACACTGCAGTGATCAGAGTGTAATAGTCAGGTATTCAAACCACAAATATTATGAAACTTGATATAGGTTGACTTTTTTCTATCAGTTTGGCTTTCAATTGACAATGATAAGTTAATATTCTAAGAAAGAATGAATGTCAGTTTATTGAACATAAAGGAAAAAACAGCAAACACGAGTTTGTCGCTCCAAGCTCTACGAATCAGTCTATATCAGATCTTCGGGCACATCTGGGATCTATGAAAAAAGAAATCGATCCCGCCATAATTATGAATATGCGGAAATATTGTTGTTTACAGGCCCTTGGCCTTGGTGTTACGTCACTGTTTGACGGCGACCCATGGCCCAGAAAGACAAAAAAATCAACACACACTCTACCCCGAGATGCCACCCTGTGTTCATTAAGTGTACTTACAGCTGCCGTCACGTCAGTTAAGTCATCAAGTGATTTGAACTGAATCAACATTTGATGGTAGTTGTAATCCAGCGAGGACAATATTTGATAGTATTCGGCCAAAAAGGGACCTTTCCTAGATGCACATAGAAGGTAAAAAGCAAAGTAACGAATTGTTTAGTGAGTTTGCAATATGAATCGATAAATGAACACGCACGTTATGCATGCACTTAGGCAATCAAGTTAGTAAGTTATAACCTATAAAATATAGCAATTACTTTTTATCCATTTTCCCAATAGGAAAAAAGTGGCCAATATCTCGACCCTTTGAATCTTTTCCGTCGATGTCCAAATCATCGTCATCTTCATCGTCTTACAAACCGAAATAATCGGAAAGTACAGCTTAACATGGCTTCTTTTCAAAAACACAACACTTGGGCATATACAACACAACATATTTTCGTAAGGGTATAGGGTATACCAAGGGTTAGGTTATAGGGTTTCGCTCGTTTGCATCATCAAAAGAGAGAGTTGACAGGAAAAATAACAGACATTGAGTGAATCACGAATGTAAACAAACGTTTCATTTGCATTTTCAACCGCTGTATTGCAGGGAATATCTCTTTTATATACCTTCATCATCTTCTTCCTCCTGAGCTGTGTATTCGCTGCCGCTCTCATCATCTTCCTCGGGCTGGGAGTTTACAAAATGAGAAGTTCACTTGTTTTTAACTGATAATAGAGAATCCAACATGTTAAACCCCCTCCTCCCCAAGTCTCCCCCCTCTCTCTACTTCATTTACCTGAAATACGGTTCGTGTGGCAGCCTTTTTATTTTTCTCAGTTGCCGAAAGCGTCCTCTGAAAATTGTCCACCAACACAGCAACAAACAGACTGAAAATGGAACCATATGCGATGAGGTGGCAGGATGAGAATATGATCACACCATGCATATTCCATAGCAGTTTACTCACTTCATGAAAATGAAGTTCTCCAGAACAATATACAATGCAAGATAGATTATCACATAACCATAAGCTGAAAAAAAGAAGTTCGGTTAATCTCGCTCGTAGCATTCTCGATTAGAGGCAATTAAGGTTTAAATAACAAGAGTACATTAGTGTTTAAAGTACATTAGCCCCCCCCCCCATAGATTGTCAATTGTGACGTCACGCGAACCTTTGCGTCATGAGAATACGCATGTGTCGTCATTATTAAGTATGGTTGGTAACGTCCCAAATGGGGTTTGAGGGGGGAGGTAGTTATTCTACAAATAAACAATTCCATACAAGAAAGTGTGAGCGGAGATGTTTACCCGGATCAACATCAATGATATCTGTGTACATGTAGAACCAATCGTCCAATGTGATCAGTTGAAACAAGGTAATGAGAGCTTTCACCAGAGAACCGAATCGTTTTGGGTCCACAGCATTGAATAACTCACGACCAATCACCGCAAACATATCTATCATGAATCTCGTCAAGGATATCTATGAACAACTGCATGTCTTTGTAGTATTGTATTATATTAATTGATTCCATAGGGTTAACTGTATTCTGACCTTCTCAATTAAGACCTAACACACTTCCAAAGAAGAAGGATACAAAGAAATAGGAACATCAACAAGACTATGGTGCTGAGAGCACGGAACGATTTAAGGATCGTCGTCATTATGACTTGAAGATTTTTCAGAAATCTGGTGGAAAATATTCAAAACTTTGCAGTGAAACTGAACCGCCCTGCATGTATGTATACATGAATGTTAAATCGATGCTGTTTAGCTAATTAGCCTTTATCACGATCTAAAGCCTAATTATTTAGCTTTTCAGGCCTTGTATATCATCGTATAATCAATGCAACCATTCAGCTTGTGTTTTTCATTTGCAAACCATACCTAATGGTCCTCAATACTCTGAGAGCCCTTAATGCTCGAATGGCACGGAACATTCTGAGAAGTCTGAAGATCGCGGCTACGTCAAACGCTCCAACACTTCGCACGATAAGAGGAAGGAGAAAATCCACAGTTGTGAATAAAACGATCAACATATCTGAAAAATAAACACTGTCACTGTTGATCGACAGTCTGCAAGCGTTTAGTACGAGTTTGCAAAATATCAGCGTATTTATACTGTTTTTTTAAACTGCTCATATAGACGTCGTAATAAACTTGGATGGTTTCATTTTGCAATCTTACCCATGATATTCCAGCCCGAGTTAAAAAAATGCGATCCCAAGGCGTAGAGTTTTAGAATCAACTCCATGATATATATTGCCAAAAAGACATTGTCCATCGCTGAAAAATACCATCCTATAGAAAACCAAAACTGACACATCTCAGGCCATGTTTGTATATGAAATTGAAGAGAAAACATACTCCGAAAGTATGTAAACATCTTATATATTTAAATAATCATTGCGAATCTAACCGGGCGATTTGAATTGGTGATAAAGTTTTAACGTTTTTCAAAAGATATTTTATATATTTACACGCTACCGTGATTTGTATACTCAAACGGATAAAAGTAAAGAAATATTTATTGATTATTTTTACCTCCTTTTATTGAAATGGCTTCGTCAGTTTGAACAACAAGTATAACTGTGTTCAGCAAAATGATGAACAAAACAAAGGCGCCAAAGCTCTTCGATTCCGTAAGTTCGTACACAAAAAGACGAAATTCGCTTGCATTTTCCAGGTTCTTTGGCATATGATGATGTCGAGTCATTTTCGAGTTAAAAAATTAACTTTTTTAGGGCATTTATATGAAAAATTAAAAAAAAGTTGACGAGATAAAAAAATTTCTTCCAAATCTTTCTCGTTCTCAGACTCCAAGAATACTACGCGCAACTGACCTGACCGGTATAAATATTAACACCTGGACTGTTCTATCTTCTGGCACTAAGCTATATAATATGTGGCTCAATTTCGTAAAGTTATACTATGAAGTTATACCATAACTTTATTTCATAAAGTTAAAACGGTAAAGATCCTTCCAGAAAATTATTCCATATAGTTCAATGCATATTTATATAGTTCGATAGCAATATTTTCACTGATCTGGTGGCATGTCCCTTTTCATAGCTTTCCATGTCATTCCAGTAAAGACGTCCTTTCCCTTGATAAAGCGAGCAGCCCAGTCACCAACTACCCAACCATTGCTCAACTGTACAGCTCCACCACTGCGGCCAATTGATAGACACATGCTGACTTTTTCTAGAAAAAAATTCCCAATCACTTTGTTGCCACTTTTGGGAAAGAAGTACCAGCTGTATCAGGATAATATTTATGCCAAAGCTGGCTTGTGCACGAATAGAAGTAAGGTGGGAAAACTAAGGCGGGAAAACCAAGGCGGGAAAAGACCAAAGTCAGTACCTGGAATAAAGCTCGAATTCAAAAATTTTAGACTGATATCTCTACAGAAATGTCAAAGACTAGACCTGTATCAATGACGACAATGCTAAGTTTTCGGTAGGGAAAAAATAATGGCCAATGTTAGCTAAAAGCTGGCCTATTCAAATTGAAATGAGTGGACTAAACTGTCAGCCACGGGGGTTCAAAAATCTCTATGAAAATCATAAGCTTGTATAACTTACTACAATGCTCAATGCTGTGTTTTCAGTTGGTAACTAAGCTAAACCATTGCTTGGTTGGCCCGTCTCACTGAAAGACTATTGTGAAAGTAATGACACGTATTACTCATTGTCATATTTACCATTTATGGTGTAAGGTTTTGGCTCTTTGCCTTCGGCTAACAGCTTGATATTGGCCGCGACATGCTCCCCGTGTGCCTGGGCACCAGTCGCCACCTTTAGTTCAGGCGTATTGGCACAGTCTCCAATGGCGTATACGTCTTTCATGCCTTCCACCTGGAGAAATTTGTCCACCCTTAGCTGACCCTCTTTGTCCGTTTTATCAGCTGCAAAAAAAGACAAAACACATCAAAAAATGAGTAGCTTGAAATTTATGGAACTAACGTAAACTAGCCTAGTAGCAGGGTCACGTTTCAGTGTTTTCCACACCTACCTAAACTTGTTTTATAAGCACCGTAGTTAATTTTCAAACCAGTACAGGGAATTGCCAAATCTGCTTCTATCTTCTTTCCCTTGTCTGTTTTCACAACAACATTCTGGAAGTTCTTCGCACGCAATTCTTCCATATTACTTACACGTTCACCTAGGGAAAATTCATTATTTAACTATCACCTTTATGGCACAAAGAAGTAAGAAGTTTTGCCCAGAGTTTGTGTTTGTTACCGGCCGGAATCAAGAATCCGTTCATGAAAGTGAGATTTTTAGAACGTTTTACTAATATATTAGAACTTACCCAAGATTGTCTTGACTCCGAGATACTGCAACCGATCTTTGACAGTTTTTTGAAATGATTCATTCACTTTATCATTGACAAGGATCTCCCGTGGATGGATGAGTGTAACATCCTTGGTCTTATAGTCATCTCTGATATCACCAGAGAGTTCAACACCTGCTGCTCCTCCACCAATGACAACAATCTTCTTAGCGTCCTTCACCTGAAATATCATTTACCATAATTGCATCTGTGTGGAACGTAAATTTCATCATTCAGTCCACTATATAGTCTTGCACCTTTTCAATATACTTTACATTCAGTGGTGCAGCCAAGGTCCTGCCTTTGGATGGCAGGCAAGCGCATTTAAGGGGTGTCGGGCAACATCCCAACAGGCACAATTTAGAGTTCTTTCTTCTAGGCTTTCTTTCACAATAAGATACCCCCTTCCCCCTCTTTTGGAAAAGTGGTTTCTTGAATGATTGGGGGAGTTGCTTTTCCTTGGCTCTGCCCCCGTTTATATTTTCAAATGGGTTTATCTTTCGTTATCCTTTATGTATATGTGATGTAAGATATAATGTATAGTTTTTGTTGCAGGTTTAAGGTATTATGAAATGCACTATATATAAAGATACAAACCATTTGAGATATTTTATTGTAAGAAGCCAATCCTTCATTTTCATTCACATTCATGCCAAGCTTGCAGGGAAAAGGGCCACCAGTTCCGGTTGCAATAATCAAGTAGTCATAACTGACTGTTTCTCCACCAACCAACTGAACTTTCTTTTCCTGAGCCAAGATGGCATTCACAGCACCTTGTTTGAATCCTTTGCCAAATGTTGGTTCATACGAAATGAAGCACTTCTTAGCAAATCCTAAAATGGCAATTCAAGCAAATTTCACTCAAAAATGGTTGCATGCAAATATAGATATAATGCATAACATTTTATTTTTCCTTGGGTAATCCTTGGTTCATCCAACTAGAGAATGTGGAATGTAAATAGGAAGAGGGGGGAGATGAACTACTTTTAACTTTCATGGTAATTAAAAAAGAGTGCAGTCACTACCTGGTTCAACAGAGGATCGCTGTGCACCCATGTTATGATGAAATGCATCTCTGCTGTCAATCAACGTCAGGTTACATTGATCCTTTAACTTCATTGCAGCAGCTACCCCACCATAACCACCTCCTACCACCACAACACGCATATCCTTCAACCCTCTCCTTGCTTCTGCATGGACAAATGAGGCTGTACATATATAAATACAAATGCGATTTTTGAGAACATGTCACATGTTTTACTCTGTCTAAAGGCTAGTTTCCACTCAGGAAAAATCTCCTTTGGATCGGAACGGGCAGGAAAATTTCCTTTGTCTGTGAGTTCTCAGGCGGCGTTTATACAAGGAAACTTTCCTGTCCTGTCCGATCCAAAGGAGAATTTTCCTGAGTGGAAACTAGACTTAATGCCAGACAATTTCACTCATCAGTAGAATAGTACTGCCAGCTAATGAGTTACTATATTCTGTTAGTGCCCACTGTGCACAAAGGTAATATCTAGGTATATAGACTATGGAGCATATTGTCAATTTGCCATGCATGCCTTCTTACCAAAGAGCAATTCAACGTACTAAGTAGCTAGGCATTAGAGTGAAATCCTAAACCTTTTCTTCCGAGAAATCCGGAAAATGACCTAAACTATATCAAGTAAGTGACCTTCGACGGATTATTTATGATCAAAGCCAAAAATTACACTTTAGTACAAGTACCGTGCAAGCACCTTTGGCTTTGCAAACATACAAACTCTTTTTGCAGTCGAGTGGAATGTGATTTTTGGTGTTTATACCCTTGATTAGAGCTCGATAATGATACGGTATTATTTATTAGGTATTAAAATGAAACTTGTGACGAATTTGTAAATCATTTCCCCGACAGTGACAGAAATAAAGCATGTTTATGATTGTACGAAGGAATGTGTGAAAGTCATATTCATATACATTTTGAACCGTAGCGATGAAAACACTACACACACACTTCTCCAAATACCACAAATAACATCTCTTGAAACGGCTGATCGCTTGAAGCGCGTCCAAAGATTCTTTGCATGCACGAATCACCAATTCATTCACGCGACTCGCCGTGAATAAGCACTTCTTTCTAAGCCATACCTTGACCTTGTCTCGCCAAAGAATAAACCAAGACAGAGCCGACAACACCGCTCCCAACATACGCCGAAAGAGTTCTGAATCTTGCAACGAACATGGCGACAATACGCGTGTAAATAAATGTGAAAAGCTTTGACTGGGTTTGGTGCAAAAATCTACTCGAGCCGCACAGGACGCGGCGACATGCATTGTTTACTTTGTGATATTATTAACCCGCATGTCGACCAATAAAAACAGCGGATTTTTAAATTAAACTTAGCATGTTATTGTTTCGCACTTGCGACGTATTTCATAACTTGGGTTTATTACCCAGCGTTATACCCCAGGTAAAAATAAGGTATCATTCTATTCGAGGTTATTGCAATTGAGGGGGGGGACGACAGCTGTCGAGAAAAATGACTTGGGTCACCATACATAGTACACCATGGGTTGGCAAGCTACCCCTGTTGGGGACTTTCTTTCAGAACATGCTTTTAATTGCATGAATCCAAATATTGGCTGTAATCCAAAGCAAATCAACACATAGATTATAAAAAGAGGTTTACATATGCACATGCACTTCTATGACTTCGGTGATCCTCTTTGAACTTTGTATGCATCAAAAATACTCTTTGCAGTTCTAGCTCAAAAATATTCGAAAGGAATGAAGTGGCCTTTCTATTTAGAAAGTAGGTTCAAGTTGATTCTTGAAATTGCACTGTACCAAGTGCCATGGGATTTTTTAATCTTGGGTTCACTCAGAATGTCCATCCAAAACATTTATCTCCATGAAAATGATTGCTTCCCAGTGCTATCAATTTCCCACCTATTCTGCCTTTTTCTTTTTCCTTTTTCCAGACGCCAACTCCTTTTTGCGCTTTGCCTTCTTCACCTTGTCCTTTCCACTGCCTGAAGCTGGGAAGAAATATAAAATATTTAACAAAATAATTAAAAATGTTCAAAACTGGCTAAGAGAAAAAAGATCCAGCACCAAACATACCTGCTGGGTTAGCAAGGGCACCTTTAACAAATCGTCTCGCTGCAGCTTTGTCAATCTTCAGGGAAGCTGAATTGGTTGGAAATAGGTGGTGAGTTTAGAGCAGATTGATTTTGAGGTGATCTGCATAAAATTATTTTCTAGTTCTGTTATTCTGAATACCTTTCTTTTTGTCACTTGCATCTTTAATTTTCTTCATGTAGTCTTTTACCCTATCCTACAGTGTTGCAATATTAAGTTTTGTTTCATGATAAAAAAATAAAATTTCAGATATATTTACCAGCTCATGTTTTATGCCATGGTCCTTGGGATTCACTCCTTGAGTAATCAGATAAACTGAAATACAAAATATTGTGAAATTCATGTTAAAACCATTGATCTTCTCAACAGAGTGCTCCTATTTCCCCCATGCTGCCAAATCATGGGCTGAAGTTAAATCCAAGTGGCAAGTGTTGCATTTTTACTTGCTATGGAATGACTTGACTCTTATCAAATAAACTGCCTAACCTAGGCTATCCTTGGTGCAGCAACACAAATTAGTCAAATTATGATTTTATTTGAAAATATTAATTCCCTTACTCCAAAACATCGAATTCACGGCATAAACCATCATAAGATCCAACTTCGCTCGATCTAATACATTTAACTGCAAAAGAATGGCAAATTTATCCCTGAAAATCATGTTTCGGTTTTCACCACGTGAAATTTACCACACTCCTCGATACATTTTAACAGTATTCTTTAGTAGACAACAAACCTTTTCGTGTGTTTCTTCACTTGAAGTACAAAGAAGAGGATCTAAAGTCTCTTCAACTGTATTCATAGAGCGGTAAAAATCTTCCAAAGAAGTGATTATTTCATTCGGTAACTCGTTGTCGTCGACTTCTGAAGTCGCCATCTTATTTACACATAAATCTTATTTATTTACTTAAGCTTTTGCTTCGTCTGCGCGCGCCACGAGGGCTGCCCACGAGGGCTACCCACGCGGGCTGCCCACGAGGGCTACCCACGAGGGCTACCCACGAGGGCTGCCCACGAGGGCAAAGCAGAGAAGAAGACTGAGACTGAGAGTTCACGGAATAGATCTAGACCTTTTCGGTAATTATGCAAAACATTCTTCTTCAACACATGCATAAAAAAGATTTTTTCATTTTGACCAATAAATGTGGAAATAAGCCATCACACTAGAACGAGGCTGAGGGGTTTACTGCACATAGCTTGTGAGAGTTAAATAAAACTTGAAATCCATCTCATCATGGTGGTTCAGGCTAAACTATAATGTTATGAGGTAATTACCGAAAAGGTCTATTTATTCCAAATCGTAATACTGTAATGATAAAAATACTAATAATGACTATCTTTTGTTTAGAAGGCATTAAATAGTGTGAAATATTAATAATTTCCTATTTGATATTATTTTAAATTTGGATATACATTAATGGAGCATAAATATTAATTAATTAATATTAATAATAATAATTAATTAATTAATTGATTGAATAATTAATTGTAATTGAGCATTTGCCAATAATGCTTTTTAAAGAGGAGGATGCGTTTTCCGTACACAGTATAGCGTGATGTGGACCATACATGGTGATTGATATAATATGATACATGGACTTTTTAATTTCCGCAACTTTCAACAGAAACTTGCAAAGTCCGATACGCATTTTGAATACTTTGGCGAACATAGCTTGAATTCGAACATTACTCGAGACTCGAGAACTATACGATAAGTATAAATTTCCACCCATTTGACTATGAATGTCTTCGTGCAATCCTTACGGTATATAAAGCAGCATCTCCTCAAGATCTTGATTCTTCTTCATAGCTTCCTTCAAACAATTGTTCCGCCTGGGAAACAAAAAATGCAATTTCTTTTGCAAATGGTCAAGGTCAATAATCGTGACCATAATAAACACCCTACTTCGGTATTGTCGTCGCGTTACGTTAATAGGGAGATTTAGCATGAGGACGTGAACGTCAAATACGACGTGAAAATGGCGAATAAATGGCGTGATGCGCCCAAATATGGGCATGCCACGCCACGTACTCGCCATTTTCACGTCGTATTTGACGTTCACGTCCTCGTGCTAAATCTCCCTAATGTCCGTGTAAGTGATTCATGATGGTGACCAGACTAACCTCTCCAGTTTTCCTGTAAAGCTTAGATTGCTTGCATCCTGGGGCCGGTTGTATCAAGCCCGTTTAGCTTAAACGGTGGATAAGTCAAAATTAAATAACACTTTTACATCTCTCTTGAATGAGTCAACTTGAATATTATGCACTGAATATGTAGTTGTAAACAGTATCTTTGTATTAAGGTCAAAAACATTTAGTTTGCTTGTTGAATAAAACGATAGACTTGCTTTCTATTTTGAACTTATCCGCCGTTTAAGCTAAACGGGCTTGATACAACGGGCCCCTGTATTGCAATTTTCTCGTTTGCTTGACTGCTAGAGACCATGATCTTTGCCTTACAGGGAAAATACTAAAATAAAAAACTGCCGTGTAGTTATGCTTTTTGCTATAGTTCATTATAGCTAGATCACATGCCGTTCTACAAACACATTCATGCTCGTTCGACTGGGCTGTTTCAGTTCCACCCAGGAAAATTATTCTCGCGACGGGATAGGACAGGAATTACATACAGAACTAATTCGATGTATTGCATCCGCTGAACAAACAACAGCTGCTACTTCCAGCTTACCTTCACAGATAGATTTCAAAATGATAGGACAGTTTACTCTCCTAATTAAAAATAATGAAGATTCAATGTGAATGATTGACTATTTAAATAAATTACCTAATTTTTTCACTTTTCTGTCAAAACTCAATCCATGCTTATTTTCAACGTTTGAAATACTCGAAATTTCCAAATTAAAAATTCCGCAAATGATTATTCCGCAAATTTTGGTCAAAATCGGAAATATCAGAATTTTTTGAAAGCATTTTATGTCGATTTAAGGAATTGTTTAACAGCTGAACAAACAACAGCTGTCACAGTAGGCTTACATTCACATGCAGATAAATGAAAGCTCAACGACCGATGATAGATTGGTTCAGCACGACATCGACATAATTTACATGTTTCAAAACAAACGACTGGTTTGTTGATAAGCGCATTCCACGCCGCGCCCACGACATACAGATGTATAAATAAGGACAGAAAAGCTTAGTTTGAACAAGGAGTCAAGGATTGTCGAAGAAGCAAGTCAAGCAACAACAACAAGAAATAACGGTCAAAAAACACTAAAAGATGAAACACCAAATTGCTTTTGTTGTTCTTTATTCGATTCAGTTGATAGCTGTTCTGTTTGCAAACGTGGTATGTATATAATTTTAACTACATGGCCAGAAAACATGAAGTGTTGCCACAGTTTTCTTTCCTTTTACATTCAGCTGCTACATTTATTTGTTTTCTTACTGCCGGGCGTATGATATGAATGGATTTTCTTATAATCTTTGTTGGTGTCCGCTTTTCTAATTTGGACTGCTTAATGCACTGCTAATGCGACGAATGATGCGCTGAATCATATGAAAACAAGGCTTCACATCGTAGATTTCCGTAGTTTATACGGGGGCCACGCACAACTAGAATCGCATATTCATGCTTAGGTTAGGTTCGTGCTGTTTTTGCCTCTCTGATATGCACTTTCAATTCAAGAACGAAACGATGGCTAAGCCGCTGAAAGCAATAATAATTTATTTCTTTAGAATGAGACATAATACATTGATTCGGCGCCATTTCTTTTTCAGGAATCAGGTGAATTTAATAACCCGGAATCGACTGTGAAACAATGCACTTTTGAAAATCTTGACGATGGTCGGGACAGGGGTCAGATTGCGGTAGGATCAATTCAGTGACTATTAGTTGTTACCATATGATCTGAATAGCACAGGAGTAATTAAACAGTGGAAATAAACGACTTAACTATATATAAGCCATCTTCAATGAATTACTTATTTACATTATGAAATATATAAAGTTGACAAATATGATACAGGCGAGGTGATACTCGATGAATAACATAAATTTTATTTACAACAATGATTGACAACATAACAGGATACAAGATATGCATAGTAAGTAGAAGAACACGACAGACAAAAATTATAACTGAAAAATAGTAATAAAATGCTGAAACTGTTTGTTAAGGTCTGGTTTGTGTTTACGAATGTGCGTACGTGAGTGCAAATCTCTCAAACTTAAGGAGGCTCTGTACATACGCATGCACCAGACCTTAACAAACAGGTTCAGCATTTTAATGCTACTTTTCAGTTATAATTTTTGTCTGTCGTGCCTCTCTACTTATTATGCATATCTTGTATCCTGTTATGTTGTCAATCATTGTTGTAAAAAATTTCATTCGTTATTCATCGAGTATCACCTCGCCTGTATCATGTTTCTACTTTATGTATTTCATAATGTAATAACTAATTCATTCGCACTAAAGATGGCTTATAGTTAAGTCGAAACATGTTTGCAATTAAAAATGTTGTCGTTTATTTCAAATGCTTAACTATCAGTTGTTTCGTGTCCATTTAGTTATTAATGGTCGTGAACATGCATGTCAAGGTGGCTGATTCAATAGAATACTTGAACTAACACGAGTAATTTTGTAATCGTCACAATCCCTTTATTTTCTGTATGTGACTGGCTTGTTCCTTCTCCGATAGACTTGTCTCTTTCGGAAAATGTACTCTAAAACAGCTCTACGTGTGACCTACCAAGGTGATCTCCGAGTGGTGACCTGTGCTAACGGCAGATGCTGTCGTCGTTGGTATATAACAATAAATGGTAAAGAATGCTCGGACCCAGCACCCATTGATGCGGTCGTTTATGCCTCGAAAAATGGAAACAACCATCTGAACCTTCATCGTCCCGCTACACTGGACGGCTTCTGTAACAACATTCCGGACGGAAAAATTACAGTTGGCCTTTCGGTTGGGAAATGCAAATTTTCGAGCTACGATATTGGCAACGCGTACACATGTTGGGGTTCAGTTTGTCGTTTTATTATCGAGGAAAGACCTCCCTTGCAATAAGTGGAACGAAATGAATCTCATATATGTACAACACTCTTATGTTAGATAAATGGTAAAATCTACTTGTAATGTAGTCAGGCAGAATGTAACATAAATTCAAAAAAAGTTTCCAGAAATAAATACTTGAAGTTTGTGTGCCAATAATATGCGCCAAGCGAGTCTTTATTTACTTCATTTCTTCGCGAAAATTGTCAGAAAGCTGCACATCTCGTTGAGATAATTGATATCTGAATTTAGCTGTTTGTTAGTTGTTCGAAACAAACCTGGTTATAGGGGGTAGATACGTTCTAATATAATCAGGGTCAAGGAGCAGCGGGGAAGCAAACAAGTTCTCGACGTTTCCACCTAAGGGCTTTCGCCAGACGAAGGAGTATGATACTAGGGAGTTTAAGATGTTCACAACGAACTACCACCGACTACGGTTAAATTGATTTTTCTACTGCTTGCAAACAGGGCCGTCCTCAGGATATTTTACAGGGGGGGTGTAAGGTCATCATAACCGACTGATCGACGGATTTGTACCGACTACACTCTGGATGAAACTTTGTCAAGTTTATATTGGATCGGTCTATAGTATCAAAAATATTTTTGTCTGCCGACTAAAATAGCAATTTTACCGACTAAACCTAGGAATAAACTTTCTGGGGGGGTGTGACACCCCCCTAAACCCCCCCGTAGCTCCGGGCCTGCTTGCAAATACTAAATACTTATCATTTCAAATCCACCCAGGTTATTTTAAAGCCTCGGAATACTAGTTTCTGCAGTTTATATAAAAGGAAGAAGACAGTATTTACTTTGTTATGTAAACTCGCTCTTATAGAAAGCTTGAGTTTGAGAGGATAATTAGAGGCTTCCAATCAGCAGCGTTAATTTCCTTCATCCGTTTCAGCAGCGAAATGACAACGTTATCCAGACTTTTGTGGTGATAACATATGCAGTCCACTATGATTAAACCACTGTGCAAAGGCGAAGGTGTCCAGTGCTGCACGGTTTGTCGTAGAAAAACCTTGTCAAGTCAGTTCGAACGGAAGATTTTCAAAATGAAACAATCAATCGTTTGTGTTATTTTTATCTTGCTCTCGTTGATTGTGCTGATCGCGGTAGGTAGTTTTGTTTTTAATTTTATAAGTTCATACTATAGCCGTCTGAAATATATACCTTCACATAGTCACGCGCTCTATGCGTCCTTGCCACTTGTCGATGCATGGGCATTATATCAGAAAATTCTGACTACATATTCACGATTTGGGAAATTTAAACTGCTAGTATCATTATACGTCTTCAAATTTGCTAGTTTATAATCTTTATCTCACAGACTGTCTAGCTCACAGTCTTTAATTGAAAAAATACGATACACTCTAGATCTATATGGTTGTTACTACAAGATTCCACAGAGGAACGGAATCTTATCTATTTTATGCTACTTAAAAGGACCAACAATAGATGAGTATAAGGTTTGTTGATTCAGTAAAACGCAGCAAATTTTAGATTTACTCATCCTATAGTAGCTAAAACGCCTTAGCAAGTGCAATTTTAAATTCGGTTCAGAAGAACTGTTTCCGCCCATTATGCAAGCAAGTGACGTCTTTAAAGGCGGATTTCCACTTACAGCGAAATCGTTCGCTAGCGAAATATTAGCATATTTTCTTTTGAATTTAAGCAGCATAAACAGATTAGTGCGACTTGAGTGTTCTCAATTCAAAAGAAAATATGCAAATATTTCGCCAGCGAACGATTTCGCTGTAAGTGGAAATCCGCCTTAACTCTTGTTACTGCATGCAGTAAAGGCGATTCTCCATTACCGCCCACTTCACCCGCGCGGGCGAAGCGCGCCTTATTTTTCAGGCCCGTCACGGTCGCATGGGCAGATTTTCAAAGACCACTTCGTCCGAGAGGGCGTAATGGAGAGTCACCTTAAGACTTCATATAAAATACGAAAAGGTTCTTTTTCTTTTTGTTTGAACGAGTATATATACTAATTTCAGCCGTAGTCGACGGCGTTGAGATTCTAAATCTTAGGCTTCCTAATAATTAGCTACTGATTGCTTGATTGAATTGAAAAATAATATTTAAATATTATGCAGCTGAACGACGATGACACTTCACCAAACTTCAGCGTTAAACGAAACTTTTCCTTGTATTTTTTTTGTGGGATATTAAAAGCATCTTCCACTGCAATTTCCAGAACCTATATCTTTCAGGAATCATCCAGCACCTGTCGTTGCTCCTGTGGCGACAACCATGACGAAAAATTTTGGAAGAAAAAAGCAAAAGAAAAAGCAAAACCAACTCTGAAGCAGTGCGTTTTTAAAAATCTGCGAGACGATCGAGATAATGGCCAGATAATGGTAAGACGTTTAGGCCGTAAAATTGCCGCTAATTTTCAAAAGATATACCAGCATTGAAAGGATTTAACAGAAAAATTATTCTTAATTCTTTTGATAGACTTGTGATTTTCAAAAGGCTCATGCCAGCTCAGCTTTGCGTGTCACGTATCAAGGTGACATCCGGATGATGAGCTGTTCTAACCACAAATGTTGTCGTCGTTGGTATATCACAATCAATGGTAAGGAATGTTCGTCGCCTGCACCCATCGATGCTTCCTTCTATGCAGGTGGAGTAAGCAATCTTAACCTTCATCGTCCAACTACACTGGACGGCTTCTGTAGCAACATTCCCAAGGGAAAGATCACAATTGGCCTTTCCGTCGGAAACTGCAAGTACTCGGAAAAGACATATTCTGGTGATGCGTACACATGCTGGAATTCCAGTTGTCGTCTGATCATTGAAGAAATAACTGCACTGCAATGAATGAATGAATGAAAAGAAAAAGAACTCCGTAAAATGTAATTTCAAAAACTAGACAAAAAGAGTCATCCAATAATTTGGAACAAATAAATCTACTCAGGCATTAATGTTTGTCCATGTTCTTTACTTTGTTTTGGTGTAAAGTTTTTAGCGGTCTGCCAGTGGTGGATTAGCCTGAATATAGACCTTCGTTTCGCCCACCTTAAAATGCGCGGGCAGACGCAAAGGTGGTTGGCAATCTTCAACAATTAGGTGAAATTGACAACGCTTTTGACCATTTTCAGTCCCCCGTTGTGTTTCGCCTTTTCATCTCCCCGAGAATTTTAAGACGCGGGAGACAAAGGTTTGTGTTCATGATAATGGTGGCTTGGCCTCTATTGTTTTATGAAGGGAAATTTAGAACTATCAGTTATGATTTTTGGCACTTCACTCGATGCAGGGATTGCACTGGCATCGCAAAAGCGTAGGTACAATTCCTCCCGGAGTATCTATAGTTGACTTATTTTACATCAACAGTTCCTAGCTTGAATTTGAAGTGTATATAATTCCACTCGAAATGAAGCCGCTTTGTCTGGCTTTGAACCTTTAGAATTTAGAACTATACATCCAAATAAGCTATGTATAATTTCACTATAAAGCCAATGTGTTCTCGCAAAATTATATAAGCGTATGTGCATACGAGATATACTATTGCTTGAGTCAGGATTCAAGGCAGGACTCGAGCCAGGACTCGAGTCAAGGACTCGAGTCAATTAACCTTTCTCCCGCAATGCGACCAATCCGCCATATTTGGATGACATATAGTTGATTTTATAATAAATAATTTTATGAAATAAAAATTGGGGGTAACATAACTCGTAACCAACAGGTAATTGCTGTGCAAAATATCGGATGCAAATCGTTAATTTTCATTTCTGACCATGGCATGGAGAATAAAAACACATTGTGTTTCTATTATCCATTGTTTTAACTTGCAAATTTTTACGATTTAATGGTGCATGCACCGTAATGGTAAAAGAATTAGCCTTTCTAACGCTATGCGACCAATACAATGTTGCTGACTAACTAGAAGTTTTGCATAGTTCTCAGTGTTTTTGAATTCATTTAGCGATTTAAAAATTGTGGACTCAAAAAATGGTATCATAAAAAATCACATTTAACGAATTCGGAAAAATTCTAGTCTACTTAAAACCTGCCGCACACGAGAGCAACTAGCCGAGCTAATAGTCACTCGTGGCTGTTGGCGTAAGCAAATTTTTCTCTTGTGCAGACAAATTTTAAGCACTTTTGTTCATTCGTGGCACTTTATTCTGGCACGAATAAACAAAAGCGCTTAAAATTTGTCCGCACACTGGAAGAACCATTGAACTGGGAAGAACCCGCTTACGCCAACAGGCACGCGGGAAAGACGGCAATAGAAGTTTCCATCAGCCAGACGTAGATGAGTCATTAATTCGGAGCTTGTCGGCTCGAGTCCTTGGCTCGAGTCCTGACCTCTAGTCCTGGCTCGAGTCCTGACTTGAATCCTGACTTGAATCCTGCCTCGATATTTAGGTACCCTCTGTGCATACAGAATATAATTAAACGACAGAATTTCGTTTTCTATATCATTAATTAATGTGTATTCGTTGGGGTATTTCATATAAAATGAGAGATGTAAACTTTGCTTATATAGCTACATACGAGAGACATTTAAGTGAGAGGGTCATGTAATATATTATTTGCACTGATGAATTATACACTCTTTCAACGCTATTTGCCTCTCTCTGTTTCCAATAGAAAAGTCACATGGAAATGAATTGAAACACTCCCTCTTCTAGGCTTGCCCCAGAACTTGCCTATATACACATAAAAAACTGGCGCATATCGCTTGCATGTACACTTAGTGTTTACTTGTCTGACGTTTAATTTGAATGTCGAATGAATCACTTGTGTTCTCTGTATCTCACTTTTCATATCATTATCTTTAATTTCAAATTCAAAGCCCAAACACGCTGATGTAGCTAGCTCATACGATGAAATCTTAGATGCCTGAATTTCTAACAGATTCGCGAAAGGAAAATATAACTATAGCATCATTATATAAGATTCAATTAAATTTATATCGATTACGATCGTTAATTATAGCTCCATGCACTAACACTTGACAATGCTCGAAACGTCGAGACGTTTACTTGTATAATCAGTCATGCATTAGGTTTGCCACATTTGATGAAAAGTTATTCGAAGACGCTGCTCTCTGGTTATTTTGTAAAATATATCTAAGTAACTGTTGTTTTTAATTATCAGTGCATTTAGATTTGTGATTTTCAGAGCTTGCATGAGTATGATCTCTTGATTATTCAAATGGTTAATAATATATATATATACATCGTTGCTGAAACGGATGTTAGAATCTCCAGTGTTTAATTTTAATTGGATGATTAAAGCAAAGATAACCGACTCAGAACAAAAGATGTTGCTATCATGCAGGTCAGGAAATATTTTACAATTATTATATTAGGAAATATTTTAGGAAATATCCAGGAAATATTTTAGAAATATTATACAATTATCGACTGTCAGGGAAGCCAGTCTTAAGGAACGATTCCAATATTTATAAACTAATTCAATCGAAGTTAACTTTCTCTTGAACGGAAAGTTTTCAAAATGAAACCACTAATCGTTTGTTGTCTTCATCTTGCATGCTCTCATTGATTGTGCTGGTCGCGGTACGTATAGTTTTGTTTTTTTACTTCATTTCTTCAATCTAGTGAGTATTGTTAAATACGTCCGCATTTTACACGCAATTTGCGGACCTTGGCAGTGTTATAGTCATTATATGAGAAAATTCTGAATACATTACACTTACAACCCATTACGGCATTAGGAAGTTAAATCGCTAGTATTATCATACGTAATTAAATTTACTAGCTTATAATCTATTAATATATCTGTACAGACTTTCAGTCTATATTATACATTCTAGATATACATATAGCTATATATTATTACTGATACTTAGCCGTAGTTGCCATCATAAATCTTAAGCTTTCTAATAACTATTGATTTCTTGATTGAATTTTAAATGTGTATTCGTTGGGGTATTTCATATGAAATGAAAGATTTAAATTTTTCTTATACAGCTACATAGTCATAGGAGAGATATTTAAGTGAGAGGGTCATGTAATATATTATTTGCACTGATGAATTATACATTCTTTCAACGCTATTTGCCTCTCTCAGTTTCCAATAGAAAAGTCACAAGGAAATAAATTGGAACAGTCCCTCTTCTAGGCTTGCCCCAGAACTTGCCTATACACAAAAAATTGGCGCATATCGTGTGCAAGTACACTTAGTGTTTACTTGTCTGACGTTTAATTTGAATGTCGAATGAATCACTTGTGTTCTCTGTATCTCGTTTTTCATATCATTATCTTTAATTTCAAATTCAATGCCCAAAAACGCTGATATAGCCAGCTCATACGATGAAATCTTAGATGCCTGAATTTCTCACAGATTCGCCAAAGGAAAATATAACTATAGCATCATTATATAAGATTCAATTAAATTTATATCGATTACGATCGTTAATTATAGGCTATAGCTCCATGCACTAACACTTGACAATGCTCGAAACGTCGAGACGTTTCCTTGTATAATCAGTCATGCATTAGGTTTGCCACATTTGATGAAAAGTTATTCGAAGACGCTGCTCTCTGGTTATTTTGTAAAATATGTCTAAGTAACTGTTGTTTTTAATTATTAATGCATTTAGATTTGTATTTTCAGAGCTTGCGTATGGTCTCTTGATTATACAAATGGATGATATCGTTGCTGAAACGGATGTTAGAATCTCAAGTGTTTAATTTTAATTGCATGATTAAAGCAAATATAACCGACTCAGAACAAAAGATGTTGCTATCATGCATGTCAGGACATCTTTTATAAAGATGGAATCCAACTTCACTTTATCTATTTACACAAGTATATCATCATCGCCTGTCTCGACTGTCAAGGAAGCTAGTGTTTAGGAGCGATTTCAATATTTTTAAACTATAATTCAATCAAAGTTAACTTTCTCTTGAACTGAAAATTTTCAAAATGAAACAACTAATCGTTTGTCTTGTCTTCATCTTGCTCTCGTTGATTGTGCTGGTCGCGGTACGTATCGTTTTGTTTTTTTACTTCATATGCTCAATCTAGTGTTAAATACGTCCGCATTTTACACGCAATTTGCGACCTTGGCACTGGTTGCATGAAAGTCATTATATGAGAAAATTCTGACTACATTACACTTACAACCCATTACGGCATTAGAAAGTTAAGTCGCTATATAGTATTATCATCTGTCTTTAATTAAATTTACAGCTGATAATCTATTAATATATCTGTGCAGACTTTCAGTCTTGATTTCATTAAATATTATATTCTAGATACATGTATTATTATTACTGATACTTAGCCGTAGTTGCGATCATAAATCTTAAGCTTTCTAATAATTATTGATTTCTTGATAGAATTTGAGAGAATTTTCATATGATGCAGATGATGCTCCTTTACCAAACTTAAGTGCATTAATTGAAACCTTTGCCTCGCTCAGCATGTAATCTTTTTGCGAGGATTAAAAATTATCATCTATAGACTATACTGTACGTTCCGCAACCGATATCTTTCAGGAATCATCCAGCACCTGCCGTTGCTCGTGTGGCGACAACCATGATGAGGAATTTTGGAAGAAAAAAACGGAAGAAAAAGCAAAACCAACTCTGAAACAGTGCGCTTTTAAAAATCTTCAAGATGATCGAGATAATGGCCAGATAATGGTATGAAGTTTAGGCCGTTAAAATGTTACATTGCCGCTACTTTTTAAAAAGATTTAACAGAAAAATTATTCTTAATTCTTTTGATAGACTTGTGATTTTCAAAAGGCTCATGCCAGCTCAGCTTTGCGTGTCACGTATCAAGGTGACATCCGGATGCTGAGCTGTTCTAACAACAAATGTTGTCGTCGTTGGTATATCACGATCAATGGTAAGGAATGTTCGTCGCCTGCACCCATCGATGCCTCCTTCTATGCAGGTGGAGGAGGTAGTCTTAACCTTCATCGTCCAGCTACACTGGACGGCCTTTGTAGCAACATTCCCAAGGGAAGGATCACAGTTGGCCTTTCCGTTGGAAACTGCAAGTACTCGCAACAGTCATATTCTGGTGATGCGTACACATGCTGGAATTCCAGTTGTCGTCTGATCATTGAAGAAATAAATGCACTGCAATGAATACAAAAAGACAAAACCCAGTTCGCTAACTCGGTAAAATGTGATTGCAAATAGAGTCTTTCAATAATTTGAAACAAGTCTGTATAGCCTTGCATGGTCTCTATCGAGGAGAAATTTATAGAACCATATATCAAGCTATGTAATTTTATATAAAGCACAACATATTCTCAGTATATTCTCATGCACCAAACTATAAAAACAAACGTACATATAAATAGAATTAAACGGCAGAATTTAGTTTTCTTTATCATTGAATATGTATTCCTAGTTAAGGTATATTTCATAGTTAAAATAAAATAAAATAAAATATATAACCTTTCCCGTGTGCGAGGCTACATTGACACATGAGGGTCACATGATGCACTTTAAGTGCAAGGAAGGGCCATGCAATACATCATTTGCATGAATTATACATTCCTGTCCTTCATATTATTGTCCTTGCAAAAGCACATAAAAAGCTGGCGAATATTTTTGAACCGTGGATATAGCACATAGTGATTTTTCGATCGCTCTAATATTGCCCGTTGGCGTTGTTCATGCAGTATATAACCTGGATCAAACCTTATTACTCTAAAATTGAAAACTCTCTTTGATAACTTTCAGTTCCAAATCTGTATAATCTCAATGGTTTTGAGCCATGTTTACAACGGATGAGAGGTCATTCTTATGTTAAATAAATGGTAAAATCTACTTGTAATGAGTCGCCTAATCATTGAATAAATAGTAACTGCACTGCAAGAAATGAATGCAAAAAAACAGAACTCAGTTAGCTAATCAGTAAAATGTAATTTCAGCCCATTGTTTGTCCATACTCTTCACTTTGTTTTCGTGTACAGTTATGAGCGGTCTGCCCGTGGCGGTTTGGCCTGGCCTCTATTGCTTTTTGAAAGAAATTTTAGAACTATGAAGCTACGTATATTTAGTTTCACATGCATATATAAAGCACAACATGTTCTCGCAAAATTGCATATTACCGCTTCATTCTCTGTGAAGTTTTGAAATTTTATTGTGCGCGCCGAAGTCAGGATTTTTAACTTGACCATCAAGTAAACATTACGTTTTAAATGTATGCGCCGTTACCCCAACGAATACACATTTAATCATACAGAAAACGCAATTCTGTGGTTTAATTCTACTCTTTATGCAAATGCTCACACGTTTATATAATTTGGATGCATATCGAATGAATCGCTTGTATTCTCTGCACCTCACTTTTCAAGCCAAGTCATTATCATTCATTTCAAAATCAATGTCCAAGTATACTCTCATACGGTGAAATATTCGATGAATTTATCATGCACAGCCCCGCCAAATGGAGATATATAACTAGCATTATTGATAACATTCAAATAATTCATGTCGATTAAGAAGCGTTTGAATTCTTGTATAATTCATGCATTAGGTTTGCCACATTTGATGAAAAGTTATTCGAAGACGCTGCTCTCTGGCTATTTTGTAATATATATCTAAGTCACTGTTGTTTTTAATTATTAGTGCATCTGGATTTGTATTTTCAGAGCTTGAGTATGGTCTCTTGATTATTCAAATGGTTGATATATATCGTCGCTGAAACGGATGTTAGAATCTCAAGTGTTTAATTTTAATTGGATGATTATAGCAAATATAACCGACTCAGAACAAAAGATGTTGCTATCATGCAGGTCAGCCAGGAAATATTCTACAATGATGGAATCGAACTTCACTTAACTCTATTTACACAATTATATCATCATCGCCTGTTTCGACTGTCGGGGAAGCCAGTGTTTAGGAACGATTCCAATATTTATTGATTACGATTACGATTAAACTATTTACATCGAAATAGTTCGGCCCAGTTGCTCAATAAATGAAAAATTTTGTTTTTCATTTTGAATTTATCCGCCGTTTAAGCTAACCGACTTTTGAACAACCGGCCCTAGATTTTGGCGCGGACAATGAAATTTTAACGGTTCCCAGCAATTTGCATGTCGAAAGAGATTTCTACCGGCAATTAAGGACAACGAGCATTTTTCGACATTAAAGTAGCACGTACGTGTTATAATGCCATATCAAATAAATCTAAGTCCACTGAGTCAATCCTGCAATGGCACGAAAACGAAAAGAAGAGAGAATATAATAGAAGATTAATTGAAATTGAGCAGGCAGTAATTATACCAGTATTTTTCCCTTAATCATTATGAATAATTGAATAAATCCTTTACTGTATATTTGTTGGCCAAAAGAATATGAACTTTATTTAGTTCCCTTTTTAACCTAATTTGCATGCCGAATTATGAATCGTTCGTGTTCTATGCACGCATCTCGCTTTTCAAGGCATGTCATTATCTTTCATTTCAAATTCAGTGACAATGACCAAACAGGCTCATACATAGCTCATACGATGAAATCTTTGTTTTTGTTTTGCGAGCGTGGAAAAACCTCTGGCACCCAGGGTATAGCCAAAGGAATTAAGATATGACTATTATAGCATCATTATATACAACATTCAAATAAACTATAGCATCATATATATAACATTCAAATAAATTTTTGCCGATTAAGAAACCTCAGTAGCTCCATTCAAAACACTTGACACTGCTCGAAACGTCGATATAACTAATTCATGCATTATGTTCGCCACATTTGATGAAAAGTTATTCGAAGACGCTGCATGCTCTCTGCATGCATGGTTATTTTGTAATTTATATTTAACACTAAAAGCTAGTCACTGTTGTTTTCAGTTAGTTATATTAGTGTAAGTGAATTTGTATTTTTTAGAGCTTGAATATTGTCTCTCGATTATACAAATGGTGATATATTGCTGCTGATTGGTTGTAACTTGACCATACATTAGCCTATGGCTTATATTGAACTAAGTGGGAAAATTGTATTTAGATTTTAGACATGCAAGTATCAATTTCGTCTATATGTGAGGTACCGGGTAGAAATATATCGCGGGCATTCACGACTCGTGATGACTTGCGAGAAATGTTTTACAATCGATTCGTAAATGACTTCCAGTAATCATTAACCAACAAGGCGAGTGGTGAATCACAGTACGACTCGTAAAATCCGTAAAATTTCACAGATCGTGACAGCTCGATTCTTAAATGGTAAAGTTATATATGAACGTGCTAAGAAGAAGATATTGAGTAAAGCAAAATTCTTAATTATATACTTGCAGACCAGATTTTTAAAGCACGACACATGTATATAGTATACCTAAATTTAGAAGAGCCTATAATTTATACGCCAAATCTATTCGCCAAATCTGATCATGAGAAGGTATTAGTAATTTATACATAATATATTACTTGATAACTTTAAGTTCAACAAAGCTAGCAATGCCAAATCATATATAGGCCCTACACGCTTTCGCCAAACATTTAAAGACACTGACTTCGGTCTGGTTGACATCTATGTCACATTTTGGTCGAATTGAATTATGTCGAATTCTATGTCGAATTAAATTCAAACTATAGTTGAGATGACAATTGAGGTTGAATGAGGTTTACGAAAACATTATTAATTTTATTGTTTAATTGCATGCATTCGACGCATGCAGCCAAAATGCGACTTATGAAGTAGGCCTTCATTTAAGTAAAAATCTAATAAAGTATATATTTGCAGAACCACAGGCTGAGCCGGATAGCGCCAGCATTGCCAAAGCATGTATGATGCATATGTTCGCTCTCACTACACATTATGGAGCTTTAGCAGTGACTACAAGTTCAAGATTCGTCATTCTCACGCTTCGTTTGCTTACGCCATCAGTCAAAACTCGTAGTCGCCGAGCTTTTCAGTACGCCCGCAAGCTAGCGTCAGAATTTCGTCAGATGACGAAGGCAAAAACACAGAGATTGGCGCAAAAATGACGAATATTGTACTCGTATAGTCTCTGTTAAATTAGGCTCCTTATTTAAAAATACTAACTTTATTTTAAGAAAAAATGCCCATAAAATGATACTTGCAGAACGGATTTTTGAAGAACGTCGAAGCATGCATGTAACTAGCTTTATCGCGCATAAAAGGCCGGTAGACTAAATTATTACTAAATCAACTACTTTCCTTAAAACTAAAGTAACTACAATATAAGAACAATAAAAATATCCGTCTACTTTGATTACGTGAGTGTAAGTATGTAAAGTTGTTTTTTTGCTTTTGCATTTTAATTTACGAAACCTGTTTTGTTACGGCTTTTTATTGGTCGTTTAGATTTCAAATTGATTTGCATAACGGAGAAAAAAACCACGGTACCCGCTACCTGCTCAGGAAAATCAAATCAGCGAGAAGTTTCAGGATTCGTGACAAGTTGTATAAGAATTAGTTCACGAGTAATAAATATTTGGTAAATAAGCACCTAAAGATATAAGTGCATGTTTATAATCTCGCGAAGTTTGTATACGACTTGTATAAGGAATATTTCACGAGTCGTAAAGTATGCAAACTATAGTTTGTAAGTATGAACGCGCTAAACATTGAAGATTATCAGTGAAAAAAAGGCGTTTTTAAACATCGGGCAAAAGCACAATTTAAAAATGAAGATTAAAGCCCAGCTAGCAAATGGCTTTCAAAAAGACAGAAAAAAATGCAAAATTTACCAGCTAACGTTTCGTTATACTGTTGTTCATGCACAACATCTTTAAACCAAGTAAATTTATTAACATCATGGGTTCTATATATACATATATATAAATATTTCACGAAATGTTTACAATATTCACAAGTACATGCATAAATTTACGAATAAAAGAAAAATAAAAACAACTTGTCGCGGTAATATATTAGTAGATAATACTATATAGATATACAGTTTAGTAGATATTCAGTAAAGCAAAGAAATGCCAAAAAAGTATATTTCAGTCCGGATTGTTTAAAAATGAGACAAACACGCATGGTCATGATTATAATATAGATAGGATACTATATCGGGTACAACAGAAAGCCTAAAAACAGAAGATATAACTGACTGTATAATATGCATAGTACTCGATGAATCTGGATCGTTGAGAAACATCAATAAATACGAATATTATATCATTTGAACTTCAGTGAGACTAAATGCCAAGGTAGCTAGCTATATTATATTAAAGATACCAACATCAGTGGAGAAAATATGGTTTTCGAAAAACGAGGCAGGATTGTATAATTTTATTATATACTATTTTTGCCCTTTTACGACTCTCATGAAATTCATGAAACACATGCATCGCACAAGCCAGCATCCCATAGGGAAAGTAGAAACTATAATTATAGCTCACGGTACCCGTTACCGCGTACACAGTACCCAGCAAACATACCCGCGTTTTCAATAACGCCTTTCATAACAAATGACTGGTTCCTTTATCAGAACATGCATGCATCATGCATATATTGTTGAACACAGACAGACGAGCTTATAGTTCCAACAAAGACTTGTCGAAGAAGCAACACCAAAGAAACTTGGAAACTGTGAAAGAAGACTTCAAAAATGAATCACCAAATTGCTCGTAATGTCCTTTTCGTTCTTATGATAGCTGCTCTGTTCAAGAACGTGGTAAGTATGATGTAAACTAGCTGCATAGACAAAAAACGTTAAACGACGTTGCTGCTATTTTTCACTTTGCATTACTTGTTTTGCATCAGTCGTGTTTGATATGATGGATTTTTTCTATTACTCATTTCGACTTTTCTGTTTAGTTATATGTATCAAGTAACGCTTTTTCCCGCGTCCACGATTTTCAGCAAATCCGATTTCATCGTTCGGGTTTCGGTTTTCTCATTCAGATTTTGGTTATAGCAATTAGCTGAAAGCAATTATCATTTACAATGATTCGTTGAATGCATGGGTTCAAATTATATTTCCAGGTATCGTATCATCATTTTGGGGGCCTGGATAGGAATGTGAAACAATGTATCTTTAAACATCTCAACGATGGTCGGGATCATGGCCAGATTGCGGTAGGTTTGACATGCATGGATATAAAATACTAGTTAATTTAAAGGCGAAAATATAAAAGATGAATAGATTAAACAATCGTAAAAGCGCCCTAGCATTTAAAATCGAGTGTAGAAGGGGTCAATAAAAACACCGTATGCGGTCGCTAAAAAGTAAAAACGTAGTTCCAATACGCGTAACGAAAGGTTGGTCATTTTTCATTTAAAAAACGTTGGTCAATATCTCTTGACATCCTCAAACCAATCCAATGCCTTTGGTTACGCTCTTTTTTCGCGCTTCAACTATTGAGTTTGGTCTGTAATCTAAAATAATTCGTAATTGCAACGATACCTTTTTATTTCATCTGAGACGGGCCTTGCTCTTCTTCTGTAGTCTTGTGATTTTGTGAAGCATGAATCTGGATCAGGTTTACGTGTGACCTATCAAGGTGATCTCCGAGTGGTGACCTGTCCTGGTGGCCAATGCTGTCGTCGTTGGCATATAACAATAAATGGTAGAGAATGCTCGCACCCAGCTCCCATTGATGTTGCCATTTATGCATCAAAACATGGACATGCTCTCAATCTTCATCGCCCCGGTACACTGGACGGCATTTGCGACAAAGTTCCGAAAGGAACGGTCAAAGTTGGTCTTTCTGTTGGGAAATGCAAGCACTCAATTCACGGTAACGCATTCACATGTTGGGGATCGGTTTGTCGTTTTATTATTGAGGAAATTCCAGAACAATTCTAGGTTGGAAATCTTTGCTGTGACTTATGAATATTTCTAATATTCTTCTGTCAAAAAATCTGCTTGTAACGTACATAGTCATGCTGTAAAACAAAATGCAATAAATCCTCATGGCATTAGGCATTAACACTTGAAGTTTGTGTTTTTCGAGAAAAATTTCAATTTTGTTGTTTTGTTCGTTGTTGTCCCTATTTTATTTTGTCCTTTGTTGTAGCTGTAATTGCTATGGATTTCATGCAGGCGCGGCAGCTGTTTATTTATTCAGTTCATTGCTTCTCGAATTGGCTTTTCCAATTTTTCAACTTATATTTAAATTGGATGATATTTAATAAGTTTATTAGCATCTACGATAAAATGCTTGCGATTCGCAAGAAACCTGGCGACGCGAGTAGAATACCGCTGACCAACAATGTACTCTTCTGTTTCATCGAGAAATCTTACGTCATCATATTTGCAGCCTTACGCTATCGTATCTTACGCCATTGAAGAGCAGGGAAGGGCAGTGAACTCAAATAAAACTGGAACGCTAGCTCCGCCGGAAGTTTGAAGACGCCAAAATGTCGGAAAGTGAAGCCTTTTTGCAAGTATGATCCAGTCCTCCGGCGCGGAAATTTCGTAATGCGCAGGTAATAACATTGCGGCAATTATAAATGAATATTAATTTTAAAGCTCGTCTTTGAATTCAATTTACAGACATTTTTATATAACAGTAGCACAAAATATAGCATGTATTTCATATGAGGAACAATTGGCGACACTTAATGAGACAGCAAAATTATTTCTGTACGAGTGGAACGAAAGTAACGTGTTAATGGAAGCCTGAGCCTCCCTAACATTGGATAAAAATGTTAGAACTGGTCATGTGTTTTGTACATGTTGTTCCACGTATCAAAGATTTGGTGCTTTCTCAATATATAAGAAAAATTACTCCTCTGGCTCTGACAATGTCGATAATACTGAATGCAAGTATATTAAAACCGAGCCCAGTTTACTTTTTTTCAGTTGGTATATATACCAAGAACAGCCCAAAATTTACAAAACTTCACAAAATCCGAACAACGTCAACGATCAATATTTATACATATGTTTTGTATTTCAAATTTATGACATGCCTAAGACAATTATATAAATACAATTCGTATAGACTATACTATAGTTACTAGTACGACACCAAATACAGGCCAATACATCATTCCACAAAGAAAATTTGTCACGTTTTTCTTTGCTTTTTAACAAACGAAGGGCATCCAATTCTACCCCATAGCTTAGAATACCCATTAAATCTCTTTTAAAATCATAAAATTCGAAAATACAACTCATAACTCTTCGACTTCGTGGCAGCCATTTTGAGATGCCTCTTCATCCGCGCACAAGAAAGACTGGGGCGAGTTGCCCAATTTTGGCGTTGCGCAGTGATTACTTGCAACGTCGCCAACTTTGATAGTTTGACAGGTATTTTATATAATAAGTTGCATAAATTATAATAAAAGTGTGTGACAGGGCTTCCACTTACAAAGTTAGAGGATAAGAATTTAACTTCAGCAGTTTAGCTGAGCAATTAAAAAGGGTTTTGTAAATTTCACAATTAGCGGCAGATCCACTGTCAGCCAAAAAAACTACAGCAGCCCAATTTCAAATTCAAAATACATGAATAACGACGCTATCAGCTTTGAATTTTTAAAGAATATTTTAGAATTTACTATTAACCGATGCCGGGCGATGGATTTATTAAGTCTAAAGGCTTTTTAAAATAATAAAGTATTTTTTTATGTGAGATGTTATAATACTAGGTGATATCGATATTAATTCAATTTCCTTAAGATAAAAATTGTATCAATAGAAAACAAGGAAATTCTGCCACCAGAACGGGAAATTCCACAAACCATTGTGGAAGCTCATGTGTGGGCGGGAATTTTTGTTTTCATTCGTAAAATTGTCAACGTCATCTGCCCCAACGTTAATACTTATGCCGCATAAAAATAACTTCCCCTGTAAGCGTTTAAAAAGCCCAGCGCGACTTTATTTTGAACAGAACTGAGTTAATAAGAAGATAGTCAAGACGAAAGAAGTTTGGTTGTTCCTAAATTAACTGAATTTGATTGAGTTTCAGTCCAGTAGTATAACAGGTTGAATTAAAATATACATATCAACCCGGCGTAGCTATGGGTCTTATCTTTTCAAAGATTGTCCAAGCTTACCAGAGTTTTGGCAACAATGAAGCGCGGATTCTGATGGTCGGACTGGATGCCGCAGGAAAAACTACGATATTGTACAAACTCAAGTTGAACGAGACGGTCACAACAATCCCGACAATCGGTTTCAATGTCGAGACTGTATCACCGAGCAAAAATTTGACATTTACGGTTTGGGATGTTGGCGGACAGGTTTGTGAACTTTTAGAATCTTGTATTTATTTCAAGTACTCTCAATTGCAGTCAAAACTGGATCAGTCTATATCTTGTACGAGCCCACCGCAACACGAAGTCATATTGCTACAGCTACTAATTATAATAATATCACAGTTCGTTGGAGAATTAATTCTAAGTCCGAGATAGACCCAGAACAACTAGTATAAAGTTTTTCACTATTGCAACGCCCCAAACCACACATTCATCGATTTTCGTTACTAAAAATCCGAATCAAGTCTATTCCTAAGATTTCGACTCACGAATTTGAGGCAATAACTTTCTTTAATTTTCATGTTTTCCACATTCAGGATAAAATCCGTCCGCTTTGGAGACATTATTTTCAAGGAACAGAAGGCCTGATTTACGTCGTCGACAGCAACGATCCATCAAGAATGGAGGAATCACGAAGTGAATTCCAGGGTGTTTTGACTGACCTCGACAGTGATCGCATTCCCATCCTGGTTTTCGCGAACAAGCAAGATCTACCACACGCAATTCAAACCAGCGACGTTGCGCAGAAGCTGGGCCTACATCAGCTGCGACGGCCGTGGCACGTGCAGGGGACGTGCGGCCTGAGTGGCGATGGTCTCTACGAAGGTCTGGATGTATTCGGAAAGATGGTCAAAGAATTCCAACAAAGTAAACCAAGTTCGAGATTTTGAAACTTGACAGAATTGTGAACTTAGGGCATAATATTTCATATACCTTCGACATTTTCCACCAATCATGTATATTGTAGTAGCTACTAAGGTTGATAGTATCATTGATTGAGTAAAGCACTTATAATCAATATTTCTAAACTGTCAAATATACAAAGCGCGAGAATTTATTGCATTATATTCATCAGAGTTTACCCTGAGCACTGAAATAGTGATTCATTACCTAAACCGTTGTATTGCATTGTCCATTATATTATATTATTTTGCTTGTACGCTTATATATAATCGAAATTGATATGATTAATTAATTAAGTTTTGTATCAGCTTAATCTAATAATATAAAAGACTAAAAGTATAATAAATCTTGAACATCGCATTCATTTTCCCACGCGCTGTGTACATTTTTCAGCCAATGAGGGCTCTTCGCGCGCTTTTTTCGCCATGTTGCCATAGGAACAAAAAACACGTGATTTACAAATGTTTGTTTACGTTCGCAAAGCGAAAACGCGGAATAACAAAGTAATGAGACATATGTTGCAATTTGCAAAATGGCGATGCATACGCAGTACAGAAAGCAATACAAAGGACCAAGCTGGGATGATTTTGCTTTAAATGAGTACAATCGGAAAAAGGATTATCGGATAGGCCGTAGGAGCGTTGAACACAGACACGAGCCCTTCGAATGGGACGATAGTTCGGACAGCGAAATTAGCGATGTCGAATTTGAAGGAACGCCTACAAATGCACAGCCACAGAAACAAACTAAAAGATTGTCTTCTTACAAAACTGCGAGAAATGGAGACTATGGAGGAAGGGACTTAACTGGAGAAAATTCAAAAGGTGATGTGCCGTCTGTGAAAAAAGCGTGGGAGATATCAGAACCGAATGATGACGAACGTGTTTATAGCCAGAAAGCAACACAAACAACGCATCAAAAGCGTCGCAAAAATATAAAACGAAAGAAAGCGGCAAAGTGTACAAAAAAGGACAGGGAAGAAAGTTTCGTGAAAGATGTTGGCAGAGGGGACGAGAGGGTGCCTTTCGTTTCCTATGGCTGGGCAAATGATGCCCCTATTGAGAGGAAATATACGCACAATGTTAGAGCCAATGCAAAAGATGTGAGTGATTAATTTATATTTGTTAATTGTTTGCACGAGTTTTGACGGATTCCGTCAGCTAGAGAAGTTTACAAGGAGGTGAAGGAGGTTTTAAAATTCAATTTTCAGTGACTGCAGTGTCTACATGATCATGCCGATAGCTTTGTTTTAATTGTTTAGCTTGATGGGATAATTTTTCCTAACAAATACTTCACTTCAAACTTATTGTTGCAATATAGCCAGGGTAATAGAATAATATTATTCTAGGGCATGTCTAGGCACTTTCTTAGCTAGTTCTAATATGATAATCCTTTAAATGGAAAAACTGTTGGTAGAGTTTGGATTCTGAGTTGTATGAACCATTTAGTAGTTAATTGTATTGTTTTTCTAAGTTTCAACTGGTTTTCAAACAATAAATTATTTAATGCAGGAAACCAATACCTTTGAGAAATACAGGTCCTATTCCCAACAACTAAAGGTTGATCAGGGGCCAGTCATATAAAAGACTAGTTAACTTTTAACTGTTGTAAAGGATGGAATTGGCCAATCAGGGTCATGTATTTCTGACTTAACTAGGATTTAACTATGCAAAATGTAGTTAGAGTTTTATACAACCAACCCCAGCATTGCAAGCAATGTTGTCTACTTTTCTGTGCATACCAACTTTAGAAGTCTTATTTCTAGTATTAAACATATGGTTATATGTGCCAAGGTTTTGTGTTCTGCCATTGTTTTATTTAGACAATAAAATGGCTATGGCCTGCAGCTTTTCACAAATGTGGGATGTTGCTTAGTGTGCTATGTTTGTTGACCTTTCACATAGGTTTACCCTGCATCATTGAGAGCCTTAAAACGACGCGAACTTGATATTGCGAAGAGGTTGCAAGAGAATAAGAAGAAAGCTCAGCTTGATGAGGAAATCACTAGGGAAAAGTTCTTCAACCTCAGAGACATATCACCAATGTTTATGACAGAATACCAGAGAAGTTTCTGCAATATTGGTGGTGAAAAAACTGGATATGTGTGGTGAATGACCAGTTTATCAGAGCTCTACATAGTTGTGATTGTCACATATAGCTGCACCACAAAATTGTGCTACATAACATCTAACAGTAGTGATAAAAAGTGGTAAAAAAGATGGCCAAAAATATTAACAGTAGTGTGTATTGATAATAAGAGAAAGCTTAACCATAAAAAATAATCAAACCTAATATATACCAATGATTGTGATAAAAAACATAGAATCAGAATATTTGTACATTTTCTAATAAAATGTTTTGATGGTTATTTTCATGCACTATTATTTGATATTCAGCATGTCAGTCTAATCTGCCAAAACCTGGCTATTTTAGGCTGATAGCAGCTCATAAGGGCACATAATGTTAAAGGACAGTTATGGGATATTTCAAGTGAACAAAAAAGTGGGCATGCATTATATTTATTGCAGCTCACCTTACAATGGGCAACTTGGAGTTTCTTTGTAATATAACCAAAGTGCATTGTCTAAATTATAAAACGGCAATACCACTAAGTAAAAAATATTTTACAATGTCCAATACTTTAAAAGAAATAACAATATCCAATACTTTAAAAGGTAAAGTCCACTTAGTCCAGGTCCATTGTGCACAAACATTCAAGCAACGAATCTGACCATGAAATTCAGACTCGATTATTAACGATTCGTAGAAGATAATTTTATATATGAGGAGAAAAAATCACAACACTTGAGATAAATGGAATATCTTTATTACCTAATTAGAACACTCTATTTCTCTAATTCCAGACATCCAGTGACACCATCTTTAAAATATCCTTTTAAATTATTTATTATTAAGATAAAGAACGTTTTGTTACTATGCGCCAGGCAGCCTGTGTTGCAACTACTGGTGGTACAAACTTTATCAGTTTGTCTTGCAGATGAAGTCACAGCCGGTCTGTTAGGAAATAAAACCAACATGGCTGCCTGTGCCTTGGTCCGAAAAGCTCTATTTGAGATCCCTTCACAACTAAACATTCCAAATTGTAATAACAAACAAAATTTTAATAAACTTGTGTGCACAATGTATACCGATCGTGGTGCAATAAATCATGGTGACGATGTAGAAATCACTCGGATTTAGTTAGACATAATATACTGGATCGCAAATTTTTTTCGCAGAAAGCAAAACTTCGGCTACGTGATTGGCCAGCGGAAATGATTCCTGTATGACTTCTTATTGACCTCTTGGGACCTTCGTACGCTCTAGAACAGCATCGGATTTCCTCGTTTTAAAATACAATAATGAAAAAGCTATAAAAGGTCTAAAATTTACCATAAATGGTTTATTTACGATGGAATATGCATGGGAAAAGACAAGCTTGAGTCTAGAAACTGTTCATGATAATTTGGAAACACAGGAAGCGAATTTCACACGTTCTGTCAAATTGCCATTCCATATCGCACGAAGGTCCTAAGGATTACTTTTATGTGAATACCCTGAGAAGCTTCTACCCCAATGACTAGTCACCCATTTCATCATCACCCATCCTCGGCTACCCGTAACTCGCAATCCATTATTGAATGCCATTTCGGCCTACTTTCACTGATTTAAAAGAAGTCATTTAAATTGTTGTATCAGGGACCACGAAACAGTAGGGAGGTGAATGGTCGCATGCTTCAGTAGTAAAATGTTCCCTTTTGTAACATTTTCTACCGCAACGGGTGATTTCTTTTAGAAAATTAACATTTTTCTATGGGGGATTGCTCCTCCCGCATTTCTAGACTGATCCTAGACTGTAAAATAATTTTTTGTTTCCTTAATTTTGCATAAACGAAAGCATGAGGCAATTTCTGTTCTATCCGACGGCATGTATGCATACCTTTAAAATTTCAAATCAGTTTTGATCAATGCTATCAAAATGGATCTTAAATACTCTATATTCAAGAAGTGTTATATACGCCTTTGAGACAAAGAAATTTACAGTAATGATTCATTGCATTGCTAACACGGGCACTTTCCACCATCCGAATTTCTTGGCTGAAGTGTTCGTCGTCTCGATGGGTCGCCATATTGAATTCCTGATCCCATTCTGTCCGGGTCGAGGTCGCCTAGGAAGGAGAAGACAGCGTGTATATTTGAATCTCTATACTCGAATATTACTTTACTCGTTCAGTCGTCTTAATTCACAGACAAGGATATTATTTTTCTGGCTACAAGGCTCGAAGTCTGGATAGTCCAATCTCATGTTGTTGTTTTTTTGCGAGTTTGCAATTGGCTTGTAATACATGCAATAGTAACAGCAATAGCTGCATGCATTATATCATTCTTGAAATAGATATATTTATTAATACGTTTATTTATATTTTGTGCTGAAGGCCCGTGTGTTAGGACCGAAACCACATAACAAATACGCGTGGACCAATTGATTTTATTAATGTTAACATGAATAACCTTGTTCTTTGACTCATCTTATGCTTTACGAATGCAAGTTTTTAAGAATATCATTTCATGTCAGAATTGTACTAATTGGACTTACGATTCTCGATTTAATTAAAAGAGAAATCGGCACAAACCTGTTTCGATTTTGTTTAATATTGTTCTTGAACATTTCAAGAAAGACTCTTCAACATTTTCTCCAGTTAAAGCACTGGTCTCCAAAAACATGAGTTCTAAAAACAATTGCCCTGTTCAATATATCGTGTATCAAACAAATCTCGTCTTTTTGTCTTCTTGAAAAGAGTGCATGCTTTTCTTCAAATAAGAATGTAGCTATATTCCAAAGTTTGAATGTTTTATTCTGCTGTCAAACTATACCCGGTGATTTGCCGTTTATATATTAAATAATCAGCGCCCAGAGATTGTCGAAACATAAAATCAATTCTGTAACATTCGATCAACTATATCTTTTGTTATTCTTTATGAAACTAGTCGAAATTTTGAGGTTATTTTTAGTTATGCGAACTATGGCTCTTACATAAATTTGAAACCGAAATAAACTACACTAAATATAAAAAGAGAATCCCAAGAGACGTTAAGTTGTTTCAACCGAGAATTGGGATTCCTCTTCGAGCACTAGTCCCAGTCTTTTCCCGGGAATTTCAGATCACCTTGGTAATCATGCCTAATTCTTAGAATTAAAAAAATTACCATTTTCTTGTGCAAAACGACTCGCCTCCATGAACGTGACCTCTCGTTCGGCGTCTAAATCTTTCTTGTTTCCAACCAAAATAATTACAATATTTGGACTGGCCAATGTCCTCGCATCCGTCAACCAGTTTGTCAAAGCATTGTATGTCTCCCGACTGAGCAGCGAAGAAAATATTTGTTTTCTTTCCAGAGCGCATATTAATTATTTTGGTAATAACAGTGGTTAATCTATAGGGAGGGAGGGGGCTATCCCAGGGGCATAGACCCCTGCAGACTTCAGTGAACAAGTGTAGTAATGTATGTTTTTGTACTGTTGAGAGGTAACCTAGAGATTACAGATGTATTTTTTTTGATAGCATTTTATCAAAAAGTACCGGATGGATGGCTCAATTGAATTTAGTACTATTCTTTAAGTTTGTGATCAATTGAATTCAAGAACAAATTGCATTTTTTACCTGGCAATGTCATACACTAGGAGAGCTCCAGCTGCTCCTCTGTAATAACTTCTTGTCACTGACCTACATTTCATGTTAAAGAGAACATAAGACTTACTAAAATTTTAAAAGATTATCCCAGCCCCATAGTCCCTATTATTTTAGAACACTATATTCAGACACTATATAGAGATCTGTGGTTAGTTTTGGCTAACTTCCAAGAAACTGCCTACATGCATTGCAAATGTGACGACATGCATTGCAAATTTTATCTTGATCATTCCTAGTTTAGGAGAATATTGCAAGCACATCTTAGGTCAATTCGGAATCAGAAACGGACTGTGTTATTAAATTAGCAACAGAAGTGTATTAAGTGATATTCAAACAAGATGCAGGTAATTGGAAGAAATTCTGCTTCAAAATTTAAGAGAGGATTTAGTGAGATTGTTTGGTTAATAAGTCTAGAATAGATCTTTATGAAAGATTTTTCAACTGACCTGAAACGTTCTTGTCCTGCTGTGTCCCAGATCTGTAACTTCACAGTCTTTCCCCCAACATTTATAATCCTGCTACCAAATTCGACACCAATTGTGTGACTTGAATCTTGCTTAACTAGAAGTGTGTGAAATCAAAATTTCTACGAGATGCCAACCAAAGAAACGTTATTCACAACAAGAATATTTTCAATGTTGCATATATATACACTGACAAAATGGAGACTGATCTGCTTAAAGCAATCTAGCTGTCTACTTGTCTGGTTAAACCGTTCTAAAGATCTTAACTGGCGGCTACTTTTTCACAGACAATTAAAATTGTCTACTGCTAAAGTAAATATGTTTAGATTCCGCAGTCAGTGCCAGTATGTGAATTAGGCATATTTCAGCCAACCAGGAGTAAGTACATTTCCAAGAGTAAGTACATTTCCAAGGGTAAATCGACTGGTCTAACAGTAAAATACACAATTCTTGGGGGTTTCACAAAGCATTGTAGTTAGGGAAAAAAACATTGGGCTTTCATCAGCTCAGGAATTGAAGGTATGTGGACAGCAGTAATATGTAATACAATGTAATATATATGATATTAATATCTCAAAATATACATACATACTCAAAATTAAACACGTATATATATCAAACCTTTATACTAGAGCTTATTCTACGACCATCTATGGGATTCCACTTAAAACAACACAAATAAGACATGCTCGACGTGGGAAGATTTATAATAATACAAGTACAAATGGCTTCGATGATGTTTAAATGGCGTTCTATTAGTTCTATATTTGAGAATATTGAAAAAATAACACGCTTTCTTACATTTCCCCTCGATAAACTGATGTAGCAAGCAGCTCTTTCCAGTGCCAGCGCTACCAATAACTAAAAACTTGAAGAGGAAATCTAAAAATACGATAAGGAGAACCTCAACCAGGAATCTCAGAGAAATACGACACCAAATTAGCACAAATGCAGAGCTCTTGCATTGCAAATAATTCGTGCACATTCTAGTAGACTTACCATACGTTTCGGACATTGCCGGTAGAGTTATCCAGCCTTGAAGGTTTGTTAAAACACGAGCGTAGATTCCGGTCGTAAAAACGTGCGAAAATTGGGAAAAAACTTGAAATATTTAAAATACGAATTGAAAGATACAAAATTTTAAAATTTACATTTGAAAACTGCGATGATTCACGGGAATTCCTCGAAGGGAATGCTTCCACTTGAAAATTGTATTTTCATATACACACTGTGAGCTCTATTATAAATCTGGATTGAGAACTGTTTTCACAGTCCTTTTCCCATAAAGCGGTATTAAGGGTAGGGCCAGAGACGTGCCAGTCGGCAGTGTGACGCTCAACATTCTGTTCATGATTTTGTGGCATAAATGATTGAAAATTTCGATTGGCAAGATGACAGAATCGGGGGCCTTGTGCATCTGCGTCATGTACATGCACATTTCATTTTGCAAGCGATAAAAAAAACAGTGGTTATTTTTCTTGGACTGAACGAAATACAACACTTTTAGGTTCACGACCAACCCGATTGTCTTTAAAATCTATCATGAAAATTTTATCAAAATAGCTTTTTTACTTTTTGAGTTATCTTTTCCCAAAAAGCGACGAAAAACGTTTTTCATATATTCATAAATTATAGAGAACAATACAACAGAACAGTAAAACAATAGAATAAGCCAATGGACCCCTTTTCCTTGCTCGCGTTCTTTATTTATTTTGTTTGAGAAAAATATTCAGGGTCGATTTGGGAGACATTCAAATTTCCATCCCATGAGATTTTAAAAACACTGAATAAATCGTGATTTTTTTGTATAAGACCGTGACAAATATTGAATAATATGTTTTAATTTAGGGTATAGGTCAACAAAGAATATTACATATGGTAATATCAGTACAAGCCTGTGCCGTTTGAAGCTTGTAATTGATGTATATTGCATGCATGGCCATCATTAAGCATATATCCACAGATATCGAAATCACATAATCACATTAGTTATAATTTAAGAGTTTTTTTAAATATTGAACGTATCAATGACTTATCAATTCATAATCGTTTAACGGTTCGTTTTTACTGAACAAAAATGTATCCAAATGCGGCGAAATGTTTATTACCATTTTTTGCAGAGATGTCACCATTATCATCATCATCATCATCATCATCGTCATCAATGGCAACTGGAAAAATATTACCACAGGAAAGGACCATTTTTTGGCTAATTCCATTATAGTAGTACCCACTGCCGAATCCCAGCCAAGACTCGCACGTTTCACACCCCTTCTCGCCATTAGCAAAAATTCCGATGCGTGATCTTAAAGAACCGCCATTTGCCCGTACATTAAACCCCTCTTTATTGCAGTTGGCTTGTAGATTTGAACTTGAGATCAGAGACTTCCAAGCAGCTGCACCAGCGGTCGTTTCTGTAAATTTTCTGTCTGCGATCACGCTGTACAGCGAACTTGCGGTGTAATTAAAAACCATCCAGTGTCTGTGTCCGTTATAAGACATACCAAGGCATATTTTTGTGAACGGAGTATTCCAGTACGAAGCCAACTTGCTTTCTTTCTCTTCTAATCCTTCCAAACCATCTTGAACTGCTAATGTCTCGTTGTTCATCCACAGGGAAGAATGGTGAGCGAATGTTAGCTAAACGAAATTAAAATATTTCCTGCAAATGTTAAAAGTAAATCGACCAACAACTCAACAAGCTCATGTGAAGGAAAGAAGTCAAAGAACAGACATAAAAAATTGGATTTGTGTAATGCACTCTCTTTGATAAAAGCATATAGTATAAGAAGGAGGTGGGAATTTCGTTTTAAACTGATCAGCCAATTTGTTTACATTTTTCAGGCTAAGCCAATACGAATGCCAAAATTTTAAAATACTTTGTGTAAAATTATAAATATAGTAATGTTTTTGCATTCTGAGTGGCATAGTTACATAATAACTGTGCCGAAACATTCGAAAACAAGTTATCTGAAGAAGCTACTAAACTAATCGCTTGTCTGGCATTTACATATATATTGATATCATTATTAAAAAAATGTGAAACCGTACATTTTCTCCGTTTATCTTCAACACTAGTGACCAGCCTCCTCCACCGCACGTCGTGATATTAGTCATGTGACAATAAACGTCGTAAATTTCATCTGAAGTGTTCGACTTTAGCCTGTACTCCCCATTAATGGAATTTCTGAAGGCAAAAATTCACAATTATTTTAATACAAATAAAATTAAACCTGTATCATTGGAATGATGCAAACGAGACCTTGACATACTATATAGCTGAAAACAAAACACTGGCTTACTTGTATTTTTTAAGGACCGAAACCATACACTTACTTGTATTTTGCTAAGATATCTTTGCAGGAGATGAAAGACTCTTTCTTTTCCTTCTTTATCGGAGACGTAATCGTCGACGCGTTCAGCGTTTCTGGTGTAGCTACAGTGTGTTTGGAGTTAGAGCTATAAATGTCTCCCTTTGGGCACAGATTGTTGTTCAGAGAGCTATAAATGCCTCCCTTTAGGAGTCGGGTATTATTTAAACAAAAAAAAGCATGTTGAAGCTGACTGAGCAGAGTTTTAAAAATGCAAAATGTTGAGTAAGTCAAGGCTTACGCGGCGGTTTCATTTTGAATCTTATATTACCTTTTATACCACATGGTTTGTAAAACAAGCGGCAATTTTAAAAACATGCAGTTTACACGTGAGTGGGTTTTTTTCTAAATTTCAAGATGAATACATATGAATACCGAGCAAATCTAAGATGGAATATACGTACTCACCCTGTGACGGTTCTTCACTTCTTTCAGCAGAACTCTTAAACAATGAAATTGAATAAGAAAACTTTGTTATATTGGACCGTAATTAACGATTTCGCCGACAATTTTTAAAATAGACAGTTGCTTTTTCAGTTGGACTGATTAGAAATAAATAAATTCATACGCCAATTACCAAGCTTTTAAGGTCGATTATATTGATTGACTTTTAAATACTCACATAAATAATTCACGAAAAAATTTATAGAGAAATCATATCATTCAATCCATAATCGATGTATTCATAGTGTCGACATATGGGAAATTGTTTTTAGTACATAGTCATAGGTCTATTTGGCAAACGCAGTGATCTTAATGAGGCTTTTTTTAAACTTTTGAAGACTGTTGTTGTTCGTGTTTTCTTAACAGCGTATAAAGAACGTACACCTGGCTTTCCCTCTAATTTTATATGTGCATATAAAACAACTGCGTTTGTGTTCTGATGGCTTGTAAATAGAACATATAAGGAGCCTGAAAACCAGGTTGATTTAGGCAACGGATTCGTCTAAGCTGGGTTTATAGCTTATCAATGCCTGTGCCTAGTTATATCTCCTTGTGTCCCCTTCAATTTCATGCGGCCGCTGCAAATGCATATCCAACATAAAGACTCGTCTACACTTGCGATTTTTTCTGCGATTTTATATGTGATTTTCATTTTTTGATAGATGTGAACGAGTGATTATTTACAAATGGCCTGATGTCAATAGCGCTTATTTGAACATCAGTAACTAACTAACTCGTTCACATGTGTCAAACGAAGAAAATCGCACATAAAATTGCAGGAAAAATCGCAAGTGTAAACGAGCCTTAAAGCCCATTCATTCAACAATATATTCAAGGCTAAAACGCCCTCCTAAATGTAATCTGAAAATCATGGGAAGCAATTGTTTGGACACAGAGCTATCGTTTTATAACTGTGACATGCATCATAATAAAAGACAGTATTTTCTTACTCTCTTGACAATAACAAGGTGGTTGAATTCAGGGTTCGTTTCTTTTTCTGCATCGCTGGATATGGTGTTGAGTTCACAACGACCTTTGCCGATTCCAGACGTTTTGTAATTTGCCGACGCACATGTTTCATGTCGAACACAATACATCCCGCATTCCGACTCGGTCTCTGCTTGTTTTGTCTCGATAACATTATTCGCGAGGTATTTTTGTTTGGACCTCCGAAAGACAGCCTGCTGCGAGCAATCGCCTGGCTGAGGTACTTGCAGGATAAAAAGCGGCACAATTAGGCTTAGGAAGTAGGGCAAAGATGCCATTTCATGGAGCTGATGATAGGCAACTGAACGTATAACCACAATTCGCCCGCTATTTAAGTGTTGAAGCTTCGGCAGAAAATAAATAAAACTACCTTCGTCCGGCGAACTTTAATGAGCCGACAATTTAAATATATAGGAACCGCAGGAAGTTAAACTTTTTGATTCACGCATATATCGACACCGTTCAAACGTCAAAGTGCGCAATTTTTACTTTGCATATTTATTGGCTGTTTACTGCTTTTTTTAATTAACCTCTTGTTGCCCGGCGCTTAAGCCAGTGTCAAAATAGTTAACTTTATCGGCGAAATAATTGCATGCACGGAATATAATTAGGATATATATATGAAGTGGGAGGTGCATTTTCACTTTCCCTCGAGAACGTGTTGGGATTCACATTATGTCCAATATATTAAATTTCAAAGGTATTGTTAAACAATAGTGGTTTATTTGTACATAGTACAATTATAGGATTTCCACTCCCGTCCAGCTGATGACTTGCGCGAAAATAATTTCCTTTTTCCGCAGTTATGAGTATTCATCTTTCCCGTGATGATTAGAAAACTGAATGGCAAAAAGGATATTGAACTTTGTTGAACTATAATAACCCCGAAACGAAATCGTTTCATCTTTTCCAATCTTGCATTGCCTCTATATTTAAGTTCTGCCATTCATGCACTGGCGGATTCAGTCAAATCAATGAATTAATGAATCCAATCAAAACTTTATCTAACCATGGTAAAATCGACGGTATTAAAAGTGAAGACTAGGCTATATACATTTTATAAACGTTTTAAAAGACAAGTTACTATATAAGTACAAATATACGTGGGACAAATACACTGGACACTTTAAATACGTCGCATGTATAAGTTACTGTATGATTTACAAGATTGCCGTGCGTGAATCTACTTTAATTATAAAGTTACTTTATAGAGACAAATAGTTGTCAATCTCCCTTTTAAATTTGTAAAGTGAGCCTGCATACATCATCGAAAGAAAGGATATTTAGTTTCATCCGTGGTATAGCAGTGGCGGATTCAGGGTTAGCTGGAGTAGATTACGTACTACAAAATGATTACTGCAATATTGGGATTAGTTAGGTTAGGATAAGCCTAATCCTAGGATAACCCTAAACCTGAATCTTATTCCATTCCTCACCTTCCTATTCCATTCCTCACCTCTTATTCCATACCTCAGGGATCAAATAATAAACTTACTATCAACATGGAATCAATGGGACCTAGGGTTATTTATGCAGAATAAATAAAAGGCTTAATTTTAAATTTAAAATTCAAAACTTTATTAGTCATGGATTTCTAAAGAATATTTTTAAATAAAAAGTAGTAAGTTATTCTGTTTAACCCTGAATCCGCCACATGCGCATGGAATGAAACCGTCTCAGAAGATTCTTATTGCCATCATGCTATGAACGTCGTATATACACCACTGATCTGGGTAAGGCTAATAATACGAACTGAAAATAAAACTACCAATGGCGCTTTGATCGGCAAACTAGTCAAACCGGTCATATTTTAAATTGGAATAGAGTATTTCGTTCAAAATATTGCAGTTAAAAAGTAGTTTTCGTGCTGGGCATATGTGAAAACCTATATACGTTAATGCAAAGCTCTTCAAAGCATTCTAAAATATTAGTAAACTGCCGGTCTGTAGTAAAATACAATGGAACCGGTCTGGCCGTTTTTACAGTATAAAGAAAAACGCCCTAAGTTTATAAGGCTACGTTTAAACTTGCGATACAAATTCTTTAAGAAATATAACCTTACGTGTAATATCGATCTATATTATTTATTGAACAAGGATATATCCAAACGTTGCGAGATCTTTGTCTCCGTTATCGCCTTGGTACCGAGCTCGATTTCCACAAGTCATTCCACTAACCACATTTCCATAGGCAATCCAAGAATTACACGAATGACAATTATTATATTCATTGGCAACGATTCCAATACGCATTTTGATACCCACGTTGTTCGGTATGTTAAAACCTTCCTTATTGCAGTACTTTTGTAACGACGAGCCCGCGATTAAAGATTTCCATGATGCTCGGCCAGCGGTGGTCGCCCTAAACTGGCCCTCCGCGATCAGGCTGTACAGCGAACTCGCGGTGTAGTGGACGGTCATCCATTTTCTTGTTCCGTTATACGACATACCCAGGCATATCTTTGTGAACGGAGTATTCCAGTACGAAGCCAACTTGCTTTCTTTCTCCGTCAGTCCTTCCAGACCATCTTGCATCGCGTATGTCTCCTTGTTCGTCCACAATTTGGAATTGTAAATGAATGTATCCTATTGTATATAAATATTATAAATGTCTTATAGAAATTTACTAGATTTGAAATTGGTTGTTCTGAATGATTTGCTACAGGCTACGGGTAGGGGATAGCCTGTCCTTTATTAAGGATCCTAAATAGTTGTGAACTGTACCTTTTCTCCATCCATCTTCAAAACTTGTGTCCAGCCTCCTCCGCCACACGATGGAATATTAGTCATGTGGCAATACACGTCATAATATTCATTCGAAGCCGTTGTATTCAGAGTGTAGTTTCCATTTGCAGAATTTCTAAACGGAGTAAGCCACGTCAACCGACTTTTAAAATAATATTATTACAGGAACGTAGTCAAGATTTCGGCTATTGATGAAGACATTGTCAACAATGCGTACTTTACTGCATGCATATATTTTTTGCTATCAAATATCTTTGATGTTTGCATCTCGTAACCCAATGGCGGCAATGTTTACTTGTTGTTGAATAAATTGCTCACGAATTATTGATGAATTCATTAAGGCCATGTGCCCACGAGCGTCGTTTTGGAGCGTTTCTAAAATGTTTCGATCGACGTACACAAAGGAAAATATGCTCAATGTGTTAAATTAGCTTCAACCTCGGTGAACGACGGTGTTTGTCTGTTTGAAACCGTTTTGGCATGAAAATGAAAATGAAATAGCTCGAAAACGTTATACCGTGTGCATATAGTCTAAAATGGCCCCGAAAGAAAATCAGCTCATTAATTTTTTATTTTCATTAGCTCTTGTATAATCGGTAATAATCGTGCTGCATGTTAAATACATAAAATAAATCTCTATCATTTTGCATTAGAAAGTGAAGAATAACAATCCCTAGGCCTTGTTTACCCCAGAATATTCTTTACAAATTCCTTTCGTCATGATTAAAGATTGCTTGGCCATAATTTAGTTTTATTTTAGACATCAACAGTAAATTTATAATTCATCGATATAAACTATGATTTGCATATACTAACTGGTATTTCGTCAAAAGATCTTTGCACGAGTTGAAGTACTCCTTCTTTCGCTGAGATTCTAAAATTCAATCGAAGGATACGAAGAGTGACCAAGTCTTAAACTTTTTGAGACATCCTTTTTTCGCTCAGTATGGCGACTAATTTATCCGAAATCCAAGGTGCAGAATGTTCGGACTAACCTTTCAGCGACCCTTCCTTCGAACCCTCATTCTAAAATGGAGAGAATTAATATATTGTAAGTATCTTGCCGCGGGTATACGATAGTTTGTACAAAATTAAACTGACGAAGGCTGAATTTAAAGGCCTTCATGCAAGAGTGGCTGGAAGGCCTTCATGCAGGAATAAATATGCATGTTTTCCTACAGCTTATGCGAAATGTAATAATTATAAGATATATGACAATGTTCGTGACTATATACGGGAAAGTAATAGACCTGTTTCAACATAGTTTACAAATGTGACGTCGTCGCAAATGCATTCCGAGCAGTTGATTACCTTAGGCAAGTGTTGCTCTCGCTCAAGTATAATGCCTGTATTAATTTAAAATAAAATTCTGGAAAACTATAATATGTTTTGATTAAGAATAATTTTTGCACCTTTCCAACATTAACCAGATGGTTGAATTCAGGATTTGTTTTCTCGTCACCTTGAGAAGCCTCTTCAAGAGACTTATTGTTGAGCTCACAGCGACCTTTATCAATACCAGAAGTTTTGTAATTCACAGACGCACACGATTCTTCTCCAAAGCAAAGCAGGCCGCATTCAAATTCACTTTCTGCATGTTTCGTATCGATCACATGATTCGCCAGGTATTTTTGGACGTCTATGCGGAACACTGTCGAATCTGTTAAGCACTCGCTTAGTTGAAGTAGCTCCGACGAAAAAAATAGCGCGCAAATCATAAGTAACTTTAACATGGCATTTACGCAAATCACTCGAAAGTCTCGAGCGCTACAACAGATTAAAACTGTAAATATTGAAGGTAGCGCATTGTTTTAACCGTAATAAAACGTTGAATTCACAAGACGAGCCACATAGAGCATAAAGTTACTTCAAAATAGTCCAAAGAACGCAAAAATGAGCCATTTAGGTTTTCGGATTTATCAGTTTGGGTAGAAACAATTTAAGTCGCCATCGCTCGGCCGGCTGACATAAAAACAGCGGTGTTTACATAAAACCCACCGCAGGAAGATTGAAATCTTTCCGTTTAATTTAATTTAATTTGCCTAGTGTTGTTTATTATTATAAAAAGGGAATACATTAAAGATGTAAAAGATATTGCTTCAGGTTACGTCAAGAAAACTGGATGCTTTAGCGCGTATATGAGTTGAAATTACCGTTTGCAAAAGTACAAATTAAGTGCATTAATTCGTATTGAAACATCAGTGGCCTCAGGCTATTTAGCACAACAAGGACTGAAAACGTTTTGGACCATTAATTACGCTGGTTTTTTTCTAAAATATTATATTTATTTAATAAATATGATGGATTATGCTAACTGGGTGCAAATTGTTATTATTATATACACAAGCGCCAGATATGAGGTATGCTGCAATTTCATTGGTTGGCTACTAGACAGATATTAGCTCATATCTGTCTAGTAGAGAAAGTAAACAAAATGGCTGAAAGATTTGGGGAGCTGAGTGAAGTAGAAATCCAGGCTTTAGTCGATAATAGCACATCAAATGCACCGAAAGGGCGACAAAGTTTGTGTATATAACAGATCTCAGCTCATATACGACTCGAGTTCGCAGAATAACTGTTAAATATTACCAACTTATCCGTGCAGTTTTAAATATTAAGTATCTTCGGCTCAGAGTATTTGAATGATCCATATTTCATGATGTTTTAATGTCACCGCAAACTCGAAATTAAAATGACGAAATCAAAAACAATAATTCTTTATTGCGATGCAAATTGCAAATTGTGCAAGGGCATGTGTCCTGTGCTAGAATAGTATGTGATTCGAGAAGTACTAATAAAATTATACTCTACGAAATACTCGTAACAGAGTTGATATTTAATATCACCAAACGCTAGTGCAATTTTTCATTAATACTTCCAGAAAAATAGTGCTTTCAATATAAATTTCAAGTAGCGATTTACGACAAACTTTGTGACAAATATTGATTAATCTTTTTCAATTACACTGAATTTTAATAATTCATAATATCGTGTCTCATGACATCATCAATTTTTACTTGGAGCCATGGTGGTGTATTTGGGAGAAAATGCATGCATGTGATTTTTTACCATAGCAACTCTTAGTCGAAGCCAACAAGTAAGAAATTCTGATGTTCTTAAGAATGATGTTGATTCAGAATAAAGAATTGACGTAAGACACTAAAAATCAAGCTGTTATTGGAATGGAAATACCGCCATGGGAAAGTTAAGAAGGGATTGTGATCCCCCACTCAGTGAGTTTGAGTGTGAGTGACCTTTGTATATGCTGAATTTTAACCACTTAGCTGAGAAACAATTGATTTTCAATGATTTGGATGTATCTGCTATAGGTCATAATGTGGAACATGGTTCATGTTGTCCAAGGAAAACTAATTCTTTAGCCGTTGGAACTTCACTGCCCCCTCCCATACCGGTGCATTCGATTTTTATATATTACTGTGATAAGCATAGCCTGCTCAATCTAAATAGTTATATGATCTAGTAACGTCTTATACCTCCTAAATGGAATAGCCTAAGCGTAGAAAGTTGGTTCAGTTACCAGTGGTAGTGGGGTGTTTTTTAAGGAAAGACTATGGGAGACCGGCGGGAAAACTCTTTAAATTCTAAGCCACTAGATCTTTGGTGAACAGCGTATTTCGAGAATAAATAACATCTATAGTATAGCTAATACTTTCGCGTTTCGTCCACGCTATAATTGCCTTGTACACGTGCGTTGCAAATAGGTTTATATTTACTATAAGTCTCATTACCATGTATACATATTTTCCATGGTATATGATAACGGCAAGCTATATTCATTTTGCCAATTCATCCGTGAAAATTGCTGACACTTTGAGCTTTGTGCAGTTGCCCCAAAATTTGTTTGCAATTTGGTTAAAACTGTTGATTTCACTCAGAAAAACTTTGATTACCTGAGCAAATTTACCGCCTCCTATTCACCTATTCCGTCATGTTGCAGCATCGGAATTTGTCGATATTATTCAACCATTTTCCCTGTCCACGATAAACGCCAGTGATATAATGCCCAGGCTGGGAACAGTTTGACCATCCTTCTTGATTGAACGATGTTCCAACATCTTCATCATAACACGATCCATGCTCGAGAGAATGATTACTGGGTTTGCAACAATATGCTGTCATGATTTGTGCTATATTTTTGTAAGATAAGCGATAAAGTCCGTTGAGAAAGTAGCCATCCGAACAACGACTCCATGTTTCATTTCTACAAAGTAAAATGAGATCGATTTGCAGGTTTTGTATTAATTGGAAAGGAAGACATTAGTCAACACAAAGACACATGTACACACACCAAAAAGACCTCCACTGAATTTAAATGCAGATATACCAAAAAAAATTCTCAAAAAAGTGACTTTAATCCGTACCTTCGCAAAGTTTTTTGCCAGAAAGTCTCTTTACACACGCTACTCTGAGCCTTGAACCCTGGGGACGAATTACAGCATCTCGCTTCGTCAAGATAATTAATGTGATCATCTTTACCTCTGGCAGAACTTCGATAAAATCCTGTGATAAAGAGATTTTCCTCGTCGCATTTTGACCAGCCCTCGCTTTCAAAACTAATCGCCCAGTTTGCGATGGAGCAGTTTGGAGGTATCGCTAAATTTCGAGATTGAAAGTATGTGAAGTAAATTGAATTTCCATTTTCCACATTACCATGCATGCACTTCTATAATCACAAACGAATAATTCGCAAATATAAGCCCCGTTTACACTACACTCGAGTTATTGGTACGGCACGGCTAAAATGGGTACCCGTGCCCATTTCATCTGTGCTCGGCCTTTGTTTTGGTTGCCTGAGTACTAATAAAATTGGGTACGGGTGCCAATTTTAGCCGTGCCGTGCCGATGAATTGAGTGTAGTGTAAACGGGGCTATAAAAGGCAGAATTCTTAAGGCTTACTTGTTTGGTTTTGTGTTTTCATTGGATCTGAATATTTCTATAATCATTGGACAGGAAAACAAATTAAAATTTAAATTGCTTCCGATAAAACCATCTCTAAAAGTATACATGGTCAGTGGCGTAGCCAGCCCGACGATTTTGTCCCGCTATGTAAATTTCGAGTTATTATAATTATTCATGTCTTTAGAAATCTATTGTTTTCACAGTCAGTGAAAACCAAAATATTAGCATAGCTGGACAAATCGACAGGCTGGCTACGCTACTGTACATGGTTGGCCTGAGCTCATGGTTGGCCCGGTCATTTACCGTGCGTCTGAACGATATCAAGGGTCTGTGAGTTTTTTAAAACAAAAAATCTTTCTCATTAAACCACTTCTAAAACTATGCATTTTTGGATTAGTGTCTGAGCATTCTTACTGAAGCCCGGAGCTAGCGCTAAAGGCTGGCCCTTTCCAGTGGCATAGGCACACATAATTGGGGAGAGGGGCATACTCATATATTTATGTAAAGATAATCGATTTCAAAAAGAATCAGTCACGCATAACATAAATATATATAAACATGCCCCCCCCAAATTATCATGCTAGCGACATACGCCACGCCACGCCCCGCCACGCCACGCCATGCCACGCCACGCCATTGACATGCGTCAAGCTTGTCAAGCGACCGATACAATTTCCTTGCGTCCTGACTTTAAAAATACCTGTCACGATGACAGGAAAGGAGTATATTAGTTATTACAAAACGCCTAGCAACGCAAATATATATTCTTAAATGTTTTTCTACCTTCTCAACCATAACAAGATGATTGAATTCAGAGTTCGTTTCTTCATCAACTTCTTGAAGTGTCTTGGCGTTGAGCTCACATCGACCTTTATCGATTCCTGAGGTTTTGTAATTGGCTGACGCACACGATTCTCTTCTCAGGCAATACATGCCGCATTCAAACTCG